TAGTTATAGACACAAGGAATTTGAGATGGGCAGAACACCCAGTTGAATTCTAAGCAGCATTTGAAGATGAAGGATTGAAGTCAGGGCCAGAGATGGAGACAGTAATTGAAGTCTTGAAAATAGGTGCACTCTAAGATAGAATAATGAAATAAGAACAATAAATGGTCAGTGATTGGCCACATTCGGGAAGCAGGAAGAATCAGTGAAGGATGAAGAAGAAACAGGCTGAAAGATGGGAGGTCAGTGTTGAAGGAAGTCAAAGGAAAAGTACTTCACAGAGAAAGGGCGGGCACTGAGGTGGATGCGAGGGAGAGAGATTAAGGAGAATGACAGTGATAAATGTCACTGACCACTCGACAATAGTGCTCTAAAAGGCATCCTGGGATGTTTAAATATACGAGGCTTTGTTCTTTGCCATCGGCAGTTAGGAATCAGCTTAAACAGAGGCAGTAAAATCACCATTAGTGAGGGCACAAAACAAAGGGCTTCCCACAGCTGAGTAAAGTTCCAGGAGAAATTCATCTCCTGCGGAAAACCCAAACCCACACATTCATTCAACAAATATTTTTGGAGGGTCCGCTGTGTGCCAGGCTTGCGCCCTGCCCCCTGAAGCTTGCTTGTATCACACCATCTATGTAGCACCAACGGAGAGGGGCCTGCAGGATTATGCAGATTCCAGATCAGCATCTGGGGCCCACGTACATAAATTATAGGGGCAACTTTTGTAAAACAAGTAGAAACCCGTTTATTTTTTCAATAATTATGTCAAACGCTCATGGAGGATCCTATTTTGTTGTTTATTCAAATTCAAAGTGACTAGGCAGTTTTGGAGTTTTAGTCTCAGCATAATTATGTCATAAACATAGTTTTCTCATTCTGGGCTGCATTAACCTTGTGGAAAATAAAGTAGTTAATAACATTCCATGCGGGTAGAGTGGACTAGGAAAGAAACAGGAAGGGAAGAGAAGAATGCATCCCCACAGAGTCCTGAGATGGTGAGGGTGGAGAGGTTAGGGAAGGGCAGTTGTCCCCCGTGAGCCAGGCTGGTGGAGAAGCAGGGTCACACCACAGGCCGAGTTCCATGAGAGTTAGCGTAGCGCTGATGATCTGTAGCATTAGAAAGTAAAGTGTTTTCTGGACACATGGTTTTCTGTAAATAAGGCTAACCTTATGCCAGGTTCAAGTTGCAAGCTTGCAAGTAGACCATGTGTCAAAAGTGTGGATGATTCAGCTGTTTGGCAAGAACGCAATTTCTTGTGGAAGCAACATAGTGAGTGTTCAATCTCTGACTAAACTAAAGGTTGAGGGAACTCACATTTGTATGTATGGTTTTTCACATGTATTTTCATTTAATTCCCACCACAAGCTATCACTGCGTTTTATACAGGGGAAAACAGGCCCAGACAATAAAAGTGACCTGTCCTGGGTCACCTAGCAAGTAGCAGAATTAAGACCAAACCACCATTTCTCAGTCCTCTGGACAAAAGCTTTCTCAAAATGTGAACCAAGAGCCACCTAGTGAGGCTCACCAGGGACCAGAACACCCAGTGGGAGAATCAACTGGAAGCTCTGAGAAGGTATCACACGCACGTCTTTGTTTCTTATGGGAAGCACTGAAAGCATTCCAAATGTAGTTGAGAATTCAAATGGGTTACCGCCTTATGTACAAAGCAAATGCTAACACTTGACTACCATTTCTGCATACAAATCACTAGAGAGTCCATTGCTGGAGACTGTGAGAAAGATATGCATTCAAACCACTTCCCAAAATGGAGAGTTGGACCCAGGAACAAATGTGTGAGAAGGAAAATTCCATCCTTTGATGTGTCTTAAACCTCCTCCTGTGCTCAGCTTTAATTGCTCGAGGAAATGGAACACATCACCAATGCAGGTGGGTTAGTCACAACTGTGCAAAAGGGCAAGGATTGAGGCACTCATTGTGCAGAAAAAGATGTTGCTTATCTGGCCTTAGCTTTGCGACACTTGAAGAATGTATTCTGGAAAATGAGACCCAAGTTAACTCCAAATAAATTCTGAAAGTCATTTTGTCTCAATAATGGAATTTTATAAGTGGATATACCCAGCTCTCCAAAGAGTCAGGAACAGTGACCACAGCACTCTCGCACCTTCATCTGCGTCTAACCCAGACCTGTCGTTCACCGCTTGCAGTACATTGTTAAATAAGTCTCCAGTCTCTGAGATGCATCTTGAAAACGGAAGTCCTACAACAACACTTTCTGCTGAGCCCCTGGGGGCCAGATCTGGAAAGAAAGACAAGGCCCAACACACTCCATCGGTAGAAAAGGGAGATTGCTCATAAAGGCCCCTGAAGCTTCACTTAGGAAAAGTCTTAAGACTGGGTGGCATTCTATCCAAGACAGTCTCTTTCTTTACCCGAGTAACTGCTTGCAAAACACTCATGGTCTAATGCTGCATGACATAGCTTGGAGGATTCCCACTGGCCAAATCTGAGGCAATTTGAGCATCAAATACATAATGGTAGTGTTGGATTATAACCCACTGAATAAAACAAGAATCCACAAGTTCATACTGACATGAATGAGTGAATAAATAAATAAATGGCGAGGGGACTTGTTCTTTACAATAGAAACATGTGTTATAGATAATAGCTATAGAAGGTATGATGGAGTTAGAAAATCACCAATGGATGCTAAAACTATGGGTGAAACTTGATGAGCCATATAACTACATAGCATCTCTCTACATATTACTTATGTTTACAAAGGGGAATACTAACTTGACAGTGGAGAAGCAAGGCAGCTCCCACCTTAACCAAATGACCAAAGTGAACTTCACCAATACCGGGACACCAACGCCCTGCGTCCACCCCCTCTCCTCCCCATCACACACTGAGAAGGTGCTCCATCACCTCACAGCGTTTCTTCCACAAACGCATAACTTGAATCTAATTGCAAGGAGACATCAGCCAAGCTCAAATTTAGGGACTTTCTACAAAATAAGTAGCCTGTACTCTTAAGAAACATCAAGGTCTAGAAAGCCAAAGAAAGGCTTAGGAACAGTTTCAGACAAAAGGAGACAAGAGACATGACAACCAAATGCAACATATGATGCAGGACTGGATCTTGGAGGGGAGGCTATAACGATTACCGGAGCAGCTGCTGAAACTTCAATAGGGGCTGTAACATGTGTTAAATGTTAAATTTCCCGATGCTGATAATCACATTGTGGTTAGATACAAGAATATCCTTGTTGTTGTTAGGAAATACACACTGGAATATTTAGGGGTAAAGGGACACAATGTCTTAAAATTACTCTGAAATGGTTCAGGAAAAAAAAAGTGTGTATGGAGAGAGAACGATATAAGAAATGGTGCAAAGTAAAAAATTGGTAAAGGATTATGGGATTTCCTCACACTATCCTTAACAATTTTTCTGTAAATTTGCAATAATATCAAAATTAAAAGTTACAAACAATGCTACAATGTCTGCAAAATTCACTCTTTTGGAGTCTGAGATACCACACAAATTCAGAGTTTGAGTCCTTGTTCCGGAGGAATTAGCCATTTGGAAGCTACGTCATCCCTAACATGAAACACGGGGACTAGGAAACAAACCTCTAGAGAGGTGAGGAAAGTACAAAATTCTTATCAGTATTTTCATAACCATTCAAAGTTTTCCTCATTTTTTATTTTAGTTCTAATTGTCTTAACAGGGAGAGACAAGACCCTTAATTTGGGGAAATTTTTACGATATGAATATTCAAGTGGAGGATGAGAAATCACCTGTCAGGAGTGTCTTAGGAGGACTGAACACATCAGGCAAGAATACAGGGGAGCTGTGATTCTAACTGTCAAGATTAAATTTTAAATATTTTTAGTTAAAAATTCCCCTTAAGAAAGGGCATTTGCAGTTGACAGCTTTTCGACGTCTGGAACCCTCAGCTCGTGTTGCTGGACCTGCTGCTGTCAGCGCTATGAAGCAGCGGTCACTTTCCTGGTCGACAATTCTGACCGTGATGCTGTTATACAGTGAATCATTAGCTGCTGGACGTACTGGTCACATCTGTTCATTTGCTGGTTATTTTAGAACCTTCACTGGTTCTCGGCCAAATGCTGGATCTGACGGGTATTGGATCAGGGCTGCTGCTGCCACTGCTTGTCTGAGAGACTCCAGGATGTCTAAGTGCCAGAGGGTGATTTAAGATCACCCAGCCCCACGCCATGCTATCACTGTGTTCCATGTGATTCATTCTTCTTCCATCCAAACCTGGACACATCCACGTGTAGTAGAAAGAGCCCCAGCCCAGCGATGTAGATTCCTGGGTCCCAGGCCCCACGGCACTGCTGTGCTGTGTGAACCTGATACAGCTCCTCTCGATGCTTCCATTCCCTTCCCCACGATACACCGACGATGCTGGGATGTGGACCAGCCTTCCCAGGTATGGAGTTGGAAACATGGGACACCCCTGTGACTCGTTCCTCTTCCTCAACCCCCACATCTCCAGGGATAATCAATCCCCACCCGTCCAGCATTCTTCTCAGGTCCACCCAGCTCTCTCCGTCCTCCGTGCCGCTGTCCTAGCTCAGGTCCTCGTCTGCCACCTGGAGGATGCGGCAGCCTCGGACCGGGTCTCCCTTCCTCAGCTGGACCCAGCACTCCCTGCTCTCCTGCCCGTTCTCCATACAAGCTGCCCAGAGCGCGATTTTTAAAATGAAAGTATGACCATGCCGCTCCCTTCCTAAGTCTCGTTTGCTCAGTGTTAAGTTACATGACAACACCTAGACTCCTGCGCACGCGTGTTGACACGGCTCCCTCTTGTTCCATGTTCCCCCCCCCGTGTCCTGCCTTTGTCCTCTTTCCCTTCCCTGTAAGATCTGAATCTCAGTCTGTTCCCCCGTCCATTTCCCCACAGTAAACTCCTTGAGGGCAGAGACTTTTACAGCCAAATTCCCAAGGCTGGCACCTGGCTCGGTGCCGGCAACCGAAGTACGCTGGAGGAGTAAGAACTCAGCAGACGAGTGTCGGCACTTGATTTTAATTAAAATCAATAGTTTAGGTGGAGAACAGGACTAGCACAGTGTTTACAATCAACCTCTGGAAAATCATATTTACATCAAGGAAATAAAACAGGCCGGCAGAAGGGCTAGGAGGAGCAGCTTGTCACTGCACTTGGGTGGGACGTGCTGCTGGGGGCACGGAACACGCGGAGCACACGGGGCCAGGACGCGGTGGCAGACACAGGGGACAAACCCCTGGGGAGTATTTGCTCTGGGTTCCAAACCCTCCAGCGGCCTCAAAACTATTCAGCATTTTGGAAACACTTAACAGGAGCTCTTTACAAAACGAGTGCTGTGTCTTCAACACGTCTGAACCACACCCACGCTCTGCATTCCAAATCATGCCAAGTCGAAGTACAGCTCACCCCCACATGACGGGACGTCTGTCACACCAAGACCACCCCGTGCCGGGCCACGGAGGGCAGGGAGGGAGCGAGCTCAGCTTTACACGTATCTTAGGGAACAACACTCTGGCTACAGCTTTCCCTTTCTAGCCTTCTTTATTTTGGTCATTTATATCGAACATGAGAAAAGTGACATTTAGTACAAATGATTACTAAAGTAATTCCTAGGCTCCTAGTAGAAAATAAAGTAAAATTTTAAAAAGTCCCCTGCCTTGTCCATGAAGGTGGCATAACCGTACACAAGAAAAATGCTGTAAACTTATAGAAAAGATAAACTCTGGCTTCTAAACAAAATACAAAATTGATTCTGCCTTTACCCTTGAGTGTTACACAGAAAGATGTAAACCAGTGGACCGGCTGCCACAGCCCTCATCCGCCCCGGCCGGGGAGCGACCTCAGAGTTTGGCCTGCGCCAGTTTTATCTTCAAGTTTTCTCCGAGCTTGTCCATGAACTCAAACGTATTCAGGTAGTCGGAACGCTGCACGCTGGCAGGGGAGGAAGAAAGAAGGCGATTTAGTTTGTCTCTGGTCTGGTAGCAGGAAGAGGAAGAGCCCTAGACATGCCACTTCCTAGCATTCCACCTATTTCTGGAAGAAAATCGGTTAATGTTAAGCTATGAATTTATGGCGGATGACTGTGCTCAAGGTTCACGGGGTGGACCCAGGCCACAGGCGGCCTGCGGAGGCGGCTCGGCTGCATGCACGCACAGCAGGCTCCGTGCCACGCGGCTTTGTGGTACCACTGTCACGGAGCTGTGGTTCAGACGAATGCCCAGGAGCAGAAACCACCCACTTCTTTTTCCCCCCTCTTAAAAACAAAACCTCCTGAGAGTACAGCCAAGCTTCTACTCACATCCCCACAAACTGTCATCTGTCCTTAAAAAAAGAGTTTTAATGCTCTTATATCAATCAGTGTCTTACTTAAAAAACAAAAGATAAGGACTAGCTAACAGCATCATGCTGGCAGCTGCCTAGTCAAACGGGCTGCAAAGGTGACACCCTGCTAGGAATGGGTCCAACACAGCGTGCTTGCTGGAAATTTAAGACTGAGTCTGTCCCACTAGCAGGTGCATTGACCCCGACTGAGCTCTCTGAGGACGCAGGGGAGACACGGGAGGGCGTGAGATTGTGCTTCTGGACGTGATGCAGAGTAACTAGCACTGACTCTGAGGGAGGAGTCTCTGACTGGCAGCTAATCCAGCCGGGATCTGGGCTACGTGTTCCAGAAAAGTCCTGGGTCATACACGGGCCCTCAAGCGTCTGACCCCTGGTTAGGTGCCTAAGGAGGGATGGTGGTCGACTGGGATCTAACACTTGTGCTGGATCTGTAAACTGAGGAAAAGAGAGAGGTGGAATCAAACAGCCTCACGGTCCCTGTTTCTAACTGTCTATAATCTCCTTCATTGTCACCAATGATCGTCAACCAGATCAAGGGGCAGCAACCCAGCTCAGCACGTGGACACGGTCCAGGCTGCAGGTGACCCTGCAGTCCCATGGGGAGGCCGCCACACCCACCAGCTCCTGCATCAGAGGCAAAGTTCAGCAGCTGCCTAGTTTTGAACAGGCTGTATGTTCCAAAAGCCTGAAAGCTTTTCCACCTGACCATTTACATTTACAGTGTCTCCCGACTCCCGAGCCAGGTGATGAAGGACGATTCACAAAATTCCACAAGCACGGACGCTGTGAGCCTGAGAGGCTCAGTGGCAATCTGACCAGAGCCCAGGGCGTCTTATACTCACTTGGGTAAACCTTTAATACAAGCAGCCAAGTCCTTGGTCATGAAGCCAGCCTCAATGGTCTCAACGCAGACGTCTTCCAAGGCCTTTGCGAAGAAGCCGAGCTCTTTGTTGTTATCGAGCTTGGCTCTGTGGGCCAACCCTCTGGTCCAGGCAAAAATGGAAGCTGAAAGAGAAGAAAAGAGCACACTTCAATCACCCCAGTTGGAGGGATTCTCAAAAACACAACAAGTTTTTTGTTTAGGTGACTGACCTCATCAGATGACATCCACAGGAGCCATAAGCTTTAGGACACGGAAATATTTTACCAAATAGAAACTTAAAAAAAAATCTGCATTTTTGCAGAAGAAATGTTCTGGGTTTTGTTGGAGCGTTAAGAAAGCCCATGTTCATGGTGTGGCAGCAGCACTTGAAGCTTAAGGCGTTTATTTACTAGTTGGAAAGGGTCACAATCTCTTCTACCTCGTGTCTGTCTTGGTCTCCTCTTCTCTTTCCAGGCTGTAATCTCTCTTTTTTTTTTTTTTTTTTTTTTTTTTTTTTTTTTTAAAGATTTTATTTTTTCCTTTTTCTCCCCAAAGCCCCCGGTACATAGTTGTATATTCTTCGTTGTGGGTTCTTCTAGTTGTGGTATGTGGGACGCTGCCTCAGCGTGGTTTGATGAGCAGCGCCATGTCCGCGCCCAGGATTCGAACCAATGAAACACTGGGCCGCCTGCAGCGGAGCGCGCGAACTTAACCGCTCGGCCACGGGGCCAGCCCCAGGCTGTAATCTCTCTTTAAAGGGCTGTCCTTGAAATCTGGCTAGAGGGTCTATCCATGTGGCTTTAGATTCTTAGCCACATGTGACATTTCACTGCACCAGAGGAAAAGGAAAATGCTAGCTGACATTTTTCTCTGTAATGTGTATTCTCCCACAGAATGGAAAAACATACACCTGTGTGTATTTCAAGAAGCATATTAAAACAGCTTGCATCAGGAGAGCACGTCAGCTGTCGGGTGACAATTTTACACACAAGGTGTTGGGCAGCCAAGGGAACACGGAGTCCTTGGAGACCTCCACTCTGGTTGGAAATCACTGTTGCATAAACGCATCTTACCAATGGGGTTGGTGGACGTCTCCTGTCCTTTCTGGTACATGCGGTAGTGGCGTGTCACGGTGCCGTGCGCAGCCTCTGCTTCCACGGTCTTGCCATCTGGACAAACCAGCACGCTGGTCATCATGCCGAGAGAGCCATATCCTGTAAGGGGCAGAGGACAAGGTGCTGGGTTCCACTGCACAGACAGTACCGCATTTCTTAGAGATGAGAGCCAGTGACTTAATCTTGACAGGTTTCGGGAAACAAAATAAACTCGAGCCTGTGGGGTTATCAGTAATCCTCCTGCCTGTGAGAAGGCAGGGTCCCCACTCCAGACCTCAGAGCCAGAGTCTGGGAGGGGCACTGCCTCACTCTTCTCTCAGGGGCACCTGTCCTGGAGGGAGGGCTGCATTCCACCCTCTTTCTGTGGCTTCCTGGCCACGGTGGCTGTTTTCCTACCTGGGAAATAGAATAAAAGCACCTACTTCACCAGGCTGTTGGGAGAATTAGATGAACACTCACATGAATACCTATTCACATTCCTTAGAACAGTACCTGCACAGAGTGAGAGCTCAGTACACGACTGTCAGCCTCCAGTGCAGATGCTCTGCTCTTCTGGGAAAGTAAAGATTAAAGAGCATTGCCTCCGGCCATCGAGATGCTCACAGACTCGCTGGGACTGGCGAGAAAAGGCAGGCTGGAAACAGGGTGGGATGGACCCAAGAACATCCCATTGTTCTTCCTTCTCTCTTAACGGTACCAACAAAACAATTCTGTTCTGTGGTTTCCTATCCAGAGAACCACAGGTCAACTTTTAAGTCCACACGATTGATTTTCTTCTTTCACTACTCTTTTACACTCGAATCAAAGAATGCTTTTCTCCATTTTTGCTACCTCCCAATAGTGCAAATTTGTAATAGGCTGGTTTGAGAGTAATCAACCTTCTTTGCTCATCTTTGAGCACATCAGAGATTCCCGCGTGGGATCGCTCGCTCCTCTCGTACTACTGTGTGGGTCTGGGGCCTCGGCACACCCTCGGATACTCATTGACTGGAGTCTAGGACCACAGCTGCGGTGAGTCTGTCTCTCTAATAATATCAGAAGACACTAATTGGTACCACTGTCAGAACTGAGGACGTAATGACACGTTGGGTGTGAACCCAAAGTTGTTCTTGCCTCTAGAAAAGACCCGATGTGAGGACAGCTCTGCCGCCCGCACTCTGTTTAGTTCCTCGAGGTCATCTTCGTCCCCAGCTGGGCCCAGCTATCTCATCTGCGCCCTGCTGGACGCCGCACATCAGAACTCCTACTTCGAAGCCGGGTGCGCCCCCACAACTTGACATCCACATTGGAAACGTCCCTCCAGTACTCTCTTCCCGTTGCCGCAAGGACATTCAGAAACAGTGAAATGATTCGGGCCATGAGGAACTGCTTCCCTGGCCCGCGTGAGCCACCAGAGTGACGCTCCTTCCCCACCACCCTCGGCACAGCAACGGCAGGATTCGGACACGGAGGAGGGCGAGCCGAGAGCGGTGCGACCCACTTATCTGACACAAAGTTGCCTTTCACCAGTTGGTCTACTGACTCTCAAACTGACAGGAGATGCTTAACTGTCCGTAAGACAGAGAAAAAGTAGTACTTGCTGGGAGGGAAAACGCAGTATAAACCCACGCGCATCTGCCAGGGGAGACTCCAGTTTAGAGCTGCGGGGGTAGGGACTGGAGGGCAACTGGGTGCCGGGGCGGCAGGGACGGGAGGCGTCTGTGGGTGGCCATGGCGTCGGCAGGAAGCCCTGGTCCCCGCAGTTTCTGTGAAGAGCTCCGGGCGTCTCTGCTCGATCCTGCGTCTTGAAAGCCAGCGGTAAAGTGTGCTTTACACAGGCCCAGAAGAGTGTCAGGGCTGGCAGGGCAAGATTAGCACCTGCTGCCAGATGAGCGGGGGATGGAGGAGCCCCTGGAGATGAGAGGCCCAAGACACTGACTCGCCTCTCCCGCCCGATCGAGTGCCCTGGCCTTTTACACAAATTCTCATCAGAGGGAAAGCAGCAGAGGGAAGCGAGTGGCTTCAAGTCAGCCTGTTGGAGGTGCTGAAACTTCAAGGGGAGAAAAGGTTTGAGAGAGAAACCGTGTCAACACCTAAGGCTGGAGCGCAGCGTGTCGACCCACTGAGTTACTTCCTGTGACTTGAGAAAAGTCGCTTCCCATGTCTGAGCTCCATTTCCTCATCTGTCCGCTGAGAGGGTGGACCCTTCATGATTTTACAGAGAGGACAGCACCATCCCTTTCCCAAACCGGAGGACTGAGGCCACGCCCTGTCCTGGGCCCCCTAGCTCCCCACCTTGGGCCACGGAGTCTGACTGCACGTCGCCGTCGTAGTTCTTACAGGCCCAGATGAAGCCGCCCTCCGACTTCATAGCTTGGGCCACCATGTCATCGATGAGCCTATGCTCATACCAGATCTTCTGGGCTTCAAACTGGGATCTGTACTGCCTAAGAAATGAGAGAGAAAGAGAACAAAAGAAGAAACCGGTTTTGTAGGACACCCTCTGCTCTCCAAGGGTAGGGTGTGCTGGGAGCAGCATTTTTTACTAGAAGCAGCACAAACTGGGGCACTTGACAGACATGGGCTCAAACTCCGCCAATCATTTTCTAGCTGTGAAGCCCGGATCTCCCCACCCGTGAGGCTGGATGAACGAGCCAGCAGCGTCCAGGCAGTGCATTACTTCCCACGCTCAGTGCTCTGCATACTGCCGGCCAGATTCTGGAGACGCAGCTCGCTGTCAGCATGCAACGAGGGGCGGTGGGGAGCCTGTTCCACCACTTGATGCCGTTCAGGAGACAGGGCAGCTGCCAGGCGTGGTGCAGAGAGGGAGCGGGAAGAGGAATTAAAAGGCCTCACAAAAGAGATCCAGACTCTGAGCCCTGGCCTGCACACTTGCAGCCTAGAGGGAGTTACGCATCTTAAATTTAACATATGCTCACGTGTAGTTGAACCCACAGTCACTACAAATGTAGACTTAAGTCCAAACGTCCCCACTGAAGCAGAGTCTAAGCACAGACTCCACTTCAGGAAGAATGTGACTGGGCCACGCAGACACTCACACCCTGAAGACGAGAACCTTCTATCACCAACACGGTACCTCTATTCAAACAAACAATTCTGCTCCGAGAAAAGTAAACGTGGGACCCTTATTTGAGGACACATTTACCTTCTAAAAGCAACTGAGGAGTGGTTTTGTTTCACTCCTGCTAAATCTCAGTTTTGCCCTTATCTTTAAGGGATAGTGATGGTTTTCACTTAAGTTGTCCCAGAATCAAAGTAATAATGATGCAAATTCTATACTGTAAATGCCACCTTGAGAAAAAAGAAAAAGGAAAAAATGAACTGTAGTTACTTGTCATATATCTCCTGAAAGATGTCTTTGAAACGTCCGTCGTATTTCTTCAGAATAGTGTTCTTGGTGCTCAGATACAGGGGCCAGCTCTTAGACAGAGCCATCTGGAAAGAGCTGTGTGCAAAATCTTCGATGGACTTGTCTTGATTGTACATCCCCATGGCCACGCCGCCGCCCTCTGTGGGACGCGAGGAGAGAAGAGGAGGAGGGACACGGTTACACTCACCCGCGTCCAAATCCACTCACCACAAGACACCCAATTCCCAGCCCCACGGCCGTGCCCAGGCTCCCAGGTGGACATCCAGGAGTTTCTGAGGCTCATGACTGCAGGGCAGTCAGTTCTAGATGAGGGTATTCTAGCTTGTTCTGAAAGGGCAAAAGAAACGATAAAAACATGGTCTTCAGGATCCTGGAGACACCGAAATACCAAAAACTTGTGATATAGACCAGAAATACACCCAGGAAAGGGTGGGTGATTTTTAAGCTATCTTTTCATACTTTTTAAATCAAACACGTATTTTAAACTCTAAGTGTGCAACCCAGTCCTCAGCCACTGAGAACAATCTGCACTTCAAACACTGAAAGAACATTCTCACAATCTCCTGGAGGACACTGACAGTTTACACTGTCACTGGCAGAAGTACGCATGCCGCACGGAATCACTGGGGCCTCACAGCTCTTACTGGTGGGACTCTGTTATTACTGAAGACAGAATTCCAGGGCCAGTGGGGCTCAGAACGGGAAAGGCGCTGAAACCAGCAGAACCAGGTTCCGTTAACATGGACTTATTCAGAGGAGGCAAGGAAAACAAAACCTGAGTGTTTTGAGTTTTTGTTTGTGTGAGTACTTCTGACAACTTTAATAGGTGGAAAGATGGTCCTCTGTTCTTTCAACAACTTTTGAGTGCAATTTGCCAAAATGGACCTGCGAAGCAGCAGGACGGTGGGAAAGAAGAGGCAAAAACAAACATTTCACTTTCACAGAATAACCAGAAGGGCAAGAAGAAAATTTCAGGAAATATACGACAATCATTTTCAGATACCAACCCTACCAGACCAAAGGGCAGGATTACATGACAGGTGATTTGGGGCTATTAGCGTTTAAGTTAGAGAATTCGTGTGCTACGGAGTCCTGCCCCCCCGTGTTTCCAGAGAAATACACAGTCATCTACAAGTGGCAGCTCCTTCTGTGCTTTATTCACGCCACAGAAGGCACGGAAAGCCAGCTACTTTCTATGTTAGATTTTGAGTCCTGCAGAAATGCTGTGGATTCAGGCTGTACTTTTAGGCAGCCATACAACTAACTTTAAAAAACCAGTAATAATGTTGTTAAATGAACTGTAAAAAATAAAAGATGTAGCTCATGACGGACTTAGACATACCTTCAAAGTTATGTACTAGGTAGGTCCTTTTCTGGGATCCATCACTCGGTGTGTAGGTTATCTCTACTCTTCCGGGCCCAGGAACAACAAAATCGGTTGCTCTGTACTGTGTAGGGGAAGAAAAGGCATGAAGAAAAGAAACCATCCTGACAAGATTTACAAAGAAGGAAAAGAACTCATAGACTAGGGAGCTGGAAGACACCCAGACCAACGGGGCTGTGTGGTTCAACCTTCCTTTACTGGAGAGGTGGGGAGGAGAGGTCCCAAGTCCCCATGCTGGTGAGTGGCAGTGCACATCACAAATCAGTTTTTACTGGGTGCCTCCCTCACAGGCAGTTTTCTGAGCACTGATATGGAGAGAACAACAGAAGTCTCTTCCCTTAGGAAGCTTACGTCCTAACAAAGACATAAGAGTGAGAACATAAGAGCTTTTCAGGTGTCAAAAGGGGCACAGAAAAAACACACTGCAGGATGACAGAGGAAGAGAAGGGGCCGTGACCTGGAGGCCGGGGGTGTCTATGGGTGATGACACCGTGGCTGTGGCACTGAAGATGACAGTGGGAGAGCCAATGCCTTGTCCTCGCTCTGTGACAGAGGCTTTAAGTAACTAACCTGTGTCATCTCATCCCCTCATTTGATTCTTACATCAGCCCTATGGGGAGGGACTGTGACACAGTGGAAATAACACATCAGGGGGCAAAGACTAGGGGTCCAGTCCTCAGTCTCTTCACAATGACAGGCCCAGGACTTGTCTATGTGAAGGACTCGTTCTGGAAGCAGCTGTGGCCGGGTGATGACCCTCAGGAAAGGGCCATCCAAGGACAGCGCCTCTCTCATGTGTGTGAGCTCTCCAGTGGAGAGATGTGCCCCCTGCACTAGACACCCATCAACCCTGCTGCCCTGGGCCCCTCCAGCGACCCAGAAGACTCCCAGAGGCAGGGCCCAGTCATGCAGCTGCACCCACACGTTCACGTCTGTGTAGAGTAAGACGAGCGCAGCAGTAAAGACCTGTCAGACAGTCTATGCAACATCTAGTCTAGCGGGATACTCCTGACATAGGAAGCCCTTCACTACAAGGGGTAATTTACTCCCATTTCTCAAAGGAGGACACCGAGGCCCTCAAGCTGCATAAATGCTTTGTACAGGTTTCAGCAAATCTGAAGGGTCAGACAACCAACCTGAGGGTTGGAATTTTCAATCTGGACTTTAATATATGGAACGACCATTCATCCAAGTGACCGACACCAAAACAATAAAAAAGGAGCTAGGACAAAAAAAGACATCACTGAACTTGTAAGAACTTAGACTGGTGTTCCAGGATTAGTGGGTTCGCAGTACCCTGGGCCTTTCCTGGGCCTCTGGGGGGCACCTGGGAAGGGAGTGTGCAGGAGGAAGGGAAGTCGGAGCCACAGGGTAGCACAAAGTGAACAGCCCTTGAGGACCGGGGGGACCCTGTCCCCAGGAACAGAGTGGTCTGTCCAGGCCACACTGTTTTTAAGGACGACCATATCAAAGCCCTTGGATTTCAGCATTAGGGACTCTTGTTTTCAAGCCTCTTTTAAGATGTAAGCTGCTATGAAGGTCAGAATTTTGATTTTGCTTAGCTGGCAACTTTCTGTTTAATTTGGCAAGAAGCCTACTTTGCGCAGAAGTACAGAAACTATACTTTTTTTTCCAAGTAGGAAAGGAATGCTTTAAAGAGACTGCTTTCAACTACTGAGCCAGTTTTCCCTTATGCATGAAGAGATCATGCTTAATATGATCTTCGGTAGTTCTCAACCCAGTCTGCACATCAGAATCACCTGGAGCTTTAAAACGCTGGAACCCCACAGAACTCAGATCCAGCTGGTTCAGGGGCCTCTCAAGCATTGGAATTAAAACAGAGAAACAAATTTTTTAAAAAAACAAAACAAAACAAACACCGAAAACCCATAAAGGGAACCTATTGTACAGCCAGGGTTGAGAACCACTGATTTGGTTGAACCAGAGGAAGTTATCTATACAAAAATGTCACTATCATATGGTTTAACCTAATAAAAAGATGAAGGAAAAACACATCTGAAAAAAAATCATTTTTGTTGAGAGGGTGCCTCTCTGTAAGTTTTCTGTGTTTACTTCTATCTAAATGCATGTAAGCACACAGATATATATATATGCGTTTCTCAATTTGGTACCTTGCTCAATGGGAACAGACACCAAAGATGAGAATAAAACACACAGAAGTCAGAACTGCAGGCAGCCAAAGGCTGTGAAAAATCAAAGTACGCCAACAGGACTTACTTGGTCCCCATAAGCATGACGACCTATGATGATGGGTTTCACCCACCCGCTCACCAGCCGGGGGATATTTTTGCAGATAATGGCCTCCCTGAAGACAGTGCCACCCAGGATATTTCGGATGGTGCCGTTTGGCGATTTCCACATTTGCTTCAGCTTGAACTCCTCAACCCTCTTCTCGTCAGGGGTGATGGTAGCACACTTGACACCCACGTTGTACTTCTTTATGGCTTCTGCGGCATCCTTAGTGACCTGGTCATTGGTGGCATCTCGATTCTCTATGCCTAAATCATAGCTGGGAGGGGAAATCGTGAGTCTCACTTTCCAGACAGGCTGACAGGGGACTGAGGGTGCTGCCACTCCATCACCACACATCAGTGTATGCACGCCGATGGCGCAGAGCCTGCCCTGCAAACGCACCTGCACCTGCCAAGGTTTAGCCTTAGTGTACCCACACCCGCCAATCAAAGAGCACCAAGAAAGGCTGGCTTGCTGGGCTAGGCCGCGCGGTGTGGGAAGCTGGCTACAAGTCAACCCCGGTGCTGCCCCTTGACCTGCTCTTCACCAGAGGCAGCAACAGCACTCAAGCAACCCTGTGCAGACTTCCTTCCATGTAGCCAGCATAGAGATGTACCCTAAGCACCATCTTATTCTTCCCTTAGTAAACACTGTGCTCTAAACAGAAGGAGTCACAGGGTGTAAAGGATTTTTTGTACTTCCTATCAGTGCCAAAAATGCTAATGATTCCTGCCTTAACGCTAGTTAGTCATACGATGACCCTTTCCCTAATTCTTGGGCAAGTCCCTCTGTTCTGGAAACAAGCCTGCAGTTTATTGGATCAGCAATGAAATCCAGCAACGGTTTTATACACCCCAGCGTGATAGCTCACTACACACCAACACCTAGACTGCAGGTTACCCAGAGCTGGAGAGAATGTAGGTGATCCACGGAGCACAGAAAATGACTGTACAGCTTTATCTAAAATACATAATACTTTGTCGAAAACAGAAAAAGCAAAACAGTAATGTAACAATTTATTCTCTAAGGCTTTAAACAAGGTTTTCATGTTCCAAAGCGTGCTGACCCATTAAGCTTCCAGATTTCCCTTTTTGCTCTTGTATTTTCCTCTCCTTAGATATCCCAACTCAGACGCAAATGCAAGGATAGCATTCTTGATGTACTTCCAAATAAAAACAGTTCCAAACTGCTTTGTCCTTAAATAATTCGCACGAGCCTAACCAAGCCCCTGCCCTCTTCTCTTCGGGCACAGGAAATGCTGCGTATCTACAAATGTCTATTCCTAACTCAGATACGGAGTGTGGCAGCAGTTCTCACGTGTGCAGGAAACATTTTCCTCCGAAGAACCTCCCGGCAAATTGGGGGTTTTTTGTCTTTCTTCTTAACGTTTCTAAGAGAAAAAAATGAGTAAGTTGGCTGGACCACCATCTAGCCTCCAGAAACCAAAACAAAGAGAACCCCTCAAAAAGAACGAGTCACACAATAATAACAGCAGTTTTGGAACAACTTAAAACTTGTGTGAGCCTCCAAAAACTCTTTAGTCTGCAGGCAGGGAGTCTTTTCCTTCTGGGCATAATGACTGTCCTTTAAAACCCCAGACGCCTCTAAGCTAACGAGGCTCAAAGCTTCTTTGCAGCCACTATACCAGCAGGAACTCTGCAAACCCACCTGTTGCCATGTCAAGTTCTGCACAGGAGAGTGCTTGTAAAACGCTGCTTTAACCCCGTGGATGACGATTTTTAGGCTCCTTTCCTACATGTTTGGTTGACCTCTGCAGTATGCACTCCTTCTCGTGGTTGCAGTACAGACAATATCAACAGCTAAGGCTTAGGATAACTAAAAAGGGTGCCTAAGGACACCATGTGAATTAAATGTCTATACACAAGCAAACAACAGGTCCTCAGGACACAGTCTGATGAATAATTCTGGGTCAAGGCAAACACACTTACAGTTGCCAGCAGTTTGGCTGGAATGTGGTGTTCGCCACTTTATCACGCCGGTTTTCAGCCACTTCACCCTGGTAAAATCCTGTCTCTACCTAGTTCAAATGTACAAAGAGCACGAGCAAATTTATGAAATCACAGGGAAAAAAGGGGAGAATTCCGTAGAGACTTTCTTATCTGTCTCCAAATACTTTCAACACAGGGCAAACAGAGGCTCAACTCTTTAGGACAAAAGGTTTAGAGGAACTTCTCCTAAAAGGTGGGGTTGATCAAACAACTTCAAGGCTTCTTTCTGTGCTAACAATTTATGAAGCAGGCAGAGGCAGGAAGGAAAAGGGGAAGGGTCCACTGAGTGGTGAAGCAGAGGACAGAAAACAGAGCTCGAAGGACAAAACTGTATCACCAGCAGGACCTCTGTTACCCTCCCTTGCACACCCAGTACCTTGTGCCTTGAGGCTACTGATTTATTACAGATAAAACCTGCACAGGGAGCAGAGGCTTGGAAAGACCTGAGAATCCCTTTGCTCCCATCAAAATTCTTCTCTGATGCAGAATGAAAGGTCCAGTTTTTCTAGCAATATGTTACAATTACAATAGAGGACTTTTTTACATATATTTAGGCAGCCCTCCCTGAAAGCGTCATTCGCAAGACACAGCTGTATCTACGTAAAAAGCTGGTTACCCCGACACCACTTGGAGTGTGCTTCTGCATCTGCCGTGTGGAAGGGCAATGCCCTCACCTGTGCAAGTCCAGCTCCACGTGGGGAAAAATGAGTTTCTCTTTAATCAACTCCCAGATGATTCGTGTCATTTCATCTCCTTGCATCTCTACCACAGAACCGCCACGGATTTTTTGAGACATTTTGACTTCCGTAAACCTTTAAAAAGAAAAAAAGATATGATACATATCTTGTCATTTATTTTATTTCATTGTAGCGTAAAAACAAAATACAAGCAATCTGGAGACTACCAGAGAACAATTCATAACAGCCCGACTGCATAAAAAGTCAATACTAGCAATTACGTTTTCCATTAGAACTGAACACATTCTCTGCATAAACCATGTTACATAAAGCAGGTGTGTTTCTGAGTCAGCCCTCACAACAACCTGGTAAGATGGAAATTATTTTTCCATTTTACTTGGATAAAAGAACAGCTTTCCCGAGCCCACCTGGCTGGAGTGTGGGGAGACTGATGCTGCAGCAAGCCCTTAATGATGGATCTTATTCTCGACTGTAGGTTTGTCTTAGAAAATGAGATTACTTCCACAATATCATGTTTATTTGAACACTTCTATCCAACTCCTCACTTTACTGGGCCCTCAGGATGAGCAGGGTGATGTGTGCTAGTATTTTCCTCTTTTAAGAGGGTGTTTTGGCTAAAACAACTACCCTTGAGGAGATTCAACAAGTTCTTGTGACTCATGTTTAGGGAAACTTTAAGTCTAAAAGTGAAAGATGAAGGATTACTGGAGAAACTATGTTTTCCTAGAGACAATAGTAGATACTGGGGATGTCACACTAAATACAACGGTGATTTCTCCGTTACAGAAATCTGTGTATAGAAGGGTCCAAGCCCGTCCCTGTCCTGTTCCTCAGTATCCCAACTCCTGGACGGTTCTTCTGGTTGTTCATGGGTAAAGGTAAGCTGCCAGTGGGCAGGACAGGGAAACAGAATTGTTCCAGGAAAAGATATCTTCCTGGGATGTGGGAGTAGCAAATACAAATTGATCTGATTCCTAGAAAGGGCGGGGTGCACCCTTTGGAAGAAGCAAAACTCTGAGGCTTGAAGCAACACCATGTCCCAGGTGTGTCCCCAGAGGCAAAGGAGGGCCCTAAGGTGCTGCAGGCACCTGTTCCCTTGCAAGATGCTCTGATGGAAACTTCCTTATTCCAGCAACATAACTGCAAACTGCTTTCATCTCCTTGAGATACAGCTGAGGCCTGGAAAAGTCAGGAGAACTAACTTAAAAATTACTAGGTAAGAGGCCTATAAAGAGTATCTCTTGAAAAATGAAGCTCAAGTCATCTGACCTTTAAATTAAAAAAATGTCATGCCTCAGTTCCTGTGACAAGCCAGGATCTATTCCTAACCATCCTCGCTTCCCAAAGCGCAATTCTAGAACACTGCTTCTTGGTGTTCAGGAGGTGCCCTAGGCCATTACTGGGGAGCCATCTGGAACTCAACTTGAATAAAAGCAGTAAGCAAACTGGTGTGCATGAGTGGATTATGTCCCATCTGCAATTTCAGGTATAATTTGCAATACAGTTTAAAGTATACGGTTCAGTCATGCTGACCCCACTGTCACATCTGTCCTTGTATTTAAAACAAAACAAAACAAAAAAAGAGGCAGCAAACTGATCTTGGTCTTGATAGCACCTTTCCAGGGCTGTATTCCAACACAGTATTATGCAAGAGCCATGACTTGGCTATTTTTCCTTAATGGCAAATACAGCTACTTGAAACTTCAATACTGAGTGACAGGACTTTTTTAGGTATTTTCTTCTTAGGTGAAACAAACATCTTCTGCAGTAATCTTTCTACATCTCATAATATGCATAGCTGAAACATTTCAGGTTTTCCTCACATTTCTTATCCAGTAAAATTTTACCACCTTTTAAATAAAAAGTAAAGCTCCATTGTAGACCCTGGTTTACTACAACGCAGGACATTATTTCATGTCTTCTAGATGTCAATTTCGTGGGTTGGGCTTTAGGCTCCACTGGATTCACTTCTCTACTCTCTACCTCAGATTTTGTCACCGCCCAAACCCTGACTTCAAAAGGAAGGACTTTTCCCACAGGCCAGTTCATGTGGTGTGAAAGCAGCTGAATTCCAATCTCCTGACCCGCTTGTCCAGTTGCAGACAATAAACCCAGACTCACAGAGCAGTTTAAGAAAAAAGACTGCTCACCCTGTTTAATTCTATTTCATTAACCCCAAATTTTTAGCCACATTTTTTTTTTCTTTAGCTGAGATCACAAACTACAATCATTTCTGGACAAAAAGTAGTCTCTTGTACAGAAGTCGCAGGACTGAAAGAAACAAGGAAGCGCGGCGCTTTACTGTTGCAAATACCCTGGACTTGCTCCCCTGCGGCGCCTCTGCCGCCCTCCCGGACCTCTGGGACCTGCTGGACCTTCGGACTGCCCAGACCTCCAAGACCTCCAGAACCTTCAGGACCACCCAGACCTCCGGGACCCCCGAGTCCTCCCGGACCGACTGCCCGCAGCACTGCCGCAGCCTAGAGCCCAGAAGGGGAGTGCTCGTGCTCACCCTCGCAACGTGCAGTCGCCGGCCCTCGCTCCTGCAGACTCGCCGAGCGCGGTCTCTGTCCTAGAAGAACGGAGCAGAACCGAGACCTGGCGTGAGGTTGCTGTGTCCGAGCACTGCGCCGATCGACGCTGCCGGACTACCCGGTCTGCCCGGCTCAAGAGGCAGCTCGGGGCACGCCCGGGGCAGGGGGAGGGGTCGGGTCCGCAGGCGCCCTCTCGGGACGGGGAGGGTCCTCCGGGGACAGGGAGGTCCTCCAGGGACAGGGAAGGGCCTCCAGGGACGGGGAAGGGCCTCCAGGGACGGGGAAGGGCCTCCAGGGACGGGGAAGGGCCGACGGGGAGGGTCCTCCGGGGACGGGGAGGGCCTCCGGGAACTGGGAAAGGCCTCCGGGGACGGCGGGGCCTCCGGGAACAGGGAGAGTCCTCCGGGGACGCGGAAGGGCCTCCGGGGAAGAGAACGGTAGTCCGGGCCCGCACAAGCGCCTGTGGCCGTCAGTGCACTAACCGGCGACCCGGCTGCTCGGTCTCCGCCCCCGCGGCCGCGCTCCGTGCCGGCACAAGCACCAGCCCCGCGCGCCCCCGCACCCTCCTCCCGCGCAACCCGGCGTCGTCCCCGCCCGACCCCGCACCCTCCCCGCCTCCTCCGCCCGGCCGCCGCTCGGCCCGTGCACCGGCGAGGACCAGGCCAGGCCGCCCACACGCTCGAGCCCGCAGGCACCGCACCTTAGTCCGCGCGGGCACACGCCGTCCGGGCTCCTGACACCGCCTCCGCAGGAACCGCAGCGCAGTCCCGCAGGCTTCGCCGCCGGCTTTTGTCCACCGGGATCGGCCCCTCGGCCCACTTTCCGGCCACGCCCACTCCGTGGCCCCGCCCCCGACACGCCGCCAATCCCGCGCGCCGATCTCGCCGAGGTGGGCGGGGCCAGGCCCCTCAGCCCACCTCCCGGCCAGTCCTCCGCCCCGCCCACCTCCCGGCCCTGCTCTCGCCACGCCCTTCTGCGGCCTCGCCCCCGAGACGCCACCAATCCCACGCGCCGACCTCTCCGAGGTGGGCGGGGCCAGGGGTCAGGGACGGGTCCCCGAGCCTTGGGGCGAAGCCGCGGGTCAGCCTTCCCTGCGCTCCCGGTGCGGGAGGGGCTGCGGCGCCCCCTAGACTCGGGGCGCTCCCCGCGGCGGAAGGACGCGAACGCCCCGTGCAGGCTGGACACGCAGCGAGCGGGCCGCGCGGCGCGCTCCCAGGGCTCCGGGGTCTGCCGAGACCCACGCCGCCAGGGGCCCCGGGCTTGGCAGCGACCGAGGGCCCGGCTGCCGCGAGTTCCCAGGCCCATCCCCTTGCCTGCGCCCTGGACGAGCCCGAGACGGGTCACGCCTGTGGCAGAAGGAAGCGTGCTGTGGCGGGCGTGGGGCCGCGTGGGGCGTCTGGGCTCAGCTGGAGCGCAAAGCGCTGTCAACTTGAAAGGCACGCCCGCCTGTTATTTTACCCTCAAAAGGAGTTTACTCGGGAATAGCCCAAACAATCGCAACCGGACACACGCGCGATGCGGCGAAGCCCAGGCAAACACAGCCGGCGTGGACAGGGCTGCCTTTATAGAGAGCGGAGAGGGCGGGACTGTCCCAAAGGAAAGTCCATTGGGGAAGAGTGACAGTTCAGAGCGGCAACGGCTTCTCATTGGCCGAGCTGCCGCGTTTCTCATTGGCTGAGCTGTAGCGTCTCTCATTGGCTCAGCTGCAGCGTCTCTGATTGGCTGGGCTGTTGCCCCGGTGAGGAGAGGTCTTCCCTCCGTAGAGAAGTAGTTGTACTTCCTGTTTGGTGTAACTGAGGACGTGTGATGGGCTGTGAGAGCTCCCCCTGCAGGCTCTCATGATTCCCATTTAGCTAAGGTTTATTTTATTAATTTCCACGAGGTTGATCAGCTGCACAAGCAGGCATGCCACAGTAAATAATTTCTGCCACCACCCAGGGGGTGACCAGGTCTTTATTGGTCCGTACCTGCAATTCCTATTACTACTACATGAATAAACCCAGTTGTCATGTGCATTAGAAGACAGGGATAATGAGATTATTATTTGAGTTCCAGTGAAGCTGGATTAAAGATGTGGAGCCTTAAAAAACAGTGGGTTTAGGAAAAATTGTGTTTCCTGCAGGGAATTATGTTTTGTGTATTCCTTATTCTTGAAAACATGTCGGTGGGGGGCGAGGGGAGGAGTATTTTAAATTGTGATTTGTAGGAAAACAGCATGCTTGTATATTGCTGCCCAGGATTCAATGTCCCCAAATTTATTTTTAAAATGATCTCCAGCATCGGGTTATTACAATTACTCTTTGAAGACTGGCATGAAGGGCACGACACAAAGTGCATTTTGGACACTAGAAGGCACCAGTATTCTTCCCAAGAGAAAAGGAAGAAGGAAAGAATACATGGCGTTGAGCTTGTTAACTTTTGAGGTGGATTAATGGAAAGTAGCAGTCACCTCCATTTATTCCTGTAGAAGTGATGGTAGAGTTGTATGAACTCGTATTTTCATCTTGAATATGAGACCCAAAGTCACCTGAGGTTGTAAATTTACTCCATATGCTATCTTTTATTACCTGTTGCCCACTACTAAAATTATTTATATTCATTCTTGTTCCAGAAAGGCTTTAGAGCAGCCTTCAAGATATTTGCAATATAGCACTATAAGACATTGAATATAGGTGAAGAAAATGAACAAAAGAGAGAATAAATACAGGAAATTATACCGAACCAAGGTGAGTTTAACCACAAAATATATTCCATCGAATCCTAAACACTGCTAGAAATGGGCTACAAATTTGGAGCTAAGCCAGTTTGGGAGGAAAGGTAACACTTAAAGGCGTCTCAGCATCTAGAACAGTGTTTCCTAAGCCAGTGGTACAGGAACTCCTCTTTCGTTGAAAATATTTTTTGTAGATCCCTAGAATTGACTTATAATATTACCATATATATATATATATGCATAAAAGTAGATACATGCTCCTTTGCTGATAGCTGTTATACAAATATAAAATAACAAATGTATAGACAAAATGACTAGAAAGAAAGCTGTAAAACAATACATTGCCATTAACAACATTAATTAAATGTAACAAACTATGTTTGGCTGAAATTAAATTACTGCTTGGAATGTGAACATGAAGCTCATTGTTTACATTCTGGTTCTTTTGAATTTAGCTTGCCTCTTCTGTGGATGCCATATGAGGCTTCATTTAGCACATCAGTTTTCTCTGTCCAGTTAATATTGCATGGCTTGACATCATTTGTCTTTCACTTGGCCAATAAAAAATCTGAATATTTTAATATTATCTGACCCCAAACACTGTGTAAACACAAATAGAAACATGGCCACAAAATTTCTATCATAAGAGACACTTATTCAGATAACAGAGGATTTTCATAAATGTTGGAAGGCATCTGTATTTTCATGTTGATGATCTGAAAAAACAGGAAGTAGAATGAACAATTCATTCTACCTCATGGAGATTCAGTTCACTGAAATTCATTGGCCATGAAGATTATGGGAGAGAGAACAGCGAAGGTGATTTCTAGATTTGGGGTTTGGGTGACAGTGTGCCCTTCAACAAGGAAGGGATGTAGATAGAATCACAGATTTGATGGCCAAGGTAATGAGTTAAATTTAAGGTTTGTTAAGTTTGAGATGCCTTTGGGACAGCAAGATAGAGATGTCCAGGAGGTGGTTAATCACATGTATCTGGGGTTCAGGAGGGGTGTCTGGGCTGGAGAGAGAAATATGGGAATCTTCAGCATTGTTATGGGCTTAATTGTCCCCTCCCGCCCCTATTCATTTGAAGCTCTAACCCCCAGTACCTCAGAATGTGACTGTACTTGGAGATAGGACCTTTAAAGAGGTAATTACGGTTAAATAAGGTCATATGGGTGTCCCTATCAGAAGAGGAAATTTGCACACACAGGATGTCTGTGCACAGAGGGATGAACACGTGAAGAAGCAGCAAGAGGATGGCCATCTGCAGGCCAAGGAGAGAAGACTCAGAAGAAACTAACCCTGGTGGCACCTTGATCTTGGACTTCCAGCCTCCAGAAGTGTGAGAAAATAAATCTCTGTTTAAGCCACCCAGTCTGTGGCATTCTGTTATGGTGGCCCTAGCAGACTACTACAAGCATTTATCAATAGTACTTGAACTCAGAGGGTATGAGATCATCTAGAGGTACAGAGTGAGAAAAAAAGTCCACCTCAGCAAGGACTCTGCAGAACACTTAACATCTTTAAGAGCCAGGTGGAGGAAAAGGAACCCCCAAAAGAGAATGAGAAAGGACCCTCTGGCGGGTAGTAGAAGAATCAGCGAGTCTGATGGGAGCCAAAGGGAGAGAAATTTTCCAAAATGGAAGGAGTACTACACAGAAGTCAAGGAATATATAGCCTGAAAATAATTTTGGCAAAAGTAGGAGGACCTCATGAATGCACTTTAAGGAGAATAATTCTATCAGAATGATTCTGACACAAGCCATACTGTAGGAGATTGCAGTGCGACTGGGAGGTAGGGAAGGGAGACAAGAAAATTGTTTCAAGAAGATTGATTTGAAGTGAAAAAGAATGCTTTATAAGGTCTTAGTAAGCCTAATTTTTGATGGTTACATCCATCATTTAATTGTATTACTTTCGTTTGTGTCAGTTAGAAATTTGTTTCCTATTTATATATTTGTTTTTTACTGTTTTAAATAACTGACAAACATGTTTAGATAGACTTTTACACTTGAATCACTTCCTTAGGCTTGACTGCTAGAACTGGAGTTGTCGGACTAAGGAGTCTGAACATTTTTAAGGTCCTTGTTCATCCATGAAATTATTTTCCAGGAGGGATGTACATGTTCATGCTTTCACATGTAGTGTAGGAGAGTGCCAGTTTCATTACTTCCTAGCCAGAACTGAATTTCATGATTTTTAAAAATATCTTTGAGTTCCTTACTAAAGAGAACCAGAGCTCCTTAGGGAACTGACTGATTCTAGGCCTGGGGCAAGGATTGTTCAAGATGAGCCTGGTATACCTTAGTGGGTCAGAAAGTAAGGAAGTGCTCAAAAAGTGACGGAGGCATCTCAAATGGATGCAGGAGCCAGGTCCAAGGGGCTCTCACTGGGCAAATCAGGGGTAATCTGACCATCACCATAAGTAGTAGCAGTAATGACTTATAACATTGAAAAAAACCCATGAGTCCACATTGATACTGTTAAAAGATAAACTGAGGCATATTAAAAATGTTAAGAGTTTATTTGAGCAAGAGTTGGGTATCAAAAATGTGAAGCGGTTAGGGGCAGTCCACTGACAGGACCTGGGGAAAGACTTTTACAGAGAAGAGGTGAAAGCAAAGCAAGGAAGTTACCTGACTGGCTATGGCTTAAGTGAATGCCTTATTTGGGAAAGCCCAGTTGGCTGCTTGTCATTGGTTGTCTTGAGGTTTCAAATTCGCCCCCTGAGGCATTTCGGGCTGAGGTTTTGGTTTGCTCCTGCAGGCAACCAAGGCCTTAGAGCCACCTCAGGCTAGCAGCAACATCTCTGCAAAGGTTTTCTCCAGCTCCGGGGGGGAGTGCTCCTAACCACCTCCAGTTTGTTGCTGCCCTATTCAAATAGATTTCTGCTCAAATAAACTCTTTAAATTTTTAACATGCCTCAGTTTATCTTTTAACATCATAGTATATGGAGTTTCTATACACACTCGGGTCTTGATTGGGCTATCCTGTTCATATGCTCTCTGGGTCTAATCTAAACTGTCACCTCAAAAAGCAAATTCTCCTGTTATTTTATCCTCAAAATGAGTTTATTTGGAAATAGCCAAAAGAATTGCAATTTGGGATGTGCACACAATGGTGAACCACAGGCAAATCCAGAGAACAAGGGAGGAAGTGCTTTTATAGAGAAAACGGGGAGAGGGAGGGACTGTCCTAAAGGAAAATCCATTGCGGAGAGTAGCTCATCAGGGCAGGAATGGCTTCTCATTGGCTGAGCTGCAGCATTTCTCATTGGCTGGGCTGTGGTGTTTCTGATTGGCTGGGCTGTTGCTGGGGCAAGAAGTCTTCCCTCAGGAGTGGAGTGGTTGTACCTCCTGTTTGGAGTAACTGACCATGCGGATGGGGCGGGAGACCTCCTGCAAGCCCTCCCCATCCAGTCTAGTTGAGGTTTCTTTTACCAATTGCCACAAGACTTTGCTGTATGTCTATGAAATATTAACATCTCGTGGGCAAATCAGAAGAGGGGGCTTTTTGCCCGTCTTTTTTAGGAAGGCAGAGACAGGAGCAGATTCTGGGCGGAGAAAGAGTCATTGGTAAAGGGGAGATTGAGGACATGGGGCAAGATCCAGGGCGATGGGAGAAGAGGCCCTTTTCTCCCAGAGAAGAGGGCGGGCAGGCAGGCCAGGGCAGGTGTGGATGCAGGTAAACATTGGGGGGGGGGGGGGTGGTCAGATTGTCAGGGGTCGCACCCAACAGCCAGTCAGGATCATGGGGCTGCTTAGAAGAGCAGCGGTGAGGAATGGGAGGGGAAGCCGAGCAACATCCTGGGACGACTGTTGCGCCTGCTGGGGATGATGACCGGGATGCGCACGGGACCAGCCTCTAGGCTCCATCAGATGCTGCTCTCCAGCAGCTGGAAGACCAACTCCAGGGAAAATGGGAAGAGATTTGCCGAAACCTTAGAGGGTGGAAATTAATAAAGAAACCTCAACTAAACTGGGTGAGGAGGGCCTGCGGGGAAGCCTCGCCCCACCACACGTCCTCAGTTACACCAAACAGGAAGCACCACTACTGCACCACCGCGGGAGACTTCTCTCCGGTCCAGCAACAGCCGAGCCAATGAGAAATGCCACAGGCCAGCCAATGAGAGACACCGCAGCTCAGCCAATGAGAGACGCCGAAGCTCAGCCAATGAGGAGCTGGTGCCGCCCTGAACTGTCACTCTCCCCCAAAGGACTTTCCCTCAGGACAGCCCCGCCCTCTCCCCTCTCTACAAAGGCAGCCCCCTCGCGCCGGCCCCGTCCCCCCCCATCCCGCCGTTCTCAGGATTTGTCTCTGGTTCCCCACGGCGTGTACAGCCGGAATGGCACTTGTTTGGGCTAGTTCGAACAGACTCGTTCTGAGGGTAAAGCAACAGGCGAGCTTGCCTTTTGAGATGCAGAATTCAGGGAAACTGGCCCGCACCCTAGGCTTCCCTCCTTCTCCACCGCCCCTCCACTTGCGGGCAGCAGGCGTCGGCACGTCTTCTTCGGCTCAGGACACGATGACGGACCGGCGGCCAGGCCGGGCGACAGGGCGCTGCGCAGCTTCCCCGTCTGTGCCGCACGGAACTGGGACGGGAAGGGCAGCTCTGGCGCGGGCCGCTGGCTCGTCCCCGAGGCCGACCCGCCCGCCCGGCCGTCAGCTGACCCGGTAGGCCGCTGCTCACGCGAGAAGCGTTCGGCTCTCTTCAGGAGGGCGGAGCGGCCTCATCCCAGACTGAGCGCCCAGCCGCGCGTCGGGTGGAGAGGCGGGGCCCGCGCCCGGCGGCGCTGCGGGTTGGAGGGGAGGGGCGAGGCGGAGCCTCTGCGGCGCTACAGATTGGAGGGGAGGGGCGGGGCCGGCGGCGCTGAGGATTGCAGGGGAGGCAGCGGGGTGGAGCCTCGGCGGCGCGGCGCTAGGAGGGGCGGGACGGAGCCTCGGCGTTACAGAGGATTGGAGGGGAGGCAGCGGGGCGGAGCCTCGGCGGCGCTGCGGATTGGAGGGGACGACCGGGGCGGGGCCTCGGCGGGAGGCGGGGCCGCGTCCCCGAGTAGGCAGCGCGGCTTCCGGTCCCGCCTGCCGGCGGCGGAGTCCCGGCGCTGTTGCGGCCCGGCGTCCTGCGCCCGAGCGTGAGGGGCGGCGCGGAGGGCCCGGGGCCGCGGGGGGCGGGGTGAGGAGCCTGGCGGGCGGGCGGGCTGGCTGGGCGGAGGGTGGGCCTCCCGGTGTCTAGGCCCTGTGGCGGGCCGTTCCCGGATAATGCGGGGGCGGCCCCTCGTGCGCGCCGTCGGCGTCCGGGAGTAGGGAGCGTCCGGCGCGGCGGCTCGGCGGGCGCGGCAGGCGCGGTCCTTCCGAGGCGCTCGGGGGGGGGCGCGGACGGCGGGCCCGCTCTCTCTCCTCGGCGGAGCGGGCGACTCTCGGCGGGGCGGCGTTCTGGTCTTCCTCGGGGCCTGCGGCGCGTCCCGGTGCCTCCGCCCTGGGTCACGGGAGGCGCGGAGCGTTTCAGAGACGGAGCGTGGGACGCCCGACTCCGGGGTCTCCGCCGGCTGAGCGGCGCCTGCGCCGGCCCCGTGTCCGCCCGGTGCGCCCCGCGAGAGGCAGGGCCGCCCTGGGCCGCGGAGCGCGCAGCTGGGTGACTCCGCGGGGCGGGGCGCCCCAGGGGCTGCGCTCGCCGGGGTCTCGCGGTGGTGGTTCTCGCACCCGGAGCCCAGGGGCGCTGGTGTCCGTGGGACGCAGGCCTGAGGGTGGCGGCTGCCCTGCGCTCTTCCTCAGGGGTGGTCTCCCCCTGTAGCTGTTTGTGTTTCCTCTGCTCGCCCGCCCTGCCTTTCCCAGCGCTGCGCGCCGGGGCAGAGCTGTCAGGCCGTTAGAGGGAGTGTCCCTGCCGCCCCTCCGCCTTTCCCCCAACCCCTTCCTCCGTCCCCCAGCCCGCTCCTTCCTTTCCTCCTCCCTCTGCCCACCCCACCCCCGACCCGGCTCCTACCTCTCCTCTTTCCTCCCCCCACCCTGCTTCTTCCTCTCCTCCTTCCTCCCCCAACTCGCTCCTTCCTCCCCCCATCCCGCTCCTTCTTCTTCCTCTTCTCCTTCCTCTTCCTCTTCCCCCTCATTCTAATAAACATTTGTTGCCAAAATTCTGTTCAAGTCAGTGGTTTCGTTTCTGCTTTAATTTAGTCAGTCAGTTAGATTATTAATCAGGAACATCTTGAGTAATTAGAATTCAGGTAGATAGAGCTACAAAAATAATATTGCTCTAAAGAAGAATTCTGGGGTGAAACTTGGGGTCTGGTTACAGCTCTACCGCTGACTAGCTGTGTGACCCTCAGGAAGATTCTCAGGTTCCCTGTGCAGTGATGCCTCACGGGTGAAATGTAGTGATGAGGCCAGCTCTGTGCACCTCCCAGGGTTTTTGTAAAAATAAAAGGAGACTGTAGATAGGACTTTGAGAGTGAAAAGCGTTTTATAAGAGTGTAATGTTCTTTTTGTGAAGTATAAATTAGGTTACAATCCATGGCATTTTAATGACTAGAATTATTTGTAGCTCATGGTTCTCTTTTATTTGAAGTGTTAATCGATATGGCAGAAAATACATCAGCATTTTTCTGTAGCCTCCATCTGGGCATGTGGTCAGCTTTACTGCTTTGGTTGAATTATAATTTTTGGTTCTTTAAAAAAAAAGCCCTTTAAGATCTTCATTTTAATGCCACATGAGTTTAGGCTCAAAAGCAGAAAATCCAGGTTCCTGTGCCTGGGAGGAAAGATGATGGGAACAGCTTGTTGTTTTGCTGGTTCTCACGGGTGAGGAGGCATAGTTTATGGTCATTTTTTGAGTTTGTATAAGAGCGTCATTAAGGGATGACTATTTCATTTCCTTTTCTTGGAAGTATTTTTTAAAAGAAAAAATTCAGATAAGGCAAATGAAACTTTGAGGAATTTATATGCTTGCGTAAAACCAGTTTTCCCCATAGCTTTAAAAAACTATTATTTCCAGAAAATCGTAAAGTGAAAAAGATATAAATTATGTGAAAGTGTTTTCTTTCTTTTTACCTGTTCACATCTATGCCTTGCCTCCAAGTTTTTTTTCCCCCCACCCCGAGGAAGATGAGCCCTGAGCTAACATCTGTCAGTCCTCATCTTTTTGCTGAGGAAGACTGGCCCTGAGCTCACATCGGTGCCCATCTTCCTCTACTTTATATGTGGGATGCCTACCACAGCATGGCTTGCCACGCGGTGCCATGTCCACACCGGGGATCCAAACCTGTGAACCCTGGGCCACGGAAGCAGAACATGTGCACTTAACCGCTGTGCCTCCAGGCCAGCCCTGCCTCCAAGTTTTTAAGTGTTGATATTTTCTGTAATTTGAAGAGTCCAGGTGAAAGTTAGATTGGCTGTATCATTGTGGTTTCAGATGATCGAGCCTCCTCTGTACGCCGGGGCTGCAGTGTTCTCCACTCTTAGTTTGGAGTCTGTGCTGAACTGGATTTATTTGTTTTTGGTTTTCATGGGTATGAATTTTCAGTCAGAATTCTCGATATTTGGATGCTGTTTGGAAGCTTTTTTGGGCTTTCTCAGGAACTCATATCTTTTGCTTATTTCCTTTGTTTTTTAGACTCATGAAATGGCCACAGATGATAAGACTTCCCCAACATTGGACTCTGCTAATGATTTGCCTCGCTCTCCTGCTAGTCCTTCTCATCTCACACACTTTAAACCTTTGACTCCCGATCAGGACGAACCTGCTTTTAAGTCAGCATATAGTTCTTTTGTAAATCTCTTTCGATTTAACAAAGGTAAGACCTAGTCTTAAAGATCAGAGAACCTACAATTCTGAGTCTATGAAATTCTCTTGTTCAACTTTCGTGCTCTGTCTTTGCAAGAAAGTGAAATATTAACATGGAGATGGCTTTAGTCATAGGTCACTGGAGTTTACTGCTTAAGAAGAGAAAGCTAGAATTTTCACTGCCATCTTATTAATTATTGGCAGCTGAAGATCTGGATTGAAAACTAAAAGGATGTATCTTTTTAAAGAGAAGTTAGCATTCTCGCATTCCTTTTTTTTTCCTTTATTAATACATTTTAGTTTCCTTAAGTTCACAAAATGGACTTTGTTGTTCTTTTGGGGGTTAATAGCCAAAAGATTTTAATTAAAGCAATGAAACTCAAGGACCAGGACATGGGAGAAAAGGTTCATAGTTTTTCAAAACTCAGAAGCCGTCAGTAGGGTGTTGATGACTGAACCCATTAGATTAAGGTGTACCTGTAATGACATCGAATGAAGAGATTTTTAAGTAAGCTGTTTTTAAGTAATACATTTTTTACCCAGAAGAAGAATTAAAAAATATAGCCTACATCTTTTACTTTATATTTGGCTGTATTATTTGAAATGTGTTAGAAAGTAATCCCTCTTGTTGTAAGGAATTTGGGGAGTTAATAGTTTAACTCAGTAGAAATTTCAGTAGTATTAACTGACTTTTGTTAGTAGTTATGTTTAAAGCTCTATAAAAACTCCTGTTAGTCCTTTTAAGACAATGATATTTTTTAAAAACTACTGAAAAAACCTTATTTTTTAGAATACTTTCAGATTTACAGAAAAATTGGGAAAATAATACAGTTCTCATATACTCCCACTCCCAGTTTCTCCTATTATTAACATCTTACATTAGTGTGGTACATTTATTACAATTAAGGAACCATTATTGATACATTATTAATAACTAAAGTATGTATTTTATTCATATTTCTTCAGTTTCTACCTAATGTACTTTTTTTATTCCAGAATTCCATCCAGGATACCGCATTACATTTAACCATCATAAGACAATAATCTTTTTATTTATTTAGCAAATGTTTATTGCACAGCTACTATCCACTGGGCCTTATTTTAATAGAGCAAGGGATTTACCCTATAAACAAAACAGAACAACGACAATTCCTGTCTTCCTCTGAAGCTTGCATCCTGTTTCCTTTATATGCTCAAGAAATTTCTCTTGAAAAGTAAAAGAAACTGAAGATCACATATACCAAGGATGTGATTATTGGCCCCCTTTTTGAATTTCTTTTTTGAAAAAAAAAAAAACCCTAATTTTTACTTAAGCATTTATATAGGTCTTCTTTCGTTCCTGAAAAATCTCACCTATTCTCTTTGCTGAGCTCAGAGTCTTAGTGTTCAAGTAATGCCAAGCTTTCCTCCGCTACAGACAGAGCAGAGGGAGAGCAGCAGTCTCTGACTGGAGGTTGGCCCAGCCCTCAGCTGCCTTCAAGGACACAGTCTGTGAGGTCACCTATACCCTATAAAAAGCAGCTTACTGAGGAGCTCCAGCGGCGGCCTTCAGCAGTGCTGGGTAAGACGGTGTTCCTGTTTCATTCTCTGTCTGTTAGGTTTCCCTACAGTTGTCGTGTTCCCAGGTGGTTTGTTGGCTTAACTGTTCTGCTATTTGGAGTAGTCAGGAACTCTTCAGAATTCATGAAACTGTTATCTAGATAGTGAAAGAATTTGTTAATACCTGAAAAAAATTCCCAAACATTTCATTAAACTTTACTTTAGGCAAGGCAGGGATCTCTTGACTGTGTTTTAATTACTTGCTTGGGTTTCAGCAGAGAACAGTTTGCAGCACCCCCAGGAGAACACAGGTTAGTTTCGCCTTTGTGGCTGACTTCTGCATCTGCTCCTGCGTGGCTGGTGTCCTGTATCGTGCATGCTCCTGGCTGCAGAACTCCCTCAGTCCGTTAGTGGGCTGCTGCTTGCTCTGGCCTTGGCCCCTTGTTTGGTGCAGGCGGTCACTGTGGCTGGATGAGCTGAGCTCCACTTGCTTTCGGCCTTGGGTCCTTGTTGGATGCAGACGGTCAGTGTGGCTGGGTGAGCTGAACTCCACGTGCCTGATTATTCTCCATCCGGTCTGCAACACACTCACCACCCTGTTTTCACGCTCTTCTGATGAGCGTAGGCTGAGGACAAGTGCCTGAACTTAGAGACTAGATAAAAGTAAGTTGTTTTGTATCCATTAGATTATGAAACTCAGTGCAGTGGTTTGCCCGACTCAAGGTGATAGAAGAAAGGCGCTGAGAGGCGGCATAGTAGAGAGGTGCAGCATTAGACATCAGGTGCCTCTGAACACTGGCTCCTGTGTGGTCTGGCCGGTCTTCCCTGTGAGAAATAGGCACGCACAGGTGATGGTGGTTGGCAGAGGGTGTTTCATTGCGAGTTGAGGCTTTTCTCAGAACCTCCTCCTGGTGGGTAGAGGAGGAGGAGAAATCAAGCAGAAGAGTTCTTCCCCGAGGGCTTGCAGAGCTGGCTGCGTCCCCCCTGCAGGTTTCCTGGGGCAGTGAGCCTCGGCCTGGGTTATGGCCGCTCTTTGGAAGGGTCAGAGGTGGAGGGGAGAGGGAATCAGCTCTCCTTTTACTCAGATGGCTGGGAGGAGGAGGCCATCTGCCTCTACCTCCAACCTCGGTGAACTCCTTAGCTGTTGAACCTGACCCATGGCAGCACTCCTGTTTCTGTTGAGGGAGCTCTTCTTAATTCAGCGTAGGATTTCTTCACTTGTAAAATCAAGGAGTTGGACTAGAATCTGCTCTTTTAGGGGGTACAAACTGACAGCCTGCCAGACCTTGCCTTGCTGTTTTGATGAATTTGAATTTACGTATGGCTCATGGAGCTCGTGATTTCTGCTTTGCTGCAGGCCCACCATTCCTTATAGTCCCTATCATGTCCACTTGATTCTTTGCTCCGACCTTGGCTGCCGGAGGCATCTGAGCTTCATAAGCCTGGGGCTGTGTGGCCAGTCAAGTTCCTTTTCCTACTGAAAGGCTGTAATTCCACATTTTACTGGCTCCATGACTTTAGAAAGGCTTAATTTTCTAATATCTATTTTACAGGAGAAGCAACTAAGGTTAGTTGCCTAAGGGCAGTTGCTAGCCCACATTTCCTCTCTGGTCAGGTCTGTCTTCCTCATTTGAGATCTGTGAGTCTTTTGGTTCCAGAAACCGTCTTGCTCTTCCTTTCCCGAAAGATGATGCTTGTAGTACCCTTTCATACTCCCAAGTGGCTGAATACAAGGGGCTTCGCAGCTCACTGTTGCCTGTGCATGGGGGCATGGCCGCTGCGATGCTAACAGATTTCATCTGTCTCTCTTTTCAACTCATAAATCATGGAGAGTTGCTTTATCTTGTGATACCCAAGAAAAATTTGGCCATTCTAATACATTTTTATATGTTTTTGTTCTAGGACATTGCTATTTATGGAAAGATAATGTTTTCAAAGTTTTCTAACATAGGTGCAGTTTAGATAATTATTTCTGTAATTAAATTATCTTGGGAAGTTCTTTGTTAGGTTAGATTTAGGTACCAACCTCTCATTTCTTTGTAATCCTTTCTTTCCCACCCAGCCAAAACAAAGAACACCTAAAACAAATCTAGCAAATAAGTGAGTTTGAGAAAGATTTAGGGTGGGGCATTTTATTAGGTTAATGAATTGAAGCTAATAGGGATGTTCATCCTTTTTGTCAAGCCACCTGCACTTCATCCTTAGGTTTTGTAACTGCTGGGAGCCAGATATAGCTAGAAACTTTAGTTGTAATCTTGCTCGAAAATAGGGAAATAATTTGTGACAGCTTTGGTGGGCACACCCCATTCTGGTCACAAAGCTGGAATTTGGGCTTGTTTTATTATGACAGGACCGGCTTCAGTATTGCTATTTCAAGCATAAGCAATCTCTTTCAGTTGGAGCTGCAGGGTGGGGAGTGGCGGGGAGGGTAGGACAGGAGTTCTAGCAATTCCTTGGCAGTTCTGATCTGCTTAGACAACTGTGAAGGAAAGTCTGTGGTTAAATTGCCATCTGGATGTTGTTGTTCTGAAGTCTGTCAGGCTCTTTGGGGACTGGGCTGTTAAATTCCTTTCTCATGATCCGCTCCACGAGACTTTGGATAGGGGGTCCACAGACTGAACGGAGCTGTGGACTCTGTTGCTGACCTTTTTGGCTGTAGAGATAAGCTAGGTTAACTCACTGAGATTGCTTTTTCTTCTGCTAAATTTCTAGCAGGTGTTTATTATGGCTTGGGACCAAAGGGCCCAAGAAATCACTAGTAAACTTTGGTCTGTGTAAGCGATGCTCCCCTCCCAGGCCTCACAACCATCAGTGGGCTCAGAGAGTGCTTGTCTGAGGCTGCCCTTACTTGCTTGTGAGGCAGCGTTTTACATGGTAATAAGAAACACTTTCAACAGCCCCTTACCTTTATAAAGACCAGTTTTGGCTCTCAATCCGTATCACGTCTGGGAGAACACAGTATATGCTAAAAATAAGAGGCACTTTGCATCTATACTGGAGACTATTAAGGTTGCATTTTTTTTTTTTTTGATTAATCTGACTCAGACACAAGAAGGAAAACAGAACCTACCTTTGGCGGTCATGACCCTCGTACAGCTGTTCAGCTTCGAAGCCTCAGCACAGTGTTAAAACGCCTCAAGGAAATCATGGAGGGGAAAAGCCAGGTATGTCTGGAGTGTTAGAAGATGACTTCTGACTCCCTTGTGTGGGGATCGTCGTTCTTGCTGAAAAGGTGGTATGCCACTTGAAGAACACTCAGTTAGTATATTCTAGCTCCAGAGTTTTGCACATAAGTTCTTAATTTTAATCTACCAGTTTTTTCTCCTTTTATGGTTAGTGCTTTTTGTGTAATGTCTGAGAAGTGTTGGTGTAGCCCAAGGTTAGTGAGTATTCTCCCATGGCTTCTTCAGGAGGCTCTGTTACTTGTGTGCAGTATGTGGGTCAGGCTCCATTTTCTGCTTACAGATGTCCAGCTGGACCCAGACCCATGGACTTCGTGTCAGAGTGTGTATATGTGAGAGGGTGTGCCAGGGCTCTGTTCTCCGCTCCATAGCTCCATTTCTTCCTGCCCTTGCGCTAAGCTGTCTAAAACCGTTGCAGCTGTAGAGTGAGTCTTGATGGCTGGTGGTGTGAGTCCTTCAACTTCCTTCTCCTTCCAGATGGCTTTGGTCGTTTTGGCCCTTTGCATTCCCATATGAATTTTAGAAATAGTGTGTTGATTTCTGCAAAAGGAGCCTGGGATTTTGGCTGGCACTGCATTTTGCCTTTGTATCCTAAGAAGCTGTTTTCAAGAGGCTGTGCTCCTCTCTGCGGTTGCAGGACAGTGACCTGAAGCAGTACTGGATGCCGGACAGCCAGTGCAGAGAGTGCTACGACTGCAGCGAGAAGTTCACCACCTTCCGGCGCAGGCACCACTGCCGGCTCTGCGGGCAGATTTTCTGCAGCCGCTGCTGCAATCAAGAGATCCCTGGGAAGTTTATGGGCTATACAGGTGAGTGCATTCTTTGAACAGTTTCACAATTTTTAAAGGTTGTAACCGAAAATAGTTGTAACAGGGGACCACTGTTGGGCCAGCTTTTATCTTGGGCTTCTTGTGTGAGACACGGGAGACACAGCTTTGCAGCTTTGCTTTTAAGGACTTTATGGTTGAACAGTGAAGCAGGTGGGGATGTTGGTGAATAACAGAGTAGAAGACAGTGTATCGCTGATGCTGGCAAAGCCCGTAGGAGCATTGAAGCGTGTTGGACAAGGTGGCCGCTAGTTTCCGTCTCCGTGAGAGTCTTCGTCTTACACATGCACACCTCCTTGAGTGATGGGACGCTGCACTTTGGCGAATTGCATCTTACTCATATTCTTCTATAAATTTCAGCAATGCAGAAATTTTAAATTTGATGACACGGGAAAACCTAAACAGTGGTGTGTGAATTTATACAGTGATTTGGGAGTGGAAGGTGGGCAGAAGTTGCCAGAAAGAGAACACTCTCAGCATCTCTTTCATGTTATTTTTATTACCATGCAGGTCTTCCTCTTGGCCTTATTCATTTTTTTCCCCCCTAAACTGTTACAGAGTTCAGGCCCAAATTATCTTTTATCCAGATTTTGGCTGCAGCCTTTAAAAGACTATTTTACCTTTAGTTTTTCCCTGCCACTATTAGTCAATAACCTTTGTTAATCTAATTTGATCCTGTCAGGTATTCCCCTGCCTAACCCTCTCAGAGCCGCTGTGACCCTTAGGGTAGTTAATTGGGGGCTGTGTATTAGCTTCCTCGGGCTGCCATGATAAAACACCATGAGCTGAGTGGCATAGAACAACAAATTTATTGTCTCACGATTGCGAGGCCAGAACTACCATAATAGCCCTCACTCCACAGGTCCGGGACCAGTGTAGAGATTCTGCCGGTTGCTGAGTATGTGTTCCAATTACGTCTTCTAGAACTGGGAATAACCACAGAGTGGGTTCAGGGGCCCACTGAACCCTCCGTGAGATGGACCTGAGCTGATGTTCTGTTGATCACATGAGCTCCGTGAGCCCCGAGCTGCCTGGTGGACCCTAGGAACGTTTCAAGTCTCCCAGGCTTAGTGTCAGTTCAGAGCCAGTGTCGGCTGGTCCCCACAGTTTGACCGTTTCCCTCTCAGTGCACAGTCACCCTGGTAAAATGCTATGGGTCCCTTTGGGGAAGGCTGGTAGAAAGAGGAACAATATAAGCTTTTGGTAGTGGAGTGAGGTTCTTCCTTAAGGGGACCCAGCCTCCCCTTCATTCAAGGAATTCTGGGTGTGTCAGTGGCTTAAGTCAGAGAATTGATGAGGGGTCACGACTCTGTTTTTGATTCGAGTTAGACTTCAATCCACTTGGTCTAGAATTCTTCCTCTTACATAGATCAAGTAAGAGTTTGGTGGACTGCACATCTCCTTCACTTCTAGGAGTACTGTGGTCAGGGCTGTAGGCCTCAGCGTCCCACTGTTCTGACTGCTGCTTTCACTCTGTTATCTATTGTGGTAACCATGCCCACCTGTCTTTGGTGCTTAGGTGCCACCACTTTCCCCCTGCCACTCTGGGATCCAGTGATCTGCATTGCATGTGGGTTTCCCAGGTCACTGGCAGCAGTTCCCGCTGTAATTTCTGGCTGACAGAGATGAGTGACCACAGAGCTCTGCAAGGATGTGGGGTCCCCCTCACAAATTTATTCTCACAGTCGTGGTGAAAATATGCTCTCTGGACCTGAGTGAGTGAGCAGGTCGTACCTGGTAAATCTGCTCCTAACGTTAGAGTCTCCTGAGGCCTTTGGACCCCTTCCTTTGTAGGGTGCTAGGGCAGCTCTGGCATTTCAGCTTCATTGTGTGTAGGCAGCCTTTGTCCATGCTTCAGCCAACCAGCCAAGCAGACTGTTAGAATGCCTTTGAACCCCTAGAGCTACAACATTAAATCTCGAATCTCTGCTTAGTGGGCGAATTTCAGTAAATTCGGCTGGATCCAGGTTTTTGTTCTCTCAACTGTCATCCCACACCCTTAAAACCCATTCCCATACGTGATCCCTGGGTTTCTGTCTGTGTCGGTTGGAAAAATCCTGTTGCTCTTTTGGAGTGTAGTCCACCTCCTCGTGCTCACACTCATACCCCACCTTTCAGGGCCTGCTGGGCCTCGAGTCTTGTGGGTCTAGAAGCAAGGAAGTGGTGGGAGTAGGTCCTGAGGAGAATTAGAGTGTCTTGCAAGGCAGCTAACTTGGGAGGCTGTCGTGGCTTTCTCAGGCAAAGCAAGCTTAGTTCCCTCTGACAGAGTGGAGAGGCTGCCTCTACTAGCAAAAAATCCTCAGCAGAATTTAGGTGTTCATGTCCCCAGCTTCATCAAGATCTTCCTGTGTGTCCCCATTCTGGTTTTCCGGACCCCATTCCTTCCTATCCTTGTGCTCACCTCGACAGCAGACGCTGCAAGGCTGTGATGCGGTGCATTGTCACTCAGCCGCGTGCAGGCAAGGCTCTTGCTTTAACTTTCAGCAGCCTCAGCTCTGTGGCTGCAGGAGACAACAGCTTCTTTCAGGGAAGACATAGACGCTTAGGTAATTTGTTCAGTTCTTGAGCTGGGAATTTGAATTCCTGAGATCATCCTTTGCTTTTCCGCCATTCTGTCCAGTGCAATTAGGAGCAACCAGCCAATCTCATTATACTTGTTAGTTTGACGGAAACATTCCAAGACATCAAATACGTGGTCACCGGAACTTTGCCTCTGTTAGACAGTTGATTAGGAGTGTCCACAGCTGATGCTTGACATCATGCCATGGACTGTCAGTGTTCTCTTTACTCCTGGAAATAAAGTCATTAATGCCTTCAGATCTCATCAGATTAGAGGACCAATTCCAGAAATCCAAGAACCAATTCAGAGAACCATCCTTAAGATTCTGTTGCTCTAGAACCGCTCTTGGTACAAAAATTTGTATTAGAGTTCTCTAGAGAGAACGAATAGGGTATTTACACTCCCCCCCCCCGCACCGACAGAGAGAGGTTTATTTTAAGGAGTTGGCTCAAGGATTATTGGACCAGGTAAGTTTGAAATTCTCAGGGCAGGCCAGCAGGCTGGAAACTCAAGCAGGATTTCTATCTTACAGAGCTGAGACAGAATCCTTTTTCCTCTGGAATCCTTAATCTTTGCTCTTAAGCCCTTCAAATGACTGGATGACGCCCACCCACGTTATGGAGGATAATCTACTTAAAGTCAACAGATTGTAAATGTTAGTCATATCTAGAAAAAAACCTTCCCCAGAACAACTAGACTATTGTTGGACTAAACTACCAGTCTCGCCAAGTTGACACAAAATTAAGCATTGCAAGTGTGATGATAATGTATGCTGGGCACAGCTGTGTTTTGTGGCCCTGAATACATGTAGAATACCTGGAATAACATCTGGCACAGAGAAAGGGATCAGCGAGTATTAGGCCATTATTATTGGTGGTGGTAGCAGTCTTATCTCTGCATCTGTCAGCAACCTTTTTTAAAAAAATTTTTTTATTAAGGTAAGATTGGTTTAACATTATATAAATTTCAGTTGTACGTCATTATGTTTCAGTTTCTGTGTAGATTACATTGTGTTCACCACCCAAAGACCAATTACCGTCTGTCACTATACCTGTGCCCTGTCACCCCTTTGTCCTCCTCCCTCCCCCTTGCGCTCTGATAACCACCGTTCTAATCTCCGTATCCCTGTCTGTGTTTGTGGTGGTGGTTTTTATCTTCTACTTGTGAGTGAGATCATATAGTATTTGACTTTCCCTCTGATTTATTTCGCTTAGCATGATATCCTCTGGGTCCATCCATGTTGTCAAAAATGGCAGGATTTCATCTTTTTTTATAGCTGAGTAGTATCCCATTGTGTATATATGCCACACCTTCTTTATCCATCCATCCCTTGATGAACACTTAGGTTGTTTCCAGTGCATCCTTTTAATTACATGGGTGTCTGTCGCCTCCAGTGGACGGAGCTCTTTGATGGCAGGGGTGTCTCCTCAGTCTGTGTGCTTGTCACGTAATACAGGCATGTGCTTGGTGGGCCCCGGCTGATGAAGGTTCTTCGTGAGAGGAAAACTTTTCCGGCCAGGCTTGGCTCTTCTCTTTATTGGTCTGATCATTTTCGTTCTAATAGCTGCCTGATTAAGGGAGCTTTATGGTGTAAGAAATGAACCAGGCCTCTGTTGTGGCAGCTTACAGAGCTTTCTGCAGAAAGTGGTTTCACTTCCCTGCTGTCCTTCTGCTTTGCGCAGCGGCTGGTGGTGTGTCCTCGCACTCTCATTTGTCTTGGACTGCAGTTCACTGATTTTTGGTCCTGACCAAAGTAGATATATTTTTCTTTAGAGTTTTAATAAATTTCATCTGTTGAATTGTGGTGTCAGAAATGAGTAATACAACAAGCAATATTTAATTTTGCTTAAAATACATGCATAATTTAATAAAAATGCCATATGATAGTTGTCTTAAAATGAAAAAATAAAAGGCCGTTTGTTGTACTTGGTAGTAATTATGGTAAAAACACAGTGCAGTTGACTTTTAGAAGTCTTTTGTTCCATGTCACTTAAGTTTTCTAATGTTAATGTTAAAAAACAAAGTAGAATTGTAAAATAACATGTTACTAGTAAAGTTTCATTATCTTACGTCCTTTTTTTAGTACACTAAGATGTTATAGAATTGCATAAAAATTGTTACAGAAAAACAGGGTAGAAATGGAAACTTACATTTGGGCAGGACTGCATCTTAAGAAAAATACATTTCCATTGTAACTTTCACTATAAGAATTTCTTTTAGGGGGCCGGCCCAGTACTACAGCAGTTAGGTTCACACATTCCGCTTCTCGGTGGCCCAGGGTTTGCCGGTTTGGATCCCGGAAGGGGACATGGCACTGCTTGGCAAAACCCATGCTGTGGTAGGCGTCCCACATATAAAGTAGAGGAAGATGGGCATGGATGTTAGCTCAGGGCCAGTCTTCCTCAGCAAAAAGGAGGATTGGCAGCAGTTAACTCAGGGCTAATCTTCCTCAAAAAAAAAAAGAATTTCTTTTATAGTTTCCCCCTATGTTTCATATTGTCCGTAAGCCCATTTTCTAGTAGTTTTTAAACTGTGCCCCCCACCCCCATTGTGGAGGGGACTCCGCAAGGCTTCACAATCAAGACCTAAATAGCGTTTTTCCTGCTTACTTGTTGCCTAGGGAAAATATGTTGTTTCTATTTGTATTGGTTTAAATACTCTAATAAAAATCTTTTTCTTGAATCTGCTCACTCTGATAGATGCCTTATTTCACTTTTAGAACTTTGAAAAATGCTCTTTTAGTGGAGTTTTCTAGTACATTGAGTCATATTTTCTTAATTCATTATAAATATTTGAGGTAATTTGGATACCTGAATGAATGTGTATCATAATGAAGGTTTTTAATATATATAACAGAGCTAACAAGATTATTTCGCTTTTTTTTTTTTTTGAGGAAGATCAGCCATGAGCTAACATCTGCTGCCAATCCTCCTCTTTTTGCTGAGGAAGACTGGCCCTGAGTTAACATCCGTGCCCATCTTCCTCTACTCTATATGTGGGACGCCTACCACAGTGTGGCTTGCCAAGCAGTGCCATGCCTGCACCCGGGATCCGAACCCACAAACCCTGGGCCACTGAAGCGGAATGTGCGTACCCAACTGCTGCACCACCGGGCTGGCCCCTATTTCACTTTTTAAATGTCTTTTTTGGTAGTCTTTACTTGAAGACATTTCTCTGTTGTTAGATTAACTATTTTTTTTTTTTTTTTAAAGATTTTATTTTTTTTCCTTTTTCTCCCCAAAGCCCCCCGGTACATAGTTGTGTATTCTTCGTTGTGGGTTCTTCTAGTTGTGGCATGTGGGACGCTGCCTCAGCGTGGTCTGATGAGCAGTGCCATGTCCGCGCCCAGGATTCGAACTAACGAAACACTGGGCCGCCTGCAGCGGAGCGCGCGAATTTAACCACTCGGCCACGGGGCCAGCCCCTAGATTAACTGTTAACCCAAGGGTTTAATATGTTCTGTTTAGTAACATGTCACTGTTATCCTTTGTTTTTCTCTCCTAGGGGACCTCCGAGCTTGCACATACTGTAGAAAAATAGCCTTAAGTTATGCTCATTCCACAGACAGTAATTCCATTGGGGAAGACTTGAATGCTCTTTCAGATTCTGCTTCCTCTGTGTCTGTACTTGATCCGAGTGAACCCCGAACACCTGTTGGGAGTAGGAAAGCCAGCCGGAACATCTTTTTAGAGGATGATTTTGCCTGGCAAAGGTACTGTCACCTAAATATAATTTTATTTATATTTGAGAAACATTGATAGTTTTGTGACATCAGTGCTTTTAGTTAACATTTAACTTCTCTAATTGTTTCCTCCAAATTCACTGTTGTCTCCTTTTTCCTTGGCTTGCCTCCAGAAGGATCACAGAAGGTGTTTATGAAGAGTGGTGCTGTTGACTAATTAGAATTAGCTCTACAATTCACTGTACAATTCCTGGCACCAACAACAGTGTAGGGCATACATGTGGTCTTGATAATATTTGTTGAATAGGCATCAGAAATTATTGAGATTAATAATTTCTAATGTAGCCTTGAGAAGGAGGATGCTCTTAAGATTTGTATTCATAATATTTGTAAATGAAATTGGGTTTTTTTTCCTTCCCAAGGAAGATTTCATGTTTTTCCATGTGTCTAAATGTGCTTCACTGCCTGCTGGTGGAGAATGATACTAACTCGTTCTTGGAAGTTACCTAGATTGGTTGAATTAGAATCCTAAGTTCATCAGTTTTTGATTGTTTTCTTTAGGTTGGTAATTTTCTTATGTGTAATACCAAATCTAGCCATGTTAAAGTGCTTAGAGTTTTAACTAACATCTTTCTGAAAAATATTTTCCCAGTTTCCCCTTACGGGAGTGAGGAGTTAGTATATAACCGTGAATTTAAATAGAAGTAAAAAATGAATGAATTACAGCTCCATTCAACATGTTTGAATCTCAGGGACATAATGTGGAGTATATCCAGTGATTATTCTATGTATATATAAAGTTCAAAAGTATACAGAACAAATACACTGCCTGGGGTGCAAGCATGGTGAACTTAAATGGATATAAAATGGACAGGAGCGTCTCCCTTGAGGGCAGGGAGGAGAGTGGAATTGGGCGGGCAGCACAGGCACTCTGAAGTCAGTGGTCATGTTCTTTTTAAATGGCTCGATGGGTGCATTGGTGTTTGTGGCATCGTCATTCTTTATACCTTACATATATTTTATAAATTTTAAAGACTGATTCTACATTTAGTAAAAGAAACAAAAAAGTACGTTCCTCAGTTTTTGCTTACTTTAGTTAGCAATGCCTTTTAGTTGTGCCTGGCCCTGTTGTATGAGCCCAGAACTGGCCAGTGTGATTTAGTCAGACAAACCAGGTTTGAAAGCTTTCTGAGAGATGTAGGTTAGATGTCAAAGGCAGAACAATTCTAGGTTCTGTGCTAGTTGTTTAATGTCCATTCTCTTTTAGTCGTCATATTTCTGCAGGAGGCTCTGCTTTCTCCTTTTGACAAATGTGGATGCTGGCTCAGAGGGATTAAGTACTGTGCCCAGGGGCACACAGCTAGTAAGAGGCAGAGAGTCTGCACTTGGGCCCCAGTTTGCCTGACTCTGTGGTGCTATTCCAGTGAGTTATGGGGACTGAGAGTGAAATGTTTGAACTCAGGATTTTCGCCCCAAATCACTTCAGTCTTGTATATATGATGTGAGAAGGAGTTCTGTAAGTCACTCATTTAACCAATTTTACTATTTTATTGGCATTCCACGTATTTAGTAAACTCTGTATCAGTCTTTTAGCGTTTGATATACTTAAGATAAAAACCATCCTATTTCTACCTTAACTAGAGAAAGAAAGTAAAAGTGACCCATAATCTCATTGCAGGGAAAAATAATCTGCTTTTAAATGTTAAAGCACTTCTTTGAAATAGGATTTGCCTGTAACTGTCCCAAATCACCCCAGTATTTTCCTATTTTCTTTATAGTTTGATTCATCCAGACTCCTCAAATACTGCTCTTTCAACAAGACTTGTATCTGTTCAAGAGGACGCTGGGAAATCTCCTGCTCGAAATAGGTAAACTGCCCAGTGGAAACTCTCTCGTGTGTCTGATTTTTCTTTTTTTCATAGTGTGGAGAAGAACAGAGAGAAGTGGGTGGGATTGATTGTTGAGCACTGGCTTAGCTCTGAAGGCTGGATTAAACTCGCACTTCCTCCTGCAGTCGGCCGTTGCTTGCATTCTCTCAGTCCCTCTGTCTCTTCTCCGCTGGCTGCACATTTGGAACCTTCACCCTCTGCTCGCTTGCAGCTTAGCAGTGACCCCACTTTCTGTCCCATAGCAAAGAAGAGACAACAGACGGGGACGTCCTTAGCTCTTACCACCACTTACCCACCTGATTACATTTCTAGCTTACCCTTTTTCTCTTTTCTACCTTGGATTCTCTATTTGTATTCTGGATCCCATCCCATTCCAATTTTTGTCAGTTACCCTATTGATGTTATATATCCTCGGCCTCTCTCTGCTGTCTCCTTACTATCAGTATTTAAACAAACATGGGTCACCTGTTAAAAGCAAACACACAGGGGCCGGCCCCATGGCTGAGTGGTACACTGCTCCTGTGGCCTGGGATTCGCCAGTTTGAATCCTGGGCTCGGACCTAAACACAGCTCATCAAGCCATGCTTTGGCAGCATCCCACTCCCACATAGAAGAACTAGAATGACTTAATAGCTAGGATACGCAACTATATACTGGGGCTTTGGGGAGGAAAAAAAGGAAACTTGGCAACAGGTGTTAGCTCAGAGCCAATCTTCCTCACCAAAAAGCAGACTTAAAAAAAAATAAACACAAACCCCTCCTTTTTGTTTCACCTCTGCTTACCTATATTCTCAATTTCTTCTCAGCCCAACTTCCTTGAAAATAGTATTTCTTGAAATAATCATTCTATACCTGCACACTTCCTTCTCCCTTTTCACCTTACTTGACTCTTACTGACATTTACACATCCCACTGAACATGCTTTCATTGCTACATCCGTATGTGGTGAATGAGCGGTGGTAAACCTAAAGAACTAGACATCTGAACCACCGTGGTTTAATGTACTTTCAGTTTATTCTTTAGACAAGTAATTATTAAGTACCTACAGACTAGCTACTTTGAGTACAGCAGTGAATCAGACAGACAGAAACTTAAAGTATAAGGAAGCGTAAGGAACAGGGGTGGAGACTGGAACGTCAAACAGACCTTACTGAGAAGCATTGTTTGAGCAAAGACCTGAAGGGTGTGAGGGGATGGGCTATGTGGACATCATGTGGAAGGGTTTAGCAAGGAACGGGGAACAGAGATTCCTGAGAGGGGACACACCTGGCCCGGGGTGACAGGGCCAGGCGCTTGGAGTGGAGCCTTCTCTCACTTAATTCTAAGGACTTTGTCATTTACTTGGAGTGAGATGGGAAGCTATTGGAGAGTTTTACTTTTTTTTATGTTTCAAAATTTTTAATTATTTTGAAAAAATTTCCAGCTTGCAAAAAATTTGCAAGAATAGTAAAATAAATTTTCACTAATTTACATTTTGCCCACTTGCTTCATAACTTTTTATTTAGCACTTTTTTTCCTGAACCATTTGAGAGTAAGTTGCAGACATCATCATCCTTTCCTTTTTTAAAAAAAATTAATAAACTTCATTTTGTAGTGCACTTTTAGGTGCATAGCAAAATTGAGCAGAAAGTACAGAGATTTTTCATGTATCCACCCTCCCCCCCACACTCCTCCCTCCATCAGCATCCCTGTACCAGAGAGGTATGTTTGTTACAGTTGATGAACTGCACTGAAACATCATTGTCACCCAAAGCTCATAGTTTATATCAGGGTTCACTCTTGGTGGTGCACATTCTATGGGTTTGAGTAATTGGATGACACGTCTTCGCCATAGTAGTACAGTACAGAGTTGTTTCACCACCTTAATAAGCCTCTGTGCTCTGCTTATTAATCCCTCTCTCCCCCCCAATGCATGGCAACCATTGATCATCTTACAGTCTCCATGGTTTGCCTTTTCCAGAATGTCATAGTTGGAATTGTACCATATATGACCTTTTGTGGTTGGTGTCTTTCACTTGGTAATATGCATCTCAATTTTCTCCGTGTCTGTTCTGGCTTGATAGCTCCCTTCTTTTTAGCACTGAATACTATTCCCTTGTCTGGATGTGCCACAGTTTATTTATCTACTCCTCTTCTGAAGTACATCTGGATTGCTTCCAAGTTTTGGCAGTTAGAATAAGGCTGCTAGAAACATATGTGCAAGTTTTCCTGTAGACGTGTTTGCAGTTCATATGAGTAAGTACCAAGGAGTGTGACTACTGGATCGTATGGTTAAGAGTGTGTTTAGTTTTGTAAGAAACCACCAGACTGTCTTCCAAAGTGGCTGTACCATTTTGCATTCCCACCAGCAAGGAATGAGTTCCTCTTATTCCACATCCTCATCAGCATTTGGTGTTGTCAATGATCTGGATTTTGGCCATTCTCGTAGATGTATAGTGGTATCTCGTTGTTTTAATTTTCAGTTCCCTAATGACATTTGATTTCAAACATCTTTTCCTTTGCTTCCTTGCCATCTATATATCTTCTTTGGTGAGACGTCTGTTTAGATTTTGGCTCATTTTAAAATCAGGCTGTTTGCTTTCTTTTTTTTGTTTTTTTTTTTTTTTGAGGAAGATTAGCCCTGAGCTAACTACTGCCAGTCCTCCTCTTTTTGCTGAGGAAGCCTGGCCCTGAGCTAACGTCTGTGCCCATCTTCCTCTACTTTATATGTGGGACGCCTACCACAGCATGGCGTGCCAAGCGGTGCCATGTCCGCACCCGGGATCTGAACTGGTGAACCCCGGGCCGCCGAGAAGTGGAACCTGTGCACTTAATTGCTGTGCCACTGGGCTGGCCCTGTTTGCTTTCTTACTGTTGAGTTTTAAGAGTTCTTTGTATGTTTTGGGTAAGTCCTTTACCAGATGTGTCTTTTGCAAATATTTTCTCCCAGTGTGTGGCTTGTCTTGTAATTCTCTTGATACTGTCTTTCACGGAGCAGAAATTTTTAATTTTAAAGAATTGCAGCTTATCAATTAGTTCTTTCATGCATTGTGTCTTTGATGCTGTATCTAAAAAGTCATCGTACAAGGTTATTGAGATTTTCTCCTGTGTTGTCTTCTGGGAGTTTTAGAGTTTTATGTTTTACATTTAGGTCTGTGATCCATTTGAGTTATTTTTTTATGAAGAGTGCAAAGTCTGTGTCTAGATTCACTTTTTTGCATGTGGATGTCCAATTGTTCCGGCACTGTTTGTTGAAAAGACTGTCTTTGCTCCATTGTATTGTCTGTGCTCCTTTGTCAAAGATCATTTGATTATGTTTACGTGGGTCTCTTTCTGGGCTTTCTGTTCTCTTCCATTGATCTGTTTGTCTCTTCTTTCCCCAGTACCACACTGTCTTGGTTACTGTAGCTTCATTGTATGTCTTAAAGTTGGGTTGTCTCGGTTCTCTGACTTTGTTCTCCTTCAATATTGTGTTGGCTATTCTAGGGCTTTTGCTTCTCCATATAAACTTTAGAATCAATTTGTCAGTATCCACAAAATAACTTGCTGGGATTTTGATTGGGATTGTGTTGAATCTATAGATCAATTTGGGAAGAACTGACACCTTGACACTGTTGCATCTTGCTATCCATGAATGTGAAATATCTCTCCATTTATTTAGTTTTTCTTTGATATCTTTGATCAGAGTTTTGTAGTTTTCCTCATATAGATCTTATACATACTCTGTTAGATTTATGCCTAAGTATTTCAGTTTTTTGGATGATAATGTAAATGGTAATGTGTTTCAATTTTAAATTTCAGTTGTTCATTGCTGGTATATAGGAAAGTGTTGCCTTTTGTACATTAACTTTGTATCCTGCAACCTTGCTATAATTGCTTATTAGTTCTAGCAAGTTTTTTTTTTGTCAATTCTTTGGAATTTTTATGTGGGTGATCATGCCATCTGCAAACAAAGACAGTTTTATTTCTTCCTGCCCCATCTGTATCCCTTTTGTTTCCTTTTCTTGCCTTGCTGCATTAGCTAGAACTTCTGGTATAATGTTGAAAGGCAGTGGTGAGATGGGACATCCTTGCATATTCCTGATCTTAGTGGGAAAGCTTTGAGTTTCTCATCAAGCATTAGGTTAGTTGTAGGTTTTTTGTAGATGTTCTTTATCAAGTTCAGGAAGTTCTCCTCTAATCCTAATTTACTGAGAGTTTTTATCATGATGGTTGTTGGATTTTGTCAAATGCTTTTTCTGCATCTCTTGATACGATCATGTAATTTTTCTTCCGTAGCCCGTTGGTGTGATGGATTACATTAATTGATTTTCAAATCTTTTTTTTTTTTTTGAGGAAGATTAGCCCTGAGCTAACTACTGCCAATCCTCTTTTGCTGAGGAAGACTGGCCCTGAGCTAACATCTGTGCCCAACTTCGTCCATTTTATATATGGGACGCCTACCACAGCATGGCTTTTGCCAAGCAGTGCCATGTCTGCACGTGGGATCCGAACCGGTGAACCCCGGGCCGCCGAGAAGTGGAATGTGCGAACTTAACCGCTGTGCCACCGAGCTGGCCACAATTTTCAAATCTTAAACCAGCCTTTCATACCTGGGGTAAATCCCACTTGGTTTTGGTGTATAATTATTTTTATACGTTGTTGGATTGGATTGCTAAAATTTTGTTGAGGAGTTTTCCATCTGTGTTTATGAGAGATGTTGGTCTCTAGTTTTGTTTTCTTGTAATGTCTCTGTCTGGTTTTAGTATTAGGGTGATGCTGACCTTGTAAGAATGAGGTAGAAAGTATTCCCTCTGCGTTTATCTTTTGAAAGAGATTGTAGAGACTTGGTATAATTCCGTCCTTAAATGTTTGATAGAATTCACCGGTGAGCCCATCTGGGCTTGGGGATGAGCCTGTCAGAGGCGTTTGTCATTTCTGTTACAGTATTTTTGGTCTCTAGCATTTCATTTTGATTCTTAGAGTTTTCATCTGTCTGTCTGCTTACATTCTCTCTCTGGTCTTGTATGTTGTCTATTTTTTCTGTTAAAGCCCTTAGCATATCAGTCATAATTTTTATAAATTCCTGGTGTGATAATTCCAACAGTCTTGCTGTATCTGACTCTAGTTCTGATACTTGTTCATTCTCTTCAGACTATGTTTTTGCCTTTCAGTATTGCTTGTGTTTTTGGTTGATGGGGACGTGATGTACTGATGGAAGGAGCTGTGGCACATGTGCTTTTAGGAATGCAGTGGTGAGGTGTGGAGGGAGGGGCAGCCCTTCATCCTGTGGTCAAATCTCAGTCTCTAGTGAGCCTGCACCTCTGTGACCTTGACAAGTATCTCTCAGTACTTCCGTCTCAGGTGGGACAGGATGGCTGGAGGGCACTGGGCTTGTGTATTTCCCTTCCTCCATGGAAGGCAGCAGTTGGAGTTGGGTATTCTCCTCCACCAGGAGGTTAGTTTGTGATATAACCCCAGCTGGTTGGGCTCTGTAAATAGTTGCTCTTGAGGGCAGACGTATTAGGAAGAGAATGCTCTGGCTGTTTCAAAATAGTTCATTTACCCCTCTTCCTGCCAAAAGCCTGAGGGGATTTTCCTGTGATACTCATTTAGAAAGCTGTTGCAAGGGGCTGGCCCAGTGGTTAAGTGCGCACATTCCACTTTGGCAGCCCGGGATCCGTCAGTTCGAATCCCGGGTGCGGACATGGCACCACTTGGCAAGCCATGCTACGGTAGGTGTCCCACATATAAAGTGGGGGAAGATGGGCACAGATGTTAGCTCAGGGCCAGTCTTCCTCAGCAGAAAGAAAAGAGGAGGATTGGCAGATGTTAGCTCAGGGCTAGTCTTCCTCAGAAAAAAAAAAAAAAAAAAAAAGCTGGTGCAAGAATCCGGGCAAGAGAAGTGACTTAAATCAGAGCAGTAGAAGTGGGGTGGATGAGAAGTGGTCAGATGCTGGATATGTTTTGATTGTAGAGCTAACAGGATATGCTAACCAATGGAATGTGAAAGGTGACTCAGGTTTTTGGCCCGAACATTGGAAGGATGGAATTGCCATTGATTGAGGTGGAGAAGGGTGGGAAGAACAGTTTGATTTTGTTCGTGTTGAATTTGAGATACCTTCTCACATCAAGTGAGGTGTCATTTAGACAGTTGGATATATGGGTGTGGAGTTCAGGAGAGAGGTACAAGCTGGAGATGGAAACCTGGGTGTTGTCATCATGTGGATGGTATTTAAAGCTATGAACCTGGGTGGAGATCAGAAGAGTGACTGGGGCAAGTGAGGAAATAAAGAGGAACCAGAAAAGGAGACTGAGAAGGAGAGACAAGTGATGAGGTGAGAGGAAGCCCAGGAGAGTGTGTTGTCTTGGTAGCCAATTGAGGAAAGTCTTTCAAGGAGGGGGGAGTTACCTGCTGATGTGGCCAGTAAGAAGAGGAGCGAGAACTGACCACCAGCCATAACAATAACATTGGTAATCTGAATAGGCAATTGCAGTGGGTGTTCAGGGTTCAAGAGAGAATGGAAGGAGAAGTGGAGACAGAAGTTTTGCTGTAAAGTGAAGAAGGGAAATGCAGCAAACGGATGTGGAGTCAAGAGACATTTTCTAAAGGATGGGACAGTGGCAGGAGTCCCGTTGGCACGTGCACCAATTCGGAGATGGCTGTGTGCATTCACAGTGCATCTCCGTGTGCTTTGAATGAATGCTCAGATGAACTTGAGTCTTTAGGAAAGATATAATTTCCTCTTTGAGTACTAGCTTTAAATAGAATTTTGGTCAACATTCTTACCACTCTTGACTACTTATTACAACATGGACAACAAAATTGACTTAAGTTCTTTGACTTGTGTCCACTGTATCAGAATATGTGCAGGGGTGCTTAGAATGTTAGAGAAGTGCACTGCATGGATAATGCAAATACACATTGGAAAAGAGACTTTAACTAGTTGAATAAGATATACTGGCAACTTTTCACTGAAAGAATATGCCAAGAAATGAATAACTGGTTATTTAAAAACTCTTGCTTATAGACTATATTTATTTCATATTGGTGGTTTCTCATTAACTATTAAGAATGACTCCACTAAACCTGTTACAAACGTGTGAATAATTTCGTAAATTATTCTAGAAGTATCTTTATCTTTATGCTGCCGAGAGCGTAGTTTTCAGTTGAGACCTGATTTTGAATGGCAGCCCTGTTATTTATTAGCTGAATTGCCTTAGACAAGGTACTTCGTCTCTGATTCTTGATTTCTTTATCTGTAGAATGGACTTGGCAGTGCCTGCTCCATTGGATGCTGTGTGGATTAAATCATACATACATGGCCCTACTGGGTGGGTTGTGTAGTAGCTAACATGTCACAGATACTTCTGCTATTTATCCTTTATATAAAAGCTAAAGTTGGGTTTCATTTTTTCTAAGTAGAAGCTAACTAAATTTATAGCTAAAATTTTTTTGAAAATAAAAGCTTGCTTGGTGCTATTGATATTCCCCTTACAAATTATTATCTGGCAACTGTACCAAGAGGCAAATTAAGGATATTATGTCACTACTTATATAACAAGAGAGGAAACGAATTTCTGCTAATTTTTTTATTGATTAAATTCAAAATATAATAATAATAGAGGACAATATTTTTAATATAGATCTACTAATGAGAAGGAAGGAGTTCTTTTTTGGGGCAATAACGTTTTACTTAGTTGGGGTTCAAAGTTGGTGTTTCCCATCACCAGAACATATAGGTGTTTAGCTAACAAAAACATTGTTCATCCACTGGTTATGTAAACACTGTCTGGCCTGTGGGCCATGGTTTCCCGTCACTGATTTGTAAGATTATTTCTGCATTGTCTGTGATTCCTTATATTTGTCAACTAAAAAAGCACACCCTAATTTTCATCATTTTAACTGGAAGAGTTTTTATCTATTTCCTTTGAAATATTACTGATATACGAACTACATCTGTAGTTGTTTTCCTATAATCTTTCTGTAACAGCTTTCTTTTAAACATATTTTGAAATAATTTTATTTATTTATTTATTTATTTTGAGGAAGATTAGCCCTGAGCTAACATCTGCCACCAATCCTCCTCTTTTTGCTGAGGAAGGCTGGCCCTGAGCTAACATCCATGCCCATCTTCCTCTACTTTATATGTAGGATGCTTGCCACAGCCTGGCTTCTCAAGTGGTGCCATGTCCGTACCCAGGATCTGAGCTGGCAAAGCCCGGGCTGCTGAAGCGGAACATGCACACTTAACTGCTGTGCCACCGGGCCGGCCCCTAAAATAATTTTAGAGTAACATAGAAGTTGGGCATATAGTACAGAGAATTTCTGGATAGTCTTCTCCCAGCTTCCCCTAGGGATAGTATCATACATAACCATTGTAACTTCTTTTAAAAGTACCCTTAACATTGGCAAGTAAGCATTTATTTAAAAATGAATTCTCACTGTAATTCTGTTTACTGATGAAGAATTTGTGACTGTCTTTTCACTTTTTGTTTTTATTTCCAGGTCAGCCAGCATTACCAACCTCTCACTGGATCGATCTGGTTCTCCCCTGGTACCTTCATATGAGACATCTGTCAGTCCCCAGGCCAACCGAACATACGTGAGGACAGAGACCACAGAGGATGAACGCAAAATTCTTCTGGTACTGGTCCAGTGTCTTTGACCCATTGCCAGTTTTGAGCATAAAGAATGTTCAGCGTACTGATTTTTTTTTAAGAAACACACAGGTGAAATAACCAGTTAGCATATAAATTAATAGAGGAAATAATTAGCTTAAGTTTTTATTAGGATCACCTGAGAAATTGGTCAGGCATTCCATGCTCATGTATTGATTTAATGTTTTCTTGACAGCTTTCATCTGGCAAGATCAGAAATCAGGTGCCTCCATAAGAGGAGAGCTTAACTTTGGGTTAGGTCCCAGATTGCTGTTTAAACTTTGAAGCATGTTTCTTATACATGCAGAATACTTTTGAGACATTTAATACTAAATGAGACAATAATCAGTTGTTTATTGAGTTTATGTGTAAAATACCATGTTCAATCCCAAGAGTGACTCAAAGAAGTGGAAGATACAGCTTCTGTCCCCAAGCTTACAACTCACAAGGCAGAAATGAGGTCGGTGGGCAGGGCCTTAATAGTAAAAGAAGTGAAACTTTAATAATAAAATAGAAATGTCATTAGTGGTGAGGGAGCCGGAAGGCTCTATGCTGAGAGGCCTGAGCTGGACATTGGAGGATGGAGCAGATTTGGGCCAGCAGTGAGGACAGCAGGTCTTAGGACAGGCAGAGAGGCAAGAAGAAGTGTTCCGCTTTCCATGGACCCGGGCAGGATTTATTAACTGGAACGGTTGGGGGGAGATTAAGTTGGACTCTGTGGGCATTGAGATTGGAAAGGTATTTGGGGCTACCTTGTGGAAGGTGTGAATTCAGTCTCTATAAGCTTAGATTTGAACCTGCAGGCGCTGAGTAACGTTGGAAGGTTTTTTGAGCGGGGAGTGACCCACTGAAGGCATTTCTCTAGGAGGAGGCACCAGGCGGTTGCATCTGGGTGAGAAGGGTGGGAGCCTGGTGGAGCGAAGGCCAACAGAAGCAGTTCCGGTAGATTAGTGTGGTGACTGCTCTCTCCCTTGCCCCTCTCCAAACGGGAGTGTGAAACTTTGTACTTAGACACCTAAGAGACTGATGATATGTGCCATTGACTGAAAAAATTATTTGGGATAGTTGGTTTTCAAGAGGAAAAGTTACATTTGGAATTAGTGAGCTGAGTTCAAGCTGTTGCCCATGCACATGTCATTTCTGTTAAATCATGTAACTGAGATACAAGAAAGGCATCTGAATTGAATTTCCTTTTATGAATGTAAAAACCACAGGAAATAATCTGAGAGTACATGGCACCCTTCCCAGGAGTAGTTACTTGCTCATAATGTACTTTCAGGACAGCGTCCAGTTAAAAGACCTGTGGAAGAAAATCTGCCATCACAGTAGTGGAATGGAGTTTCAGGATCACCGCTACTGGCTGAGGACACATCCCAACTGCATCGTAGGGAAGGAGTTAGTCAACTGGCTAATCCGAAATGGGCACATTGCCACAAGGTAGTGTGATCTTAGAAAGACTGTTGGGTGTTGTTACTTTATTTTTAATGAGGATGTGTCATTGTAGACATAAGGGGAGCATATTTCTTTGTGAATAGGGTGCTGTTTGTTTTCTGCATTTGGTATTTGGGGTACTAATTACTCAACCCTCCTCCTTCTGGGTTTTAACCAGTGGAGAATAGATGCAAGGAGCCAGATGGGGTCACGGTTTATTTATTTATTATTTATTAAATAATATACCTTATTTATTAAAGAAAACTGTGTGGTAATTCCCAGAACACAGAGCTCTCTAGTTAGGCAGGACTGGGGAGTGCAGTGGGAGCCCAAGACCACAGTGGGCTCCGCTGCTGCCCTCCTTTTCTGCGCATTGCAGCCTGTCTGGGGAGTTGGGGGCATGAGCCACCCGGCGTCCTAGCCTGCCTCATGAATCGTTTGTAGAAAGGAGACACACAGATCCTGTTGCCTTTCAAGGTAATGTGTCCCCTGGCTTTTCTGTGTGCTTAGATTAGCTACTCCTCCCTCATGGGAAGAAATAAGTATGTAGGAAGAGGGAGAAACGGCTTGAAGCCATGAAGTTCTGGGTTCCAGTTTGGCTATATCTCTTTTTGGCTTTGTGCTTTTAGTCAAGTTATTCAAGCTCTGAGACTTGGACCTCTTGGTTCCAGCATGAGGGAACTATATGGTCCTGTGAAGAAGCCATGAGGATGAAATGAAGGAATATGGGCTAAAGTGCTTTATAAATTGTGAAATGCTCTATGAATGCAGTGTGTTAGTAAGTGTCTGTTTCATGTCGTGTGCACGCATGTTTTATACCCGTGTGTGTGCTGGTTGGTACCGACTCCTCATGGAGACTGTCAGTTCCTTGAGGGCAGGCGCTGTACTCCTCAGCAGCTTCCACCCCTCCAGTAAGCACACGGGCGGACTACACGTGTGTCGAGTACCTGATAAAGCGTCTTGTCATTAGAGTTAGGTTTCCTCAGGACTGCCTTGCCAGTAGGTTCTCCTTGACTGTGGGACCTGGAAGAATCTTTTAATTTAGCTTCACGTCTCTGTTGCATTATCCCTAACCTATCCAAGGACTATTTGAAATTCCAACTGACTAGAATGGGAAAAACTTCAGCTTGTGTCTCATTTTCTGTCTGCAAAATTGTTCTGACTGACTTTAAAGTTTCATTTCTGTTGGATCTGATTCAGGGCACAAGCTGTAGCAATTGGACAAGCGATGGTGGACGGACGGTGGCTGGACTGCGTGAGCCACCATGACCAGCTCTTCAGGGATGAGTATGCGCTCTACAGACCCCTGCAGGTAGTGCCCGGCGTCACTGCTCACCGGCGATGGCAGGCGCTGTGACGTCTGTTTGCAGCGGGAACAAGAAGTAGTTGAATTACCCAAAGATATACTTTTCTAGCATGTTTTCTGTACTGTTTGAGTAAGGTTAAAACGTTTTTACTTGGTGTATAGCGATGATGAAAAACCTGTTGGAATAAAAAAATGCAGTTGGTGTGGCTGTTCTTAACCTTGGCCTGTGGTCTTGTAGCTGCTTGTCATTTAACATCAGTGGTTTTCAGTTTTGCTTTGTCTCTGTTTTTAGGACTAAGAGGGAATATACATAACAAAATGACTGAAAAATTGAATGTCACTGTTGAAATAGATTTTGACTCTTTATCAGTGTTAAATGATATAGCAATGGTAAAATGATGAGTATTCTATTTTATTACTTTAATTAGGGAAGTGAAAATTATTTAGAGAGAGAACTTTAGAAAAAGATATCCTTTCACTTTTGGTTTATGTTAATTTGATACATGTAATGGTAACACCTTTATGAACTAAAACTGGAGACTCAGTGTGAGAAAAGGTGAAGGACCCGAAAGCCTGGTGTGGGTCGTCTGTCCGCATCTAGTGGTGGTTTCCCGGGAGGTGTCCTTGCCTTCGCGCAGACTTAGAGTAAATCCTCCGCCACCTTCACTCGCAGGACCAAAGAGGAAATAAAACCCTGTAAAAATCTGTATATTAATTTTAACCATAATATGCTCCCTAAGCCTACTGGTTAATGAAAATTATAATTTTAGGAGTGGAATTGTCCTCATGATACCAGTTTACTACTTAGTTTCTATTAACTTGCTTATTTTTATATAAATTTATTCAGTAGTTAGCTTTGTAGAAATATTGTACTAGAATCTGTTTGTAGTGTGACAGCTTCAACATGGTTCCCATTGAGGGTCAATTGTTGAGATCCTGTCTTGATCCTTTCAGAGTACAGACTTTTCTGAGACCCCTTCTCCGGACAGTGACTCCGTGAACTCTGTGGAAGGACACTCGGAGCCATCATGGTTTAAAGACATAAAGTTTGATGACAGCGACACAGAGCAGATTGCTGAAGAAGGTGACGATAATTTGACTAGTGAGTTTAGCTTTCTAACATTTTAGTTTTTATGAACCGTTGCTGTGTACATATGATAAAATGAGACTTCTATTTGTTTAGTTGCAACAATCCTACTTTAAACTTTATGGCTTCCAACTAAATGTAAACATCTGATAGCAATCCTTGTCCTAGATACAGTATTTTCTTAAAAAACCAACTTGTTAGGCTACTGGTATTCTCACATTTTGCTGTGGTCTCTAGTTTGCAGCAGCTTAAAAATAACTGAGCTAATAACGCAGCAGACAACTTCCTCACCTCTCCACTGCGTATCAGACTTTATCTCTGCAGAACCTCCAAGATATTTCTTCATTTTAAAAATTCATTTTATATTTAACTTGTTCACACTTCAAGTCTACACAGAAGTACATGAAAATACTGTATCCATTTTGGTATTGCACATTGGGCTTGTATATTAAAAAAACATTTTTTTCCTTTCCTCCAATACCCTGATGAAACCCATTTTTACTCCCCTCCTCTCCCTATATTTCTTTCCCCTCCCCAACACTAAAAGACTCTGCCAGTCCTAGCAAGCGCACGTCAGTCAGCAGTTTCCAGTCCACAGTGGACAGTGACTCAGCCGCCTCCATCAGCCTGAACGTGGAGTTGGACAACGTGAACTTCCACATCAAGAAGCCCTCCAAGTACCCACACGTGCCCCCTCACCCTGCTGACCAAAAAGGTAGGAGGTAGTCACCATCCAGAGTCCAAGCACAAGGCTGCAGAGCTGGCCTCGGTCTCCTGCCCGCCAGTCCTTCCGGCTTCCTCTGTCCCCCATGGCTGAGGGCAGCTCGGGTGGATTTTGTTCCACCCTTTCTCATTTTCCCTGCACCTCCTCCCTACACTTTTTTTGATTGGTTCTTTTTATTTCTCCTTTTCTCCCTCAGTACCACCACACCCAGTTTAAAGGGTGTCATCTTTAGAAGGAACTACCCTTGACTGCTCTTCCCTTAGCGTAATGTGCAACTTCCAAGGTGGCGTTTCTTTGCATTTATAACATGGATGTTCTGCTCTATTCATTTCTCTTTCTTCATTTAACATTTTCAATCTATTTGCTTATGCTCTTATGCAGTAGCGTGGTATTGCACTAAACCTTTTCAGATGCTTGAACTGGATTGGGGGAAAATCATTCACACATTCCAAAACATCTTTCTACTATAATTTAAAATGCTTATTATGTATATGCTATATTTATAAAGGAATTTTCTTCTCTAATTAATACAAAATGTATTCATTCTTTATTTTTAGCTGTCTTATTTGAGCCTTTAATCTACTGACTCAAAAATAATAATGACCATATTCAAAAGACATTCTATATAAAAGGAAAAATAAAGTAAACCATTACAGAAATCTGACATAACAGTATATGAAAAATGAAATCCTTTTTTTAATGGATGATGGGATTTACTTTGTTGGATGTAATTAAAAGCCAATTTAAATTTTAACCCTAAAGTGCCATTATGTGAAAGTACATTAATAAAAAATACATAAGTAAATAAATAATTGTGGGATTTCACTGTGTTATCGTAACTGAAAAATCATTATTATGAAGATGAAGCATTTTATTCCATGATTTCACCTGGAGTTTGAATTTTTAATATTTGGCTCTCTAAAGTTGAATTGTCTCCTCACTTAGATCTGAAATGCTTGTGGAATTCTTTGCTACTCCCTATTTTGAGCCTAAAAGTATGATCAGAAAAGAGAAACTTTTGAATTTAAACATCTATGCTGACATAATTGGAAACATTCACATTTCTACAACAAATTTTTCATAATTGTTAAATTAGCCGTTACAGTCATGAGCTGCATAACGTTTCAGTCAATGACTGACTGCACCTTCAACGGTGCTCCCATAGATTAGCACCATATAGCCTAGGTGTGCAGTAGGCTCTACCTTCTAGATTTCTGTAAGTGCTGTAGGGGAGGAAGAAATTTTTGTCTGTCTTTCTAGGTTCTTCTGGCTGGTCTAAGAATTAAGTTGACATGAGACCGATTAACAGGAGAAAAACAAACAGAAGTTTAATAACATGTATATGTGGGAGAAGCCCAGGAAACCCTAGTAACTCACCAAATGGCTGAAGCCTTCCGCTTAAATACCGTCCTCAGCTAAAGACAAAAGAAGGTGTTGGGGGTGGGGAGAGTCAGGGACTCAAATGGAAGGAAGACAATTCACAGGTAGGTGAAAAGGAGCAAACGTTTGGAAAACAAGGGTTGGTTTGGCCATACAGAAACAGAAGAACACAGAGGGAAGCCCAGCAGACAGGCTTTTCTGGGTTCCTCCCTGTCAACTACCCAGTTCATGTGGTGCTAAGGTGAGAGCTCACCTCCTGAGACAAGTTTATTTAATCTGAATTATTTTACACAGTTAAAGGAGAGGTAACAAGAAAAACTTCCTGAGTCTTTTGTTCCTTAAAAATAATCAGCCTAAAATAGTCCTTATGTTAAAGACACACATTTTGGGGTGGTAAATTTTGTTCCCCTTTGGTACACTTTACGATGTTAGCGACGCATTTCTCAGAGCACAGCTCTGTTTTAAGCGATGTGTGACTGTATCATCAAGATGTGGTAAAAGATGTGGCGTCTAAGAGTTACAGTAATAAAAAGGTATATCTTATTTAAAAATAGAAATTTAGAGAGAGTGTCAGAAAAGAGGAGACTTGACTCGCATTAAACATGAGTGAGATACCCATCTTTATGGGAATCCTCAAAATAGAAATTGGGAAATTGGTGGAGAACATCTCGGTGAGTATGAAGGGAGAGTGAAGCAGAGGTGATGTTTGTGTGAGAACAGCCTGTCAGCTGTGGTCTCAAGGGTACTGGGTGATGCTTTTGTGGTATAAGTTAGGTGTGGTAGAGGCAGGGTCTGTCACGACAGAGGATAGCTGTTCTCTGGACACACTTCTTGATGGTTTCGTTCTGCTGAGAGTAGAGTGTGAAATACATTTTTGACTTGCTGGTAATTTCACCTCTTGGAAAGTTAAGGAAGTTTTGGAAATCATGAAGAAAGTGACCTGTCATCATGGAACTTATAATAGCAAAAGATGGACTGCTGGGCGCAGTCGGACATTGACCTCGGGAGCCTGACTTCATGGCGTTGGGAGAGGGCTGGAAGAGAAGGCTCCAACAAGACTTTTCACAGCACCACCTCAAAGTGTGTCTCTAAGGAGAACTGAAGGGGAAGCGCCGCTGTTGAAAAATCATCGTGATTCCTCTGGAACCTCTGATCTCAGTCCTTTAAAAAGATGGATTGGTCCACTAAAGTTGTAGGAGGCAACCATTGTAGAAGGATGAATCTGAAAGAGGGGGCCAGCACTTTTGAGAAAAATGGCAGGATAGCAGAAGTCCAGAGTGCACTGAAGGTTGGAGTAAATGCCAAGGATATCTTAGAAAAGATTTTTAAAATTGTGATGAAAAGAAGGAAAGAAAGAGAAACTAGACCAGTTATTTCGGGAAGTTGATATAATAATTGAAGTTTTTTTTCTCTCAAGATAACACACATGGTTAAGAGGAAAGTGAAGCGCAAGATAAGAGATAGAGAATACCTGCTATTTTAAGTAAGTCTTGCCAAGTTCAGGCAAACTGTATGCCAGATTATTGAAAGATTATTGAAAGATTTTGGGGACAGAGTTCATCATCTTTGAAGAATTGTGGAGAACAGGAGAGGGTTTAAATGACTGTAGTTAGAGATGCATTAAAATTTTTTAAAGGATAGGTTCTTGATATGACATTGGAAGTTGACAAAATTGTGGGGAAGTTTAGTGAAAGACTGTACTGTGGTATTTGGAAAAGGGAGTAGTGGTGATTGGGCCCAGTGTTGGTTACCTAAAATAAGTTGTTCCAAAACAACCACATTCCATCTTTGATGGGGACTGCGATGGGCACTGTAGTCTGTGATGTTAGAGAGACGTTTGATAGTCTCTCAGAAGCTTGTGGACAGTTTTGTGTTTGATGTATGTTGGAGAGTGTTATAGGCAGTGGTTGTGTTTACTTGTTAAAAGCACAGGCTCGGAAGTCTCTGTGAGCCTCTGTGTGTAAAAAACGCACATAAAGAGCTTAGTGTTTTTGGCAAATGTAAGAACTTAGTAATGCCACTGTTAATATAATACATGGATTTGTAGTCTTTTTAACGGTTGTGCCAAATATTGAAAGAGTAATTAATAATTTGACATCAATTGGAAGGGGAATGCTCCTTGGTTGTGCTATAGGGCTTTGTCGGTCTATATTCACTGTTGTTCAATGATTTTTTTTCGGTCAGTATTTTTAATATTTTTCAGATTCACAAATCATTAAAATATGAAAAGAATAGCTAGCTTGTTGGATAGGAGAATTGGAATTTAAAGATCTTTATTTTCTTATATAGTAGACTGAGACTAACAAGATGAAATTTAATGCAAACAGAAAATAATGTAATGAGGCTTAAAATGTTTACCATGACTGTGGTGGAGAAAGCTGTTCTTGTTAGTTTATGTGGTGTTGCCTCAGGCGTCTGGAGTGTCTGAGAGAAGTGATGTGTGTGTGGCTGAAGGAGAGCTGGGTTCCCTAGGGGAGCAGGGAGCATTTGCTCCTGTGTGCTGCCGTGTCCAGTGGTGTCTGAAGTCCATCTTTTAGGGTTCTTGAGGATCCGTGCCTACCCTGGGTGAGAGGTTAGGTGGGCTTGGTGACTTCTGTTTCCTTTTAATTCTCAGTCTGTGAAATGAGAACTCTAGATCCAGAGTTTTAAAAGGATTACAAAGAGTGTAAGGAATCCTTTAGCCTACTCAGTAAGAATGTAGTAAAGTTCCAGCATCAGAAAGAAGGTGATTATTATTAGGTTGATCTCCTACGTCATTTGCAACCTTGAGAATCTATAATTTAAGGATTTTATAAATCCCCTATATATGTTCTGGCTTTCACAGTTCTCTCTTGTTAGTTTTTAGCATACTAAGAAGAATTATTATGTTTCTGTTTTTCTTGTGAAGTTGAAATACAGTAATTCATCTTTTTCTACATTGTAGTTAAGGTAAGCACTGATTACCAGAAGGGTAAAGGTGGTCCAGGTGATCTCGTAGTGGAGAGAAAGAATGATAGCCTTCTCCTGCCTCTGGCTTTCATTCCTCTGAAAGTACAAGTGGGAATGAGTGGTTTTTATCTCTCCATTGAAGTTAAAGGTAATACTTACTAAATCTCTTCTCAGTGCTCGCCCTCCATCTTCTAAGGTTGAGAAAATTTGGATTTATAAAATTGGTTGAAATATCTGTACTTAAAAAAAATCTGCCTTTTTAAATCTTATGTAAGCAAACTCCTCATTTGAAGAAACTTGTAAAACTGAGACAATGTGTTCTTCTCGTTTGATTAATTTTTCGCTGTTGGTCTTAGAGAGTTGTACAATTAAAATACATTTTACTATGTGTTGTAAGCAGGATTCTGAATGATTCTTGGAAGTTAGTGAGTAGAAGCTAGTGAAGAAAGTGAAAATTGTGGTTCCCACGAGCCTCTGGATCTGACTTCCCGTTTAGAGGAGAATATAGGCTGTGGGGTCAGGACATTAAACACCACCAGGGCGAGGCAGTCGGTCGAGTCCAGAGTGCAGGATGCTCCACAGGGCCTGTGGCCTGGTGCTTTCAGAAGTCCTTATCATCAAAAAGGAAAAAGGTCAGAGGTCTGCTTTAGATGAAAGAGAATGAAGGGAACCTTTTTGGATCCAGGTTTGAGGAAGAAAAACCTTTATTAAAGCATTTTGAGGACAGTTAGATAAATTTGAACATGTACTAATTCGAAGATGTTAAGACCTTGTCAGTTTCTTTAAGTGTGTAAATGGTATTTTGGCTCTAGAGAAGAATGCCCATATTTTTAAGAGATGCGTTCTGAAATATTAGCAGTAAAGTGTCATGAAGTGTGTACCTTTAAATGGGCAGGGAAAAAGCCTACATGTATGTAGAGAGAAATTGGATATGGCAAGTCATTAGCAATTGTTGAATCTAGGTGGGCGGTGTACAGGACTTTCTGTATGTTTGAATTTTTTCATAGTAAAATGGGGACAATCCACTACTTCGAAGTTTATATGTGTATCTATTCAAGCTTTGTGTGAAAGGGAAGCTTGTGAAGCCCATGCATTTGTTGCAGGAATAGGGGCTGGCGTTTCTCGTTCTCTGAGGGAGTATAAGTAAAGGGTAGCATCTGTTTTCACGCGTCCACATCCTTGATTTTGTTGTATTTGGCATGGCACACTTAACATTTCCAAATAAAGTTTTTTCTCTGCTTTCTTGTTCGAAGAATGAGTGTATTGCCTTGTAAACACATTGACATTTGAAACCCATTTGTTTGTAAGTGAAATCTACTTCGAAAGAATTTGGTGGAGAACCTTTGCCTTATAGGGCTTAAAATGTGTTGTGGTTTAATTTGCATGGTGGAAAGAACCCACTTGAGCTGGGCTTGGTCACATACTTAGAGAAAGGTTCATGGGGAAGTAGAGAGTAAGTTTCACTTGTAAGAAAAATATTTAGTATTCTAAAAGTTCTAAAAGAACACATTCTGAGTGTGTTCAGCAGTTATCACAACCATTTGGCAGTGTTGGTTAGAACTTTTGAAAGAGTAAAACTAATTCAAAAACTGATAAAAATCCTGATGAGTTATATTTTTATTCCCTGCCAATGTCACTTTTGTATTAATTTGTTTTATAGCTTACGTTCCGAAATTTAAAAAAACCCTTATATTGTTTTATCAGGTGCCTTTGCTATCTGTGAACTCCTTTGTGTATAGACAAAGTCATTATTTGTTAAATAATACAGTTATACATGAGAAAAATAGTGTAACCTTTTAGGCTTGTCATGCAAACTACTGAAGATCTCAGTTTTCGTAAAGCAGTTCAGTTTTGGTAAGGGGAAAATGATCAGTTAAAGATTATCTGACATTACTGTTTCAAGGTTCTGTTATTTTTTTTGTTGTTAAACATTGGCACCTGAGCTAACATCTGTTGCCAATCTTCTTTTTTTTTCCCTTTTTATCCCCAAAGCACCCGCTAGTACATAGTTGTAAATTCTAGCTGTGGGTCCTTCTAGCTCTGCTATGTGGAAGGCTGCCTCAGCATGGCCTGACGAGGGGTGCCATGTCCACACTTAGGATCTGAACCTGTGAAACCCTGGGCCACCCAACCAAAGTGCGCAGACTTAACCACTTGGCCGCAGGGACAGCCCCTCCAATGAGTTATTAAGTCTATTACATTTTGGTATGAAGTGTGTGGAGCTGGTGTAAACAGGTGTTTTAGCCTAAAGCTTTCTTGGATTGGCCGGGCAGTGATGGGTTTAGTCTGAGTAATACTTTGTGTGTGGGTGTGTTCTCTGTACTATACTGGCATGTTAGAGTCATAAGTCTCTCCTTTCCTTCCTCCTCTCTGCTCTCTCCCTGGTATACAGAGTATTTGATTTCTGACAACGGAGGACAACAACTCTCAATAAGTGACGCCTTCATCAAAGGTAATTGTATCAAAAGCTGTACATGAGACGGTGTCTCTTTTGTTCATGAGAATATTCTTAGGGCCTACCACACTGATTGGTGCAGAATAGGTACTAAAAATATTAGTATCATGGGAACACTGTTTTTAATATGTGTTGTAACTTTGAGAATGTTGAGAACCAAGAATATAAACTTGGACTTGGTTTGAGAGAAGAATGTCTCTGATCTGAAAATAGTTCTTTAAAAGCTTTTAAATGGAATTTGATTTTTTTCTTTTAAAGGCGTAAATAGTTTATGCTTTCCTGTATTGTGAGTAGAATATTAAGTATTGATATGTATATCATCAATTGAACTTGTCAAAAAGCCCACAGGCAGATCTCATCCAGTTAGGATGCTGCTTGCCTTGAGGGAATGGGAAGGAGGGGTAGGCGGAAGAGGATAAAGAACTGACTCTGTTGATCCAATTCTTGGGGACAAGAAGAAGTACAGAAGAATACAAGCCTTTTCTTAACCCTTCCTGCTTGGCTTGCCATGGAGTAAAGACATACTTAAGTGGTCCATAACACTCCACAGCTTAGACCTCAGACAATGGGAGGGTTTCAAATGAAAGAGAGCAGGGCGGGCAAGCTGGTACGAGAGAGGCCACCTACAGCTGATCTCATAACTTAGCAGTGTCTGTAAATTCATCTCTGAGCACCTGGTTCAGCCAGAAGTTTGTAGACCAGCCGTTCACGTAATTGCAATGTGCAGTTCTTAGACCTTACGTGTCACGGACGCATGCCTCACCGTGTCGTCTGCTGGACTGTTTGTTGCTTTGCTTTAAGAGGGGGAAGACTAGAGAATTTTTGTGAGCATTTCCCATCTGTTTTCTTTCCGTTTATTTAGTCACATTTTTCAACAGTTATTTAGTGAGCATCTTTTTGCAAAACATTTAATATTGTCTATTAATTTTTTTGCTTGATCCATTTTTATTCTTTCTAGAAATTTAAGGATTTTACAAAATTTTACATAAATTGTTATTTATCATGTTTTAATATTTCTTTATAGTTTTTGGGTCTGACTTATAAAAGTTTTGCTAAAAAAAAGCCTTTGTTCAGCATTGAAAAAGAAACACCATTAAGTGTTGTATGAATAGACTTGTGCCCTGTTAGATGCTGTCTGAGATGTGGCAGAACTGAACTTTTCTCTGAAGTCCAGCACCCACACTGTCACATGTTGTTCTGTCAGCATTCAGACTTCTGTTGAATGCAGTTTTCAGTTTGTGATTTTATAGGGAAGGTTAACCCCCTCCTTTTTTAGTGTCCCCAAATAAATAAAAGGACAGTGTAAAAAATCTCATTTTATTTGCTTTTCAGAAGCTGTATTTGTAATTATTGGCTTGAGAGTCCTAGTTGCTTGTGTAAATACCTTTGCTTTTCACAGTTCTGTCTCTGATTTTGGCTCTTGTGAGTACTGATGATCTAATTCAGACTTACTTTTATTTATGTATTTATACATGTCCTTTCCTTTTTACACCATCAATTTGAATTGGCCCACTTAAGAAATTTAAAAAAGGAAATTGGCAATTTCTAAATCTATGAATGGATGGTATAAAACATAACAATGAAGTATAATTTCTTATTTTGTACTTTACTTAGAATCCTTATTTAATCGTCGAGTTGAGGAGAAATCCAAAGAACTGCCCTTTACGCCTTTGGGCTGGCATCATAACAATCTGGAGCTGCTGCGGGAGGAGAATGGAGAGAAGCAGGCCATGGAGAGGTTGCTGTAAGGCAGGAGCGTTTGGATTTGATTTTCCACTTGTATAATCTTTTTTTTATTCTTATTTTCCAATCCTCCTCTTTTTGCTGAGGAAGACTGGCCCTGAGCTAACATTGTGCCCATCTTCCCCTACTTTTTTCTTTTAAATGTGTGGGACACCTACCACAGCATGGCTTTGCCAAGCGGTGCCATGTCCGCACCCAGGATCCGAACCAGTGAACCTTGGGCCGCTGATGCGGAATGTGCGCACTTAACTGCTGTGCCACTGGGCTGGCCCCTACACTTGTATAATCTTCAGTGACTTGATAGGCAAATGCATAGTACTTCTTCCTCATAAAGTTAAAAATACTAGGATTACTTGGGAAGTAAAGCCTGTTCTGATGAAATTTCTTATAAAACAATAGAGTCCTAACCTGTGCTTGTCTGTCCCCATTGTAATTTTTGTGCTAAAATTGCATTGAATTAAAAGGGTCATCTTAATTGAAGATGTTCACAGATTTCATTTACATGCAGAATCATTAAGGTGCAGAAATACTGACAGAATAAAGTTGACCTAGAAGATTTATCTGTGAGCCATAATTCCTATGCTTATTTCTTTGTAGACTGCTTCTTGCATCTTCAGTTATTGTCCCTGGCAGTATTAACTGTGAAAACTTCTTCCTTGCAACATTTTTGTAGTTCAGCTAATCATAACCACATGATGGCACTGCTCCAACAGTTGCTCCATAGTGAGTCATTGTCACCATCTTGGAGGGACATCATTGTATCCCTGGTCTGCCAGGTTGTTCAGACAGTCCGACCTGACGTCAAGAACCGGGATGACGACATGGATATCCGTCAGTTTGTCCACGTCAAAAAAGTGAGCTCTGCTACTGCTTCCCTGATGCTAGGCGCTGAGGAGCTGGGTCTGAGAGTCGTTCATCTCTTGATGGAGATCTGAGAGTCATTGCTGCGAGGGGTGCTAGCTGAGGAGGGGAGTTTTTCTCTTGCTGTTTGTTAGCAGTGCACTTAGGAGTCATGAAAGTCACTCGAAGGAAGTGAGAGGTGAATGGAAGGGGTGAGTTGGTGTGGAGTGAATTGGGAACCCAAACAAACACAGTTTCTTCCTTTCTTGCTTCCTCTTCTTGACACGTCATCTATGAGATGGCCTGTTCCCACAGACTGCCGTCACTGTTGTGAGGAAAAGCAGTGGGTAATCGCTGTATTTAGTTTAATGAGTCCTGTATGTATTTTTGCCTGTGATATTTAACTTAATAGTGGTTTGTTTGCTCACATGAGTTTGCAGAGTTCCAGATGGTATGAGAGTGAGAGGTGCGAAGATAGTCATTCTCAGATGCCATTTGATCATTGATTGGAAGGAAGAACTGTACTCTGAAACTTGTTCTTATTTGGTTACATAATAGTTAAGATTTAAAAATGGAAAGAAATAATAGTATCCATCTGACTGGATTCTAAGGATGTATCACTGAATTTTGTTGTTTTCTTGTTTCATTAGATCCCAGGTGGAAAGAAGTTTGATTCTATGGTTGTCAATGGGTTCGTTTGTACCAAGAATATTGCACATAAAAAGGTAATGTGGTTCAGTTAGCAGTGCAGTCTGGCAATGTTGACCACGTGCTAAGCCAACAAGTTGGGGTCCCCTAATAGCGGAAGAAAGGGAGAATGGGCATTGAGGGGTAATTGGCAGTGTCTGCCATAGGGCGAAATTTTGGAGGTTCAGGGAAGGTCTCCCAGAGCAGATGATGATTGGGATTTGGATAATGGGAATTTATCGGACAGAAGAAGGAGGGGGGAGAGAGCGTCAGGCTTCTAGACCAGCTAATGATGGGGCGCTGGTAGCATTTTTCCCCTGCCCCTGCCCCGTTTCAGGGAGACAAGGTTTCTCTAGCAGACTGGAGTCCTTCCAGAGGCCTAGCGTTTTGAAACTCTGTTCTTTCTTCTAGGGCTGCTCAGAGCTATCACTGGTGTTCTGTTATGTTCTCACCTTCTATCCATCTCTACCTTCAGCCCTGAGACCTCTTTCTAGCACTAGCACAACAGAGGGGGTGAAATAACCTGTTGCATTAAGGAGGCTCTTAGATCCTAAGGTGCAGGGTGGGAAGTGGGGGGAGATGAGGCTGGAGGAAGCAGGCAAAAAAGCCTTCGTACCCCACTAAGGGTCTTGATCTTCATTCTGAAGGCCACTGATTCTCAAAGTGCAGTGTACATTGGGGTCACCTGTGGGCCTTGTTACAAACATAGATTCCTAAGCTCAGCCCCTAGACATCTGCCTTGAGTAGGTCAGGGGTGTGGATGTGTGCAGGCTGGGGAAGGGGGGGCCTGCTTCGGAAGCAGGCTTTCGGGGGTTTCCAGTGTTGTTTGCTTGTCCTCACGTTTTGAGAATCCACTGATCTATAGCAGTGTTCTCAAACCTTGCTGAGCTTCAGAATCACTAAGGGAACTTACTGAAAATAGAGGTACCCAAGCCCCACCTCTCAGGATGCTGATTTGATTGTCGCAAGAACTCACAGATTTCCAGCCTGGGGCACTAGATGGATGAACTACAGCCCTGTTTTCACTCTTTTCTAAGTACAGACTAACAGTTTATTTTTTGTAAGGCATTAAGCTTCCTCAAAATTGTTAGTGACCACAGATAAATAAAAGTGTGCTTGGATTTGCTATTATTCATAGCAATGATCCAAAGACAACATTTCTGCAGGGTCTTATGAAAACAGCACATCAAAGTAGTACTTTAAACTGAAATAGGTGTTCTTTGTTTGAATTAGGAGGTAAATACACGGTGCTCTTCTCTGGAACTGGAAATGGTGTGTGGGTGTGGTAGAAACACATGTTTGGCTGACCATCTTGCCCCACTGGCCGTATTCAGAGAGTCTTCAATTCGTAGTTGCTGAATGAGCCCTGATGGTTGCTCCCCAGCTGGAGAGTCCCTGTTTTCAGGACCGTTTGCCAGTTTGAGTTCTGTAAACTTGGTTGGTCTGGATCGGCGATCGTGGGATGCAGGCTCCTCGGCCTGTGGCTTTAGTCATGTGGTCAGTGTATGTTGTTTGAGTCTGCACTTCTGGAGGTGCTTTAAAGTTAGCTTTTTTAACTTCTTATTACTCAATTTGGCTTGCCGATTTACAACTTCTTGGAAGTTTATTCTATTAGAAATATATTCAGGAGGTGTTTTAATTCTTTTATCCCTCCTCTACCCTTCTTTAATTTTTAATCGGTTACATTATGCTTTCAAGGTTACTGACCTCTGAGGGTTTGTGAAATAGTCCCTTTCCCTTCTACCTAGGACTTGATATCTCTTCTTGCAACATTAGAAATAAAAAAATAGAATAAAGAGGACCAGCCCAGGTGGTCTAGTGGTTAAGATCTGGCGCTCTCACTGCCGAGGCCCAGGTTTGATTCCTGGTCAGGGACCATACCCCCGTCTGTCAGTTGTCCTCCTGTGGTGGTTGCCTGTTGCTGGGATGCTGAAAGCTGTGCCTCTGGTATTTCAAGTACCAGCAGGGTCGCTGTGGTGGGCAGGTTTCAGCAGAGCTTCCAGACTCAGACAGATTAAGAAGAAGGACATGGGGCCACCCACTTCCAAAAAACTTGGCCATGAAAACCCTGTGAATAGCAGCACAGCATTGTCTATAGATAGAGCACTGGCAGATGGAAAGGATGGCACAAAAAGACCAGGCAGGGTTCTGCTCCACTGTACACAGGGTGTCTAGGAGTCAGAATCCACTCAATGGCACTAACAACAAATAGAGGACTAGACTAAAATAGCATTAGTGAAACAAAGCCAATTTTTGAAGAGTTTTGCATTGTTCTGAACTAATTATTTGCTTTGGAAAATGTAAGAAAATACCAAAGGAGAACTAAATAAGAGTATTTTAATACTAATATAATGAGACTATTTAAGAGGAATTATGAAGAGTATAAATTTAAAGTTATTTTTAAAGGGTATAAAGTACAAACTTTAAAAGCTTTAATAAACTGGGTTTTTTTTGTAGATGAATTCTTGTATTAAAAACCCCAAAATTCTTCTGTTGAAGTGTTCCATTGAGTATCTCTACAGAGAAGAAACTAAATTTACTTGCATTGACCCTATCGTGCTTCAGGTGAGAAGTTCCTACTGAAACATAATCTGGGGGATTGTTTGTGTGTTATGACATGTGCTCTCACACTCAGTCGTCTGCTGTCTGAGCCCAGAACCCGTGAAGCAGTTAATGAGTTGTGCCGTTTTAACTGGTTGTTATTTACAAAATTCATGTGCTTTGAAAATGAGCCTTCGTCATGAAATTGTAGTAAGATTCTGTTTCAATTTCTGACTACAGCTTCTAGGTGTAACGAGACTCTTGGGGGATTGAAGCGGGGGAAGTAGCTGAAGTGGCATCTGGGGAGAGTTGTTTATTGGATGCCCAGAGAAGACTGGTCAGTTTCGGAGTGTGCAGGGGAGCCCTAACCATACTAAAAACATTTAGGATTGCTTTCAGTTCAGGGGTTGTGATGTTAGGGAGTTTTTGTTCTTTTTTTTTTTTTTTTGATCTCTGAGAGCTAGCTAAGTAAATTCTTGGCTTTTATATTATAGGTTATTAAGAACTGAAAATTCTTCAGAGTGAAATTAGTGAGTCACAGAATAGAGATTCTCCTGAAACTCTTTTCAGCATAATCAGCTGTTTAGAATGATGAGTGATATTCTTGGTTGTGTTTCGGTTAATTTGCTTACGGACTTATATGGGGAAAAGGGAAGCTTAGGCTGAGATTGATATTAATAGTCAAACTATCCTGATATTTTAGTATGTTTGGATCTTGAATTGTAACGGGTATAGTATTTCTGATTTATCTTATTTAGGAAAGGGAATTCTTGAAGAATTATGTTCAGCGAATAGTGGATGTTCGACCCACATTGGTTCTAGTTGAGAAAACGGTGTCTCGGATTGCCCAGGACCTGTTGCTGGAACACGGCATCACTTTGGTCATTAATGTCAAATCAGTGAGTGTTCTTCTTCTATTCTTATATCGTTTTTAAAAATCACAGCTTTTAAATTTATATGCATGTGTGGTAGATAGGCAGGGATCTTTGATTATTTATTGATCCCAGTGCTAGCATCAGGGCAGGAGGCCCGGCAGCTATTCCGATGTTTGAAACTGGAGGATCTTGGCTAGGCAGCAAGTGTGGTTAATTTGTAACACTCACTGTAGGCGTTTACAAGACAGAGATGGGAGAGACGTTAGGTAATCCTAGTATTTGTTGAGCCTCCCTTTTGTTTGGGGAATTGCACAGCAGAAGGTGTTCTCCCCTTTAGAAAGTATCCCTCTTCAGAGGAGCGGCCAATTCTAGGAAGTCCCCCGACGCCACCTGCAGTAGCTTGTGCTGGTGGCTGCTGCTTACATTCTTGTTGATAATATTGTTCATATGAGTATGGTTTATTTTAGTGGTCACATTGATTACTAAGCAACTGCATGTAGACTAATCTAGAATCTAGGAAATCTGGGGGGGAAATGTAGAAATGTACAAAAATTCACATTAAAATTAAGGAAATTCATTGTGAGAGTTACTTTTAAATTTCCCCATTACTTTTTCAGATTAAATTTACTAAGAATTTTACCCGTTTCCATCTAATTTTGTAATATACTACTTTTCTGTGTTTTTCTAGCAAGTTTTAGAACGAATCAGTCGGATGACCCAAGGTGATTTAGTGATGTCGATGGACCAGTTGCTCACAAAGCCCCACCTGGGCACCTGTCACAAATTTTACATGCAGATGTTTCAGCTACCTGGTGGTGAGTGTTCTTTAGCAGATTCGCCTTAGAGGTTGGGCGCTGCAGGGATGAGTAAGCTCGTCAGCACTGCGGTTCACCCGTTAGGAAGCCTCTGCTAGCAGTGGTGGAATGAGGACGGTAACTGGGGTCTCACTCACTTAAGGGTTTTCTCTTGTTAAGATAGTGAACTGATTCTGTCTGGACTTCTGGATTGCCACCTAAGTCTTCTTAACTTTCTGTTTGTTTATTTGTAGAACAAACCAAAACTCTGATGTTTTTTGAAGGCTGTCCACAGCACCTGGGCTGTACAATCAAGCTTAGAGGAGGCTCCGATTATGAGCTGGCTCGAGTTAAGGAGATCCTCATATTTATGATCTGTGTAGCATATCATTCTCAACTAGAAATCTCCTTCCTCATGGATGAATTTGCCATGCCTCCTACATTAACGCAAAACCCTTCCTTCCACTCTCTGATTGAGGAACAGGAGGATGACGAGGCTGCTCAAGAACAGCTCAGCGGAAGTCCCCTCCCCCGGGAACCTGACTTCCCTCTGGAGTGTCTGGCCCCTGATGAGAGCAGTTCACTGGAATCAAGGACTGTGTTTGGGAAGAGTGACCAGGAACTTAAAGGTGCTCCAAAGGATGCTGTCTCGTTGAAGCAGCAGGAGTTCGCCACAGCAGCCTGCCCGGCCGGCGTCCCCTATGCTCTCTTTGCATTGGTCCCAGAATCCTTGTTGCCACTGCATCTGGGTGACCAACAGGATGCCAGGGGCAGCGAGCAGCCAGAGACTGTGCAGCAAACGGGTGAGCTACAGGATCCCAAAAGCCAGATGAGAGCCTTTAGAGACCCTCTGCAGGATGACACTGGATTGTATGTCACTGAGGAAGTCACCTCTTCTGAGGATAAGCGGAAGACTTACTCTTTGGCCTTTAAACAGGAATTAAAAGACGTAATTCTCTGTATCTCCCCAGTGATCACATTCCGAGAGCCTTTCCTTTTAACCGAGAAGGGGATGCGATGCTCTCCCCGAGACTATTTCGCAGAGCAGCTTTACTGGTCTCCTCTCCTCAATAAAGACTTCAAAGAAATGGAGAGCAGGCGGAAGAAGCAGCTGCTCAGGGATCTCTCCAGCCTCCAGGGCCTGAACGGAAGTGTGCAGGCCAAGTCTATCCAAGTGCTGCCCTCACACGAGCTGGTGAGCGCTAGGATTGCTGAGCATCTGGGTGACAGCCAGGGCCTGGGCCGGATGCTGGCTGACTACCGGGCCAGAGGAGGGAGAATTCAGCAGAATACTTCAGACCCTTTTGCTCATTCAAAGGATGCATCAGGTCCTTCAAGTGGCAAGTCAGGAAGCAGAACTGAGGGCGATGAAGAGAAAGGGCTGATTCCGAGTGACGCGGTATGGTCAACAAAGGTGAGCAATGTGTGGGGCACCTGTGTCATTGAGAAGGCATTGGAAGCAGCTGTGGCAGGAAAGTCAACATGACAAATTGGTGCAGGTTTATTAACTGTTGTACGCCTTTTTATCTTGGGTCTGTTGGCTTGTGTGTTACTTTAAATGCATGAAGTAAGAGTATAACATCACGCGGCTGCGTTTGAGGGTTTCACACAGAGCTTATGATAACCTAGGAGGAGCTCTGAGGTGGGGACTGTGGAGCTGCTTAAATTTCTGGCAGGAAGACTTGGGTGTGGTGTGTCCTTGATCCTTTAATGGTAGTGAAGGGGAGAGTGAGTGATGGAGCTTGTTGTAGGACATGGGTGTGTCTTTTAAAAATGTTAGATTCATTTATTTGTTTAACATGAAACACTTTACATATTATTTAACTATGACAGTGTGCTTTTTCTTTACTTTTTAAACAGAAATTGAGGGCAAATTAAGGAAGATTATCATGGACGCATTATTGATTATGATGGTAATGAAACTAATGAACAAATCCCTCTCTAGACGAGGAAATGTAGTTGTTTAATAAAACGGATAGAAAGATGCTCAGTTTCACTGTTAGGGAAGTGCTAAATAATAACGGGACACCGTTTCTTATTTGTGAGATTGGCAAAAAGGAGAGTGATAAGAGCCATGGTTAATGAGGTATGGAAAAATGCCTATTATTTTATATAAATTTGTGTTTATATACATTTATGTGAGTTTTTTTTTAAAAGATTGGCACCTGGGCTAACTGTTGCCAGTCTTCTTGTTTTTCTTTTTTCTTTTTCTTCTCCCCAAAGCCCCCCAGGACATAGTTGTATATTCTAGTGGTACGTCCTTCTGGCTCTGCTATGTGGTACACCACCTCAGCATGGCCTGATGAGTGGTGCCACGTCTGCGTCCAGGATCCAAACCAGCAAAACCCTGGGCCACTGAAGTGGAGCGTGCAAACTTAGCCACTTGGCCACGGGGCCGCCCCCGTTTTTGTGCATTTATAAGAACTGTTGGGAGGTGTCTTTAATTTACACGAGCACGTATATGCCTTCAATTCCAGATTCCTGTCTTTTATAACCTGTTCCTGCAGAAGGGTGCGGAGCATTTTGTATAAGGATGCTTGCATCTTGCAAGAGTGTGTATCAAGGGTGTTTCCTGAAACATTGTTTCTAATTTGCTGTAAAAAGGGTGAGTTGGATCTCATGTAATGACCCGGATGGAGCCCATGCTGTATTTTCAAGAGTTAAAAAGCAAGTTGTGTTTTAATATGTGTAGCACCACCTCATTTTTATAGAAACAACATCACCTGTGTACCCTTTGTGGGTGTTTTTGTGTGCATCTGTGAGCGAGAAAAAGAAAGCGTGGTTTTAACCATACAGTCAGATTTGTCAGTTTGGGAGGGGAGGCCGCGTCAAAGGAGGACAGACTTTGTGTCCTGCGTGAACTTCTCCATCTACCTTTGTACGATTTGAATTTCAACAGAGAGCAGGTGTTATCTTTGTAATGATCAAAAATAGGTATAAAGTACAAGCACGTAAATACCTTAGAATTTAGGTTTCTGGATGTCTCAGACTGATGTTATATCCAGCCCTCAGTTCAGACTGTTTCATATTTAATTAACTGTATACTTCCACAATAATTTAATGCAGTTTTATAAAATTAAAGAGTATTTGGGAAAACAGGCTGTTTAAACATCTGTTTATACTTTTAAGTTTATCTTAAACTTTTTGGATTGTTTTACTTCAAAAACCAACAGCTCTTCTTCCCTATATTTAGTTTCTTAGAGTTTTGAATCTTCACTGGAACCCCTGCGGTGGTAATGGGGGGTTTTAAGAATCCAGTGGAGTGTGTTGGATTTCAGAGGTGTCTGTTGGTCCTCGTGTGGCGCTCAGGAGCTCATGTGCCCCTCTCTTGCAGGTGGACTGTCTGAACCCTGCCAACCACCAGAGGCTGTGCGTGCTCTTCAGCAGCTCTTCTGCCCAGTCCAGCAACGCGCCCAGCGCCTGCGTCAGTCCTTGGTAGGGCTCTTTTCCCTGTACTACTGCATTTAAGAGCAGAATTCCAGCAACTTTTAAAATGAATTCAGGAATTAGGATCTGTTTTTAGGTACATGGCATGCTGCTCGTCATATATGAATTGATAGAACTTTTAAAGTTGAATTAAATGTGGAATTTGTATGTGTTCATGAGTAGAAGTAAAAGAGAGTACCTTAAGAATGAAAAGGGTGTAAGGGATGAAAGAGAAATTTGTAATTAGAAAGGTGGGAAAGTTGATACATAAAAGCTAGTTTTAAGCATTTTGACAATAACGTACAACTTAGGTAAGTTTTCCTTTAGGCATTGTTTTCATAAAAGCAGTGAGTCTTTTGCCTTAAGATTTACTCTAAAACTTATTTCTAAGATTGATAGGAACACATTTTATAATGTTATAAATTATTTGTTTCAAACGACAGTCACAAAAGCCTAGTTATTACGTAGCTTTATTTACCTTTAGTTTTAAAAGTATTATGGAACATAACTGCTTGTTTTTGGAGCAGTGTTTCCATGGCAAAATGTGTTCTATATTTTAACTTTGAACACTGGAGACACTTACTTCTGCTGGTGAGGTCAGGAGTTTTTCTAGAATCAGTATGGTGTTCCAGGCTGACTTGGGGCTGAGGGAGCCCATAGGAATTTTCTCTGGGAGTTGACGGACTCCTGAGGTCAAAGCTTGAGTAAGGTGTGCTTTTCAACAGGGATTTGGCCAAACTCTCCTATTTGTGGGCATTTATAAGTTAGGGATAAAGTTATGAATTGACTCTCGTGGAAGAATATGAGCTGCTGTTCTCCATGCTCAGTAATGTGTGGACTGGCGAGCAGGAGACCGAGTCCCATCTAATGTTGACAGGGCTGACAGCTTTGTAAAGGAAACTCTTACTTCCTATCTCAGATCAGTTTTACTCATTTAATATTATAGTTTATACATTCTGATTAAATAGTTTCATAAGATACTAGTGGACTGGGAGTGGATAAGATGCTGTAGTGTCCCAACCTGTTTTATCAGGTGAGGTAAGACCTGTTCTATAACAACAAGAATATCACCCCTTTAGTACTGTTTTATAAGCACATCTAACAGGTAATCAGTTTGTAGTCTCATGAAATGTCTTTGCTATGTGGTAATTCTTATGATATGTTACTAAGAAATGATTTGTTCTTTTAGGATTGTAACAATGGAATTTTATGGAAAGAATGATCTTACACTGGGAATATTTTTAGAGAGATACTGTTTCAGGTAAGATCAGATTTTCTCCTTATGTTCCATTTATGCTTTTTTCATGCCCAGAATTTTCAACCCAAAACATCAACGTGAGTTGGAGTATTGCTGTGTGGCCTTCACGGTCACACCACATGTCAGAGTGTACCATACCGAGAAGTAATCTGTTTCCTATCCAACCCGAGGTGTCTTATCCAGCTCACTCCTCAAATCTTCGTCCATCTAATTACTCTGCCACGCCTAAGACTTTCTTTTAGGATGTCTGTTTCTATAGTGACTCAAATGAGAGGCAAGAGAAGCATAGGACCTCAGTTTAAGTCTTAATATGACAAAAAACAAGAGATTTAATCTTTACCATCCTTGTTTATTGGGAACAAGCTCCAGAAATATCAGGAATTTTAATAGGTAAAATGAGATGGTGTTTTAAAAACCCTTGGCAAATAGAAGGTGCTTCACAAGTGGAAACGATCCCTGTGCTCTGGCTGAAGACAGCGCATCTGCTGCAGGCTCCGAGCAGTACGAGTGGTCCCCACACAGGTCGTCCATCATTATTCTTACTCCAGAGAGAATGCTGCACTCTCCCGACAGTGGTTCTGATTGGCCAGTGCTCATTAGACGTTGCTCCTCGGTTCCACGGCTAATGCGAGGTCTTTCTTTTTGTCAAAGGCCTTCTTACCAGTGTCCTAGCATGTTCTGTGATACCCCCATGGTACATCACATTCGGCGCTTTGTCCATGGCCAAGGCTGTGTGCAGATAATCCTGAAGGAGCTGGATTCTCCAGTACCTGGATATCAGCATACAATTCTCACCTATTCCTGGTGCAGAATCTGCAAACAGGTAAATGTACTCTGTTGCCATGATATTTCATATAATATCATTTACTTCTTTCTTTGTTTAGTTCTTTCGGGGGGAGAGGGTGGTCTGTATCATTTTTGATTTGTTGTTTGTCATTGGGCTCATATTTATTCTACCTTGCAGCGCTGTATATTCTGTTTAATGTTTGTTTCTTGAAGATTCCATTTTAGGATTTATCAGTCATCATATAAAATATAGGTACCTTGTCTAGTAAAATATATGGAGATTGTGTATTGACAGTTCTTAATTATGTTTGTTTATTCATTCAGCAAACACTTATTTAGTATTATCTATGTACAGAGGGGTGTGCTAGGCCCTAGGAATGAAAAAAGTCAAGGCGTGGCTCCTGTTCTCCAGGAGAGGAGACGACGTGACACATTCGTTACTGGGTGCCAGGATGTGTGTGGGTCTGAGCCTGTCAGTGTTTCGGTCTTGAGAGATATGGACAAGGCTGTGTTTAAACTGGTCTCTGCTGGTTCTCACGTACATTTTTGAGAAAGGGACCATGTGTTTTATTTCTTCTGGTTTTTTTTTCTTTTCTGGAAGAAATATTTGGTACCACCATTATGTGTATAATATAAATTTTTTTTCAAATTGCAGTGCGTATGTGCGAAATTTAACTTCAATGTTATCTTACTTGGCTTATTTTGAACTGTACTTTTGGAAGGCACATATGGGAATTATAGATAAAATGATAGTGTGACCTGCAGCAATACCAGTGGGGTGAGGAGAGCAAAATCAAGGTTAGGTCCTTCTTCAGTAGAAACAGCCAGGAAATCGTTTCCTGCAATTATCAGTCTTAACTTTTTGTACTTGTTCTTATAATAGGCCGTTACTCCCTGTTAGCTGGCTGGTAATGCTTTGTTGTAGAATTTGTGATCTTCCGTAGATTGACCAGTGAACTACATGCATAACTTAAATTTGGTCTTTATATCTTGCATGCTTTGGTGTATGCACTTTATTTTAAAACAAAAACTTCCACCTTTGAGGTTATGTTAGAAAGGAAAAGGTAAACAATTTTTGTTACAGAAAAATGAAAAATTTCTATGTCAAAAAACGTTATAATACCAAATATGACCAGACGTTAATGTACTTAATATTAAATTTCTGTAAGCGATGAAAATAGTAAAATGGGCAAAAGGCATGACAAAGCAATTCAAGACAAGTGGCCAATAGCCATGTGCAAATAGATTTTACTTGCTGGTAGTCAAAGAAATGTAAATAAAACCAGTGAAGTGCATTGTTTGTTTTTTAAGAAATCACATTTCAAAGATTTGTAATTCCTGAGATTGGTAAAAAAGTGGGGAAATTGTTATTCTCAGATATGTCTGAGGTTGTGTAAACCAGTACACCTGTTTTAGAAGACAGGTGGCAGAAAATATCAAAGACCATGTAGATGTTCATGCCCTTTGACCTACCAATTCCCACTTTTATTAATTTATTCCAAGGAAATAATTATGGATATCTGTAGGTGTGTATATATATTTACATACACAAGGAAGTTCGTCAGAGGATCATCAAAATAAAGAAAAACTTGCAATGTCTTAAATGAACATCAGTAGGGATTGGTTAAATACATCTGTTTAAAGAGATGCTCTGTGGCTATTAAAAATCAGGTTGTACAAGAATGTTTTGTGTGGGGAAGTATTTGTGGTATATTGCTAAGTAAAAATAAAAAGTTGTGAAACTAATTACAGGAAGGCATTTTTATTGACAAACACACTGGCTATGCTGTGTGTTTTCGTGTATGGAGAGAAAGTAAACTCACGAGCATGTTGACGGTGGTGCGATTGCTAGTGATACTGCTCTCTCAGCCACCCTTTTCCACCACCTTCCAACCTTTCCTTTTCCAATTTTCTGTGGTCATAATATATTAGATTTATACTAGAAAAAAAAACGCATTGTTTTTTCAAAAAGAGATTCTCAAAAAAAATGTGATTAGGTAACAAACGATTTATGCTGAATTTCAGGTAACACCAGTTGTTGCTCTTTCCAATGAGTCCTGGTCCATGTCATTTGCCAAATACCTTGAACTTCGGTTTTATGGGCACCAGTACACCCGTAGAGCCAATGCTGAGCCGTGTGGCCACTCCATCCACCATGATTATCACCAGTACTTCTCCTATAACCAGATGGTGGCATCTTTTAGGTGAGGCGTCAGAGCGACCTGGGACAGTCACAGACCCCCTGGAAGGCTCTGTACTTGATTGAATTAATGTTGGTGTGTGTTGTTCCCCACCCTGACCCGTGCAAATGCAGAGGGCCATACTCTGCTAAGAGCTTTCAGTGTTACTGTTTTATCTAATCCTTACCCTAAGAAATAGGTATTATTATTACCCTCACGTAGAGAGACCTTATATCTCACTGAGAGAGCTAGTGAGTGTTGGGGTCATGATATGAGCTAGTGGATCTGCTGCTGCAGGTGTTAACCACTGCTTTTGCATCTGAAAGTTTGTCAGAATTTTTACTAAGACATCAACTTAGCATAAGGATAGTCGGATATTCTGGATAGAGCTAAGATCCCTAGTTCAAAGAATGGGTAGTTAGTTACACTGTGGTATGAAATGATTTGAGAAAGCTGTTAGGCTCTGCCTTCAGAATACATCCAGAATCTGTACACTTCTCACTGCCTCCACCCCACCATGTCCCCAGATGGAGCCTTGTTAGCTTCCACCAGATTATTGCAGAGCCTCAACCAGTCTCCTCTGCAGCCTTGCCCTGCAGCCTGTCCTCAGCACAGCAGTTGGAATGAGCCCGTTCATTGAGAATCACAGCCACTCCCAAGGAGCTGGACCCTCCAGGGTCTCTCTTTCACCCTGCGTGAAAGCTGGAGTCCATTTATGGGCCTGTGAGCTCCCACATGCTCTGGCTGCTCAGTGCCCCTCTGCTCCCCTCGCTCACCCTGCTGCAGCCTAACTGGCTTCCTCGCTGGGCCTCGGTTATGGAGGCAGGCTGCTCTTCTCTGAGGTGCCTGCTCCCCGATTGTGGCCTGCTTGTCCTTACTTCCTGCAGATCTCTGCTACGATGTCACCCACCCAGCCTCCCTCTCACCCCTGGTGCTCTCTGCTTCCCTTTCCTGCCTTATTTTTCTCCTTAGCACTTAGGTATTTATTTATTTTGTTTATTGCCCTAATCTTGTATTCCTGAGTCATGAGGGCAGGAATTTTGGCCCTTGTTTAGTGCTGTATCCTCAGCACCTAAAACAGCATCTCATACATAATAGACCCTCAGGAAATATTTCTCATTGGACCCTATTTCCTTCTTTAACCGTGAACCCGGGACTTGGGTGGGATAGGGTGTTTACTAGACAGCGTAAACCCTCAGGAGGAGAGGAAGAAGCACTTGGTGGGAGTCCTCAGGCACTGAGAAGGTGTGAATACCTGTGTCTGAGCTCACTTTGGGAAGCAGTTCCACTCATAGAGGAGTCATTTTTGTGTTTAAAGCACTTGGGGACAACCTCAGGGGATAAATGATGACATCACAGTGCAGTGAAAAAACAAACAAAATCCTTCCAAAACTGGGGAGGATATTTATAATGATTGAAAATTGTCTTCAATATTTTTATGATTGTTTTTAAAATGCCATTTTAGGGAAACTTTATTATGTCTTATGTCTCATAGGATTTACTTGACCATCATGATACACTTCTACTCAAAATATTAAAATATTTTTCACTTTTCTACTATTATTTGTATTTTCTTCTCTCAGTTATTCTCCCATTCGGCTTCTTGAAGTATGTGTTCCACTCCCCAAAATATTCATTAAACGTCAGGCCCCATTAAAAGTGTCCCTTCTTCAAGATCTGAAGGACTTCTTTCAAAAGTAAGTTTTAGTTTCTTTGATCATCTTTTTTGTTTAGTACTGTCTGTAATCTACAGCTATGTTAAATAGCAAGTTTGTTCATTTAGCTTTCTTTGAAAACATATATATGTGTATTTTTCTAATTGTATGTTATATATGCCTGATGTAAAAAAATAAAAACATAGTTAATACATAAAAGTATTAAAAAAGAAGTTAAACCCTCTCAAACATAACAATTGTTAAAATTTTGATGTACATCCTGTCAGGTCCTTTTTGTTCTACAAAATTGTATATGATTCTTAATTTGATAAAACATATTACAGTTAAAGTTTTGTGTGTGACATCTTTTTTCTATTTATGTGAGATTAGACAGTTTGATTCCAGCTTTTCTGAAGTGTTTAATATTCTTTTTGTTTATATTGTTAGAGTTTCACAAGTATATCTTGCTGTTGATGAAAGACTTGCATCTTTGAAAACTGATACATTTAGCAAAACAAGAGAGGAAAAAATGGAAGATATCTTTGCACAAAAAGAGGTAATTTATTTCTTTGACAGAAACCCAAAAGTTAACTATTAACTCACTAGAAGTTGCTTTTGGGCTGGGTCTCAGATTGCCGGAGTTGTTTGTGTTCTTTATAGATGGAGGAAGGCGAGTTCAAGAACTGGATTGAGAAAATGCAAGCGAGGCTCCTGTCTTCCTCGGTAGACACCCCTCAGCAGCTGCAGTCGGTCCTGGAGTCGCTCATCGCCAAGAAGCAGAGCCTCTGTGAAGTGCTGCAGGCCTGGAATAACAGGTGTGGCTGCCTGCGGCTGCCCTTTAATGTGATCACAGAATTGCCGTGATGTTTGTGACTTAAATGTCTTTGTTAATTATGAATGTTTCATTTTACTCTCCAGTTGTAGAAGCTTTTATTTTCTGTTACCACTATACCCCGCATCTCTTTTCATCCTTTAAAATATATATATTAATCTGCAGGTAGTTTGTGAAGATAAAACAGAAATGAGAATGGCCTTCAGTGCTGTCTCAAGTGCTTACAGCGTGTGCGCTTATGGATTAAGATCTCTGAGTCAGCGTGCCGTGGAGTGGCTGTTGGCTTTTAGGTCAGGGCTTTCAAATCTGTTACTATGTGTATCTTACACCTCTACTTAAATATTTATTTTGAGGAATATTTCCCTTTCATGCTTGTTTAGAAGTTCAGTCAGATTGTCGTAGTGTGTATTTATGGAGCACTATGCTAGGCACTCAGGAAGCCCTGGACGGAGTGCCCTCTTTTGTTTGGTCTTGTGAGTCCTACAGCGAGTATGCTCTTGTCATTTTACGGAGGGGGAACTATGGCTGTGAGAAGCTGAGGGATCTGCCCGAGCGGTATGGCTGTGACTGTCAGAGTGGGGCTTTGCGCCCAGGTCTGTTGGTCTCTAAAGCCGTGCTTTTTACATCATGTTGTGCTGTCTCTTATGATAACTTGCTATTCTTTTATAACTATAGTCATAGCAGTAATAGCTCTTGATTGGTTGATTAGAAATAAGACAAAAACTTAGTTATTTACAACTTTAAAATCTATTGCAATCAAAATAGGAAAATCTAATTATCGTGGTTTCAAAGCTGCAAGGAGAAGATTTGTAAACGCTATGCAGGATATTAGAAACAAACCATATATATTTTTTTCCTTTTTTCCTTTAACTGTAGGTTGCAGGACCTTTTCCAGCAGGAAAAGGGTAGAAAGCGGCCTTCAGTTCCTCCAAGTCCTGGAAGACTGAGACAAGGGGAAGAAAGCAAGGTAATAAATGTAGTTTTGTCATTGGGCTTTCTTTGATAAAATATTATAATTAATTTCATTAATGACACTTAGAAGTAGTAGTTTAATAATATTAAATAGGATTTTTCATTTTGAAGTTGTGAAGTTTCAAGGAGACATGACGTGGATTAATTTTTCTCTTAGCCTGAAGTAAAGTATTATAATTCGTTTGTCTGAAACACATCAAAAGCTGCTGTGCACTGGCGGCAGCAGACACCATAAAGGGGAAGTCGCCGGTGCTCTGAGTGTAGAGTTGAGTCCTGACTTATTTTACTGTGTGGTTTGGATGTTCTTTATCTCTGTGCTTAACTGAGAAGCTTTTCTTGGAGTTAGACCTGCTACCACCACGCCATGAGGTCCTGAGAAGCTTTTCTTAAGGGGTCTGCACTGGATTATTTCTACACATTGATTTAATTAGCCTTTCCTAACTGTGTTAGTTTTATCTTGTTGCATAACAAATTATCACAAACTTGTGGCTAAAACACAAATTTGTCATCTCACAGTGAGTTGGGGGTGTAGCTAGTCTCTCTGCTCAGTCTCACAGCTAAAATGGAAGTTTCGGTCAGAGCTGTAATCTGAGGCTCCAGGTCCTCTTCCAAGTTCCTCCGGGTTGTTGGCGGAATTCACTTCCCAGTGGTTAGAAGACTGAGGTCCCTGTTTGTTGCTGCCACTTGTCTAGAGGTGATTCTCAACTCCTGCAGGCTGCCTGCACTCCTTGCCATGTGGCCCCTTCCGTCTTCAAAGCCTACAACTGTGCATCGAGTCCTCCTCATGCTTCAAATCTCTGAATTCTCTGTCTGACCTCTAGACCCAGATTTAAAGGTCTCATGTGATGAGATCAGGCCCACCTGGACAATGTCCCTAGTGTAAGGTTAATTGATTTGGAACCCTGAATACCTCTCAAAATCCCTTCATAGCAGTATCTAGATGAGTGTTTGATTGAATAACTGGAGGCGTTTGTATCTGCCAGGGGCAGGATTCTTGCGGGCCGTCTTGGAATTCTGCCTACCATGCTAACCATATTTCAGATGAATTAATGTCACTATATTATAAGGGCTTAATATTCTGATATCATGAGGGCTTTTGGGAGAATATTTTCTTTTTGTCAAGTGTCTAGTATCTTGTAGATACTAGAGCATTTTCATGGAATGATGGATCCGAGTGCCTCAGATCTTGTGTTATTTTGTAACATATAAATGAATTCTTCCTTTTTGTCTCATAAACAACTGTGCAGGAATCCCTTTTCCTTATAGTGTAGATGAGAGTAAGAATACAGATTACTGAGGAGGATTTGTGTGTTCGTGTGTGCCAAGTAGTCTGGGCCATGTGTGGCTGGCACAGACTGCTCGTGGCCTGTCTAGGTCCCACTGAGGACACTGCAAGGCTAGTCATGTGAGATCTTTAATTGTAAGGGTAGACACAGAATCATTCCACAGGTGGCCGTCTTTCTGAAAGATGGACCGTTGATTTGAAAATCTGTCGCGCTGCCTTGCTGTTCATTCGTTCTCAAGTGCCTCAGGGTCTGTTCTAGGTACAAGGTGTGCACTTGTGAACAAAGCCAGGGCCACTGTCCCCAGGGAACATTTGTCCAATGAGTAGTGAACTAGTAAACATTTACAAACAAATGGAAAAAAGGCTACGAAGAGAAAACAAGGGCAGCGGAGAACATTGTGAAGGAATGGGTGGTGGTCCATTCTTCTGTGTGGGGTGGCCTGGGACGGTGAGCAAATCTAAGAGTGTTGTAAGCGGCGATCTAAGAAATGACTGTAATCAGATTGTACACAGGGCTTGGAGTCGTTCTACACGTGCCTTAACTGTGAACAGTGGGACTGAGAATGTCCCGTGGGTAACAGATCGCCAGGCCTAGTGGTTAGTCACACGTCGTTCCCAGAAACTTTAATGTGAGAAGTGAGCTTACCGTGTAGAACAGTGTTCTCAGTGTGCTTGCCAGACCCCGGGGGGCCCAGGACCTTTTCAAGGGCTCCGCCAGCCCCCTCTTCAACTCACGTCGGTGTGAGACAAGATCTTCTCTATTTACTTCAATCATAATAATCCAGCTCAACAGGTTAATTGCCAAAGTTGGAGATGAATCTAGCCATCTTCTATTAAGCTAGACATTGAAGTATTTGTAAAGGTGTAAAACAGTGCCACTTTTACCAATTTTTTTTAAAATGTCTATTTTTTAATTTAAAAAGTTATGTTCCTATGGTTTATTGTTATTTTTTAATGAATTAATAAATGTGTATTCTAAAACTTTATCAGTTTTAATTTTTAGTAAGGTAAAAATTGGAAGATAGACCCCACATAAACAAAAGCTGAGAGTCTTAATAATTCTTAAGAAGTTGGAGTCCTGAGCCCAAAGTGTTTAAGATTCACTGGGTTAAGAAATTTTTTAAATGTGATTTTAATGTTTCCCTAAGAACAGAGTATTTACTTCTCTACAGATAAGTGCAATGGATGCATCTCCACGGAATATTTCTCCAGGACTTCAAAATGGAGAAAAAGGTGGGTCCTCGAGGCTAGTGATCAGTGCCGTTGGATTTAAAGACACTTCTTGGTCTATAAGTTCTTATTAACCACTAATTTTGAGAATATTTTTGGATGCAGTTGTTCGTAGGCTTTTTTCACTTTCTGTAGAGCATTTGTAGCTCTACAGGATTATTGTAAAGTCTATCAGGGTGTAGAAACACACAATAAATAGAGAAGGCTGCCCTTAGGGGAAGAAGAAACAGAAAAGGGGAAATGGAATTTCTGTTCTGTTCATTCCAAAGTCAACTCCCAGGTTTCACTGCAAAAAATCTTACAAACTTTGATTTATATTTTTATGTCACTGAGATCTTTTCTAGACTTCAGCTGTCTTTTACAGCATTTCATTGAATAACTTGGTGCCATCCTGGAAAATCTGCAGGGAAATTTACTTAGACCATCTTTATAGAGCAAGAGCTCAACTCGTACTTCTTGGCATTTTCTAAAAATTATAATTAAGTGAATTTTCCCCTGAGAATAAGCAAGTTGTTTTTTTCCAATAGTGTCATAATTTCATTCCCTATTAAGTCGAATGGACTAACATTAACGAGGCATTATGGTCTCGTGCACAGAATATTGGACGCAGGTAGACTGGGCTGCCGTCTCTGTGCTGTCTCTGACCTGATTGTGGTCAAGTCCTCTAACCCGTCTGGATTTTTGTATCCATTTCTAAAATAAGCGCTAAAATGGCCTCAGTAATTTTTGAAGAGCTAAAATTCTTTGGTAGTGAAATAGAAATATGAGTTGGCATTTTAAAAACATTACTTACTCAGTAGAAATGCACTTAATGGTCTTAAATGACTCACTTTGTTTTTCCTTAGAGGACCGCTTCTTGACAACCCTCTCTAGTCAGGGCCCCACCTCTGCTGCTCATCTCCAGCTGCCCAGTCCCCCTGAAGTCCTGCCTGAGCAGGCAGGGGGGGCGACCCCCGAGCCGGATGCAGCCAGCAGTTCTGAAGGTACAGTTCACGCCACTTTCCCTGCCATCTGTCAGGAAGAGAAGTGCCTGCGACTCTTTCACAGCCCTCAGAATTTTAAAACTTTATACTCACAGTGCTCTTTCAGATAGAGCTTTTCCCATGTCGCTTCTTCAGTTGCACTGTCGACATGGAAATATCTCAGTAACAGAATGTTACTCCTCTTTATGTGCTTTCTGGGGATATTACTTTCTTAAGCCCCGTGAAGCACACGGTCATTGTCTGGTAAGAAAAGAGGGAAACTTGCAGCCATTTCTCCAATAACAAATCTTTATTCACTAATAGCAAATTTATGCCTTGCTTCTCTCTTTCCTTGCTTTTTGTTTAAGCAGTAACCACTTAATTGTGGTGTAAACTTTTAAAATGACTTTTAAATTGCAATTGAAACCCAAATGTGATAGCCACAGTGCTTGTAATTGGGTTGAAATGGCAACACGCTGTTCCTGCGTGCTCAGGCAGCAATTAGATCACACTGCTGCAGCCCTGAGAAACTGTTGACTCTAAGCTGACGTCAGCTCCGGAGATGTTACAGAGTAAAACAGCAAACCCCTTGGGGTCAGTGCTGTGCATGCTTCACTACTGCTTCCTGTTTCAGCCCATAGTAGTCATTTTACTTAGATCAGAACCATAATTGGTAATTATGGAGTACATATGTCTGTGTTCCAAAAAGAAAAAGAAAGAAAACTGACATTTTATACTTTTTTTACTCCTGAATATTAACATATAAGTAGAGTATTTTTCATCCTAGATGTGTTTGATGGACATTCTCTGGGATCCACAGACAGCCAGGTGAAGGAAAAATCAACCATGAAGGCCATCTTTGCAAATTTGCTTCCAGGAAATAGCTATAACCCTATTCCGTTTCCTTTGTAAGTGTTATGAAAGACAGTGGCTGTTGGGTGGTTTTATTTTCACTTAATTTCAAAATCTCTCTTTATAGATTTGCTCTACATATTTAAATACGTTTATTTAACTGTATATATGTATTTTTCAACCCTAAATTACACTTTGTGATAGTAAAAGAGATGTCTTTTGGTATAGTGTGATTTGTAGAACATGTAAACAATATTATATAGATGAGTGGATGATAAAAGCATCAACTAATGTTGCTTAATGCTTAAGATAACTATTTGTGAAAGTAATTGTTTATATGTGTATGTTTGAAGATACACTGCTCCATCTCTTGATCTCATAATCCCTCATAAAAACATTGCTGGTTGTATAGGAGGAGGATGTGACTGGCCCAGTAACTTCCTAGGACATGCTACTTTTCTAGCAGTGATGTGAATTACAAGTGTTCGTGTGATCCTGTTTGTGCTGGGTTTGCTCAGAGTGGGAGGCGTAGAGGCTGGCTGTGACAGTTTGTTTTCCTTCTGCTGGTTGACCTGTTTGCCATCAGATGCTGCTCTTGTTACAGTGGCACAGGTTTGCCCAAAGGTGGACGTTTGCTAATGAGGACTTTGTTCTTAACTGACTTATGTATTATTTATTCAGTCAATATTTAAACCTGCTCAGTGCCAGCTCTAGTGTCCTAGGATGTAGAACAAAGTTAGTAAGGAAAAATCACTGCTCTCAGGAGCTCACAGCCCTCATGGTCCTGGGGAGGAATGAGCAGACTCTCAGTGTGGAATCCGACATACTGTGATGGCAGTGCCTATGAGGTCCCTGTTTTCTCTGCTTCAGACTCCAATGCCTTTGTTTCTTGACTGGGTTATGGTCTCTCTTGTTTTAAGGCCTTGGCACATGCCCTCACTCTCTTCTTTGTTTTGTTTTTTTTTTAAAGATTGGCACCTGAGCTAACATTTGTTGCCAATCTTCTTTTTTTCTTCTTTTTCTCCCCAAAGCCCCCAGTAAATAGTTGTATATTCTAGTTGAGTGCCTCTGGTTGTGCTATATGGGATGCCGCCTCAGCATGGCTTGACGAGTGGTGTCATGTCCGTGCCCAGGATCCCAACCGGCAAAACCCTAGGCCTCCAAAGTGGAGCGTGAGAATTCACCCGCTTGGCCACGGGGCTGGCCCCCACTCTCTTCTTAGTCATTAGCGCCTGTGGTTCTTTCTCAGGAGAACTTTGCTAGACCCTCCCCCAGCCCCCTTCCCCACCCAGATTAGGCCTCTTGGCTGTGTGCTCTGATTCCCCCATGGCACTTACCATCACAGAAGTGGTTATATTTATTTGTAGGATTTCCTGTGAACTCTGCCACGCCTGTTTTCTGCACTGTTGTGTTGTTGATAGCTCGCACACATCAGGTGCTTAGTAATAGTTTTTCTTATTATTGTGTATCTGGCATGTCATGTGTTCAGTAAATAGCCATTAAATGAATGAATGAATGAACGAATGAATGCTTCTCTTGGGGGGTTAGGGTGCAAGTCAGGGGAACAAGATTTGGCTGAAAGTGGAGCCATGCCACTGAGGGGCTGGCCCAGTGGCGTAGTAGTTAAGTTCAGTGCGCTCTGCTTCGGCAGGTAGGGCTTCGCAGGTTCTGATCCTGGGCATGAACCTACACATGCTCATCCAGCCATGCTGTGGCAGCATCCCATATAGAAAATGGAGGAAGATTGGCACAGATGTTAGCTCAGGGACACTCTTCCTCACCAAAAAAAAAAGGTCACACCATTGAGTTTCTGTGTGATAACAGGAGAGAGCAGCTGTGTTATTTATTGTTGGTATATTTCAGCAATTTCTAGAAGACTTTTCTTCCACACTTATAGTAGAACAAAATACTACAGTTATGCTATTCATTGTAAATCCTTTTTGAGATGAGTGTGGCCCAAAGTCTTGGTGATTTGGAAAGCTTTGTTTGGAGGGACTATTCCAGAACCTTCTGATTTGAGACTAGTTCTCATAATTTTCAATTGCCTTCAGAAGCTTTCTGCTGATATATTTTCCTTTGCTGTTTGGTTCAGGTTCCGCATACATTTTGGTTTACTTAATTCCTTTTTTTTAATTGCAGTATAGTTGATGTACAATGTTATATTAGTTTCAGGTGTACCACGTAGTGATTCGATGTTTGTATACGTTACGAAATGATCACCATGGCAAGTCTAATTGTATTTTTATAATTGTGCAGTATTTAGTTAATTTAAAATTGTCCTGAGATTTACTTGTAATGTGTTAGTGGTTTGTATAAGTTATTTTCTGCTAATTTTGTTCTTATCTATATATTTAAAAATGTTGAGCAGTGATCCAGATAAACACTACTTAATGTACGAACACGAACGGGTGCCCATTGCCGTCTGTGAGAGGGAGCCCAGCTCCATCATTGCTTTTGCTCTCAGGTATCACTCATGGGGCTTTTTTGCCTGTGGTTATGTCTTTATATTTTATGTGTATTTATTAATCGCTTTATTGTTAAGATGTCTCATATGGAGTAAAATCATTAAATATAAGTAAAAATATGAAATCTTTCAGATTCTCTGTATCTGAAAATGTACTCTTTACCCAAATAATTAGAGGATGATTTGATTTTTAAGCAAGCTCCTAATACTAAATTGACTAGGCAAGTTGTTTATAATCCTTATACCCTGTAGCCATTCTCCGTATTATTGCATGTGTCCTGTCCTTCGATTTACTTATTGACGTAGTTCGGATGGTAATCTGAATACATCTTTTGTACTCTTCATTCACTTCTTTCCTGCTTCCCACGCGTAGCAGGTCATTTCCCTACTTAGAGCAATGCTGTTCCTATGCCTTACCCCATTTACATGCCACCTTTATCATGCATCTTAAAGAAGACCCCTCTTTAAAAGTATCTATATGTCGTGTCTAAAAGGACGAAGCCTTTGATCTTGGTAGTATCATGGCACTGGTGGAACCTCATTTAAGTAGAATCTAAGGTGCTTCATTTTTTAAAATATTTTTTTCTATTGGAAGGCATTGAAATTTTAGTTTTTCTGTTTATATATTGGTTATAAGGAGGTCACTTATTCAACAGCTACACGAACGTCTACACTCTGTGCTTTACTGGGTATTGGATCTATACCGGTAACCAAGATAGATTTCTATGTCTCGGCATTTATGGAACTTTAAAGTTTCCTGTTTGGATGATGAGGAATTTTTTTCCTTTAGAAGATTCCATATGATAAAATTTTTATCTTTGCCTTTTGGCTTTTATGAAGATATTATTTGCTTCTTGCTTTATTGCTTAGTTGTACCACACTGATAGATTAGAAATTCAACCAGACCAAGAATGTATTTTGTACTATTAGGAAGCTAGTGTTGTAGTTGAGGTCACCTTTTTCAATGTCTTGGACCCTAAGACGCTTCTCTTATTCCCTGACATCTGATTTATCTAAATCAGGGCTCCCAGACCACTAGTCCAAGAGTTGGATTTTTTGTACAATGCAGCATAAGAAAATTTTTTTCTTAAAGTTCAATACCTTTAAGTAGGAAAGCACTCTCAAGTTCCTTTCCTCTCTGTCGTGCTAAGCCCTCAAGATTCATACTTTTGAATTAGCTGTTCATTTGATCTGTGTCAGTATGTCGGCTTTTACAGTCGTTGTTTGGGGTGTTGATGCTGGTTGGTGTGTGGGACGTGTTTTGTATTATTCTCTGTGAAGACATTGACCTTCATGAAGCTGCTACTTGATGACTTTTGTTAGTTAACATTTCTGTCTTTGTTTAATTATGGACACTTAAAATGATTGTTTTTCTGTAATGCAAAGCTTATTCTAAAGCGTAAGATTTTTTAAAAGAAGAGCTTACCGTTTAATATTTTCCAACCCATTTCTACCCTAAGTTGTAAAGAATACCGAAATGCCTTAGAGGAATTGTCCAAGGCAACTCTGCGGAACAGTGCCGAAGAAGGGCTCCCAGCCAACAGGTGATCCGTGACTGCGTGGGTCTATTTTAATGTAGCTGTGGCACCATTTTCCAAATGCTCATACTTCAGTTATGCTGTAGCTTATCATCAACATGAGAGTTTCTAGGATACAGACAGTGGCGTTCATATTTTGCCAAGGATCGATAGAACAAAACTCAAGTATCGCAGAAGACCTGGGACAGCCCCTTAGGATACAGTTTCCTGATCATTGCCATGGGGGTTCAATGTATATTACAGATTTCAGCTTTCCAAACATTTGGTTCTCTTTACTGTGTTCATTTAAAAGATAGTAACCTGTGAAATTAGTAAAATACTGCTTGACTTTGTAATTTGAGGTGTTTGTGAATTTTCCATAATAATTAAAGAGCCTAATACTTAAAAAACAAAACCAAACCTCCCAAACCAGTTCTTTTAGTATGTGCAGTATTTTACACATTTAGACAGAAATCGTCATAGGCTAATTATTTTTATTCTTACTCAACTAGATTTTTCAACTTTATGAACCTGATAAAAGTTGATCTGAATTATATCTTATCATGGTGACTAGCATGAGAAATATGAAATTGGGTATTTTCTGTAATTGCTTGACTTAGAAGTGCTAATATTGCTCTGATGGACTTGGGAAAAATACTGTAAGGGCGTCTGCTTTCATGCATTTTTTCGTACACTTTTATACTTCTAACATTCTACTCCTTTTCTTAGTCCAGGAGACATTTCCAGACTTTTTCTTCCATGTCCTAACCTGTGTTTATGTAAATTAGAATTAGATTTCTGATATTGTGGAAGAGGTGAGGTGGGGAGTAGGTTAATGTAAGAAAGAAGTACTTGCTATTTTCTGTCTGGATAGTGTAGAACCAACTTTCCTTTGCGTTTTGTTTCAGTGCTTCAGACAGCAGACCAAAGGGCGGCAGCCCTGGGAGGCCGCCTGAGCTCGGTGGAGGCTGCCCCAACCGGGCGGCCGAGGCAGAGCCGCAGCCAGGTAAGGGCACAGGTGGAGCAGGAGTTACTAGTTTTGTTCGTAACTGTGGTTTGAAGAAGAAATCACATTAAATAAGAAATGCCATCTGGCAAGGATTTATTACTTCTGGTCTTTGAAATATAATGTGGATTTTAAACTTTTTGTGTATCCTCTTTTATGCATATTTTGCTTTTCTTTTATTCTTACCTTAAGTTTATTGAATTTGAAACTGCTAGAAACTCATAGGTCTATGCAAAAAGAAGCAGGATCTGCCTTCCTCACTAGAGCTTTGACTTTAAGGTGTACAACCTAAGAAATAGAACAGCAACATTTTTTGTTGCTTTTACAGTATTGTTGGCATTATGAAAAGAACTTTTCACGTATTATCTTCTTTAACCCCACAATAATGACGTCAGAGTTATTTGACATGTGCCTGTTTTTCAGAAGGAAAGGTAAGACTCAGATTAAGCAGTTTGCTCGAGGTTGTAAGGCCGTGGGGCCTGGGATTTCAACTCGGGCCTCGTTGATTTTGTCAGTTAGGAATACATTCACTACAAATAACAAACTCAAGTGACTACTTGGGCTTAAACACATGACACTTTATTTTTCTAGAACAGCAACGTTTGCAGGTGGGCAATTGCTGGCATTCGTTCAGCTACTTAGCTTTGTCATGACGATATAGGATAGTTTCTCATGATTCCCTTGAGTTTTACTCATGGTCAAAAACATCCCACTTATGCCTGCATTTGAGGCAGAAAGAGGGAGGTACAGCTGCAGCTGCTCCCTTTTACTGGGAAGGCGGAGGCTTCCCTCAGTCTCCCGGGTTAGAACTGAGTGTCACGCCGCCCCTCCTGCAAAGGAGGCTGAGAGGGTGTGAGCAGCTTGGTCCCGGCAGCTCATGCACATCGTGGCTCCTTCCCTGGCCTCTACACGGTGCAGCCCCAGACAGGATTGGAGCTCTGTTAGCAAGGAACAGGTGGGACGGATTTTAAGGAGGCCATATGGTGTCTGCCGCCCTAAGTCAGCACTTTATGATTGACGTTTGCTGTGGATTTTTAAATGTACAAGATTAGAATCATATATGTTAATGATATGATGAAGCTCAAAACTAAGGATAAAAGTCTAGAACAAGCTGTAGTAATTTTTTTGGCCATCCTGTCCTACTTGTTTTTTGAAAAAATGCTAAAAACAGAATCTTATATTTTGCTGTTAAAATGTAGGATCACAAATGATATAAAGATGTTACCTTTAACTCTGAATCCTTGTAGCATGTAATACTATTTGTATTAGTTTAATTAAGTGTATTGTAACACCATAAGAGCTCAGCTCTCACATGATCGTGTTGTTTAACATATTGTGACTGTTTTGGAAAGATGTTTTTTGAAGGCTTTCTGTATACTGTCTCACATTTTGATGTATAACCCTCTGAGCATTCCTCTTCTTCTGTGTTTCTGATAAGTGCTTGACTGCCCCCAGAACCCCTAAACGTGTGGAATAATCTGTGCAAATGAAAATATCGCTTTATGCATATTTATTATCGTCATATAATGGTTGCTGCTGACAAAGGAATGAGTTGAAAGTTTCTATTTTTCCACCTGCAGTGACCTGTACTTAATATGTTACCTCTTATTTTTAGCCAAAAAGGCTTCTGGGATGTTGTCCTTCTTCCGAGGGACAGCAGGGAAAAGCCCTGATCTCTCTTCCCAGAAGAGAGAGACCTTACGTGGAGCAGATAGTGCTTACTACCAGGTCGGGCAGCCCGGCAAGGAGGGGACGGAGAGTCAAGGCACTGAGCCTCCAGGTGTGTTGAAGGAGACCAAACGCGCTTGTTCTAGGGTTCGGTTTACTTCTTATAGCTGCTTCTGTTCCTTTTAGCCAAGGAGGTGATTCTTACTGCTGAAACCAGAGCCTTCCCCTCTCCTCCCACCTCAGGGTGGCGGAGTAGAGAGCCTACCTGGTTTCAGACGCCGTGGCCATTGCTCACTGTGGTGGAGTCAGAAATCTTTAGTTTCCATTCCTGTAAAGTGGCCAAAGCAGTGTCTTCCAAGATTTACTGCGGACTCGGTGACATCACACCTGGGAAACGTCTGTCTCACTGTGTCACTCACAGTGTATATTCAAATGTTCTCGTTCTACTGCCCCCTCACCTGTTCCTTTCTTTTACAGCCTCTGTAAGGTGGAGGCTGTGGATGTCCACCTTCATTTTGATATTTAAAAACTATGTCTACCTGACTACGTTTGAGTATGGTGTTAGACCAGGAGTCGGCAGACTCTGCTGACTGTCTTTGTAAAGAAAGCACGTTGGGGCCCAGGCACCCCCGTTCCCTCGCTCCCTGTCTGGCCGCTTTCTCCTTATGTTGGCAAGTTGAGTTGTGACTCAGTGAAATACATACCATTGACCCTGTACAGAAAAGGGGTGGTGACCCCTGGTTAGGTCATGAATTAGTGACTTAAAAAATAGCAACTACATAATAAACTTTCATTAGTAATTAAGGTATCTGTGTAGTATTCTGTAGGCTGCTTTTGGGCTGCGATCCTTGGAAGCCATTGGTGTTTCAAAAAAATCCTTTTGAAATGTGAAACTTAGAGGATCACTTGTTTTTCTAGATGTTAAAATATATTTCAAATCGATAATAATTAGAGTGGATCTGGCAGTGGGTTTGCCAGACAAGTCAGTCAAGTGTAAAAAAATAGCTCTGAAGTAGAGACTAGTATATTTCATACATTACATGTCTATCTTAGTGTATGATAGAGAAAGCATCTCAGAGTATCGGGGAAGCATTATTCCACACACGGTAAAGAAGCCGTAGAAACTCAATGTCAGAGCCGAGTTAGTATTCTGCTGTCATAGAAATCACGTACATATAAGAAATGATTCTTCAACCTGAATTCCCTACTTTTTAATCGAAAAGTTGATGTTTTAAAAGGTACATACATTTTTATTGCAGTAGTTTACACAGTTTAATTGTATACATGATGCTTGGTTGAGAGTGACTTGACGAGGATAAGTTCGTGACTTCCTAGTTTTTATTGTTCTATCAGGAAAAAAGAACAAATAAAATGAATTGATAACTATTTAAAACGTGGGCTTTACTAATGATATTAAACCTTTTAGATGAGATAGATGGAGGAGACGCACAAAAGAAACAGCTCACAAATCCTCATGTGGAACTTCGTAAGTATGAAACAAAGTCTTGTTGGTTTGGGGACAGGAACTGTAATTGAGCAAACTCTATTTGAGGCTTCTAGCTTCATACTAGATAAATATCTTGTTTCCTGAAATGAAGACTAAGTCTGTGTGCTGACATGAGGTTTATTTAATCTATAATTTATTTTATAAAGTATACGTTATTTAATTTATAAAGAAATTTAATTGAAATTATAATGTAATGTATAACTACACAAATTATAATTTAATTTCTAATGTTTAAATAATTACTTACCATGCAATTTAGAGCTGCAGGCCTTGACGAGGCACCTGGAATTATGTGTATGCCCGTGGATGCCAGAAATTTATCTGGAATAATTTAGACAGTAAAATTTATATATAAAAGTACAATGATGAAAATACAGTAGCCAGTATAAAATTAGAAATGGGTCTGAAGTTACGTTTGTTTTTTCCATAAATAGGTAAGGTGGTCATAAGATGCTCTTCAGTCCTCCCTGAAGGTCACTGTCACAGGACTGTGATAAACAGCATGCAACTAACATGAGCTATCATGGAGGGACTTAGATGGCTGCATTTGGTCGGGATGGGAATGGCAGGAAGGAAAAGACATTTCTAATTGACAAGGCCTCTCCTTTGACACTTGCCTTCATAGAATTTTCTGACGCTAACGCCAAGTTTTACTGCCGGCTCTACTATGCGGGAGAGTTTCACAAGATGCGCGAGGTGATCCTGGGCAGCAGCGAGGAGGACTTCATCCGCTCCCTTTCCCACTCGGCACCCTGGCAGGCACGCGGGGGCAAGTCCGGAGCGGCCTTCTACGCCACGGAAGGTGAGTCTTTCTGATCATCTGCTGAGTGTGTGATGGCCATCTTTCTCCTCAGCTAATTTATGAAGCACTTGAACTGAGGGGTGAGGATACTGTCAGTTGGCAAACAAAGCTTTCTGTTTTTCTTTTTATGCTTGAGGGGATGTAATAAAAATGCTTGGGAGAATATACGTGTGTATGGTGTGCAGTTAGAGACAGACATTGATCCGATCCTTACTGAACTCTCTGTAGTCCCAAGTTCTCCAAGTGTCAGCAGTAACAGGGAACTTGTAGAACACTCAGAGGGGTCCCTCATTGCTGACGAGAGAAAGGTAGATGGGAGTGTTGATCTGAAAGCAGCAGCGCCAGGTCTTGACCTGCAGAGGCTGCCGGTAGACGGTGGCTGTGTCTCGTCGCCCCCCACGCCACTGAAACCCAGCTCACTGGAGGCAATGTGGTGGGAAGGGTATGCTCGATAGGCACACCCACAACTGTGGCTTGCTGGGTTAGCGTAGGAGCGTGTAAGCTTTATTTAGTAGCTTTAGCAGGTGGCCCATCTGGTTGGGATTTAGGTGTGGAACTGTCAAAGGAGAATTTTCTTGATTTTCTAAATCCTCACCAGCTCTTCCAGGCCTTCAGTCACTTGAGAACTGTGCTCGGATTAAAATTTTCTCTGCGATTCAGAAAATACCCCTTAAAAACATGAAGCAAACAAATCATTTGGGTTCTTGGGAAGGACTTATTATAGATTACCTTAGTGCATATTGTGATTGGAATAAACATTTGAAATTTCTGCCTTTTAGATGATAGATTCATTTTGAAGCAGATGCCTCGTCTGGAAGTCCAGTCTTTCCTCGACTTTGCACCACACTACTTCAATTATATCACAAACGCTGTGCAACAAAAGGTAGACACCCCAAATCTGGGTCTACAGTTAGAGTGCACTGGGCCTTTGCACGTCCTGAGAGTTAGTGTAATGCCATTTTCTCCGTGACAAGCCGGGCAGGACGTGACCGGGTCTGCCGCACTGCTGAAGTGTGACAGAGCACAGTGATTGCAGACTCTCCTGCCTTTGCCAGGGAGGGACCAAGGGCTCTTGGGCAAGTTGTGGTTGATCAGTGTGTGTCACAGCCAGTCAGAAATGTGAAGGCTGGATGACAACAGCTGCTTGTTTAGTCATTTGTAATTTTGCTGAGACAGAAGCCTGAAATGTGTGTTGAGAACTGAGGGTCTGGGCCCCTTACACAGAAGGAGAGGGAGCCAGTGGCCCAGGTTTCCCCTTGTCCCGAGCATGACCCTCCCAGTGGGAGTGTGAAAGAGCCACGAGGATCTTTTTCATTTATGGTTTATTGCTTGTTATTGGGGAAACTATATGTCATAGTAAAATTTATGAGTTTGACTAATTGTGAAAGATTATCCCTTGTTTGCATGTTAAGGATCTACTATTTTTATTGGCATTGCTGCCTTACTTTCTCCTGAGATTCAAGGGTTTGAGTTTTTTTTTTAAGGTCCTCTGACTGGTCATATTAATATAAAATCATGTCTGGATGTTATATGGAATAGTCCAGGTATTCATATTAAATTACAAATAATCCTTTTTGATAAGAGTTTGCTTTCATCTTTTCTTGATTAGAGGCCTACTGCACTGGCCAAAATTCTTGGAGTTTACAGAATTGGTTATAAGAATTCTCAGAACAACACTGAGAAGAAGTTAGATCTCCTTGTCATGGAAAATCTTTTCTATGGGAGAAAGATGGCACAGGTAAGGATATTGGACTCTGCAAAGGATTTAGCTACTGGAACCCTTTGCGCTTCTGGTTCATGAATATAATGAATATAATCAGAGAGTAACATCTTATTTGATAGTAAATATTAGACTTTGGTTGCTAGGCTAAATTTAGCTTTTGACTTGTTGAACCTTATAGGAAAGAATAAAGAGGAATGTTGTGGACTAGTCCTAAAATTTAACATATTCAATATCCTAGAAATATAGAACTATAGAATTAGAAGGCAGATCTGCTTCCACCATCTCACTTTTAAAGATAAAGAAACTGAGGCCCAGAGAAATTAAGTCTTTATGACAGTCATGCAGATATTCCTGGAACTCAGGTTGGTGTAGATTCTAGAACAGTACTCTTGGAAGTGCTGGTCCTTGAACTGTTTCCGGTCTGTGGTGAGACAAGGAGCTGGTACCAGGATGTAACTCACTGCTTTCTTCATTGAGAATGTCTTGCTATAATATCAGCTGAACTAAACATTGTGCTTCATGATGTAACTGGTTTATATTCTGGCAGCAGCTCCTTGTGTCATCACGAGTCAGAACCACTGACTAGTGCTGGTCTGCAGAAAACCCTGCAGATCCAACGCTGGTCTCGTAGCTGGGTCCCCAACCTCTGAGCGTGACGCTTTGCCTGTTGCCCCAGAATTCCTAGAGATGTACGTTGCTGCATTGCCATAAGAAATCGCACAGTTTTGGTTTCAAAACTGTTTCCTAAAACTATTTGCATCTGTTTTTTAAACTGCTTTATGATCCAGCAACATATTTTTGGAGTTCCTTGTTAATGTTTCTTAAAGTTGAGTAAATGGGTCAGCATATTTCTGAAATGTTTCAGTAATGGGCCTTGGTATCCATTTCATATGATGCAGTTATGTCACCATGTATTTTACGTATCGTGCAGTTACAGTGCGCGTGTGCACTGGCTCATGTATCATGCAGTTAGGGCACGCGCATGCGCTGGCTTACCTATCGTGCAGTTAGTGTGCGCGTGCACTGGCTTATGTATCATGCAGTTAGAGTGCACGTGCACTGGCTTACCTATCATGCAGTTAGCGTGCGCATGCACTGGTTTACGTATCTTGCAGTTAGTGCGTGCGCCTGCACTGGCTTACGTATAGTGCAGTTATGGTGTGCACATGCACTGGCTTACGTATTGCGCAGTTATGGTGTGCGCATGCACTGGCTTATGTATTGTGCCATTACAACGCGCGTGTGCACTGGCTTACGTATCGTGCAGCTATGACGCGCGTGTGTACTGGCTTACGTATCGTGCAGCTATGGTGTGCGCATGCACTGGCTTATGTATTGTGCCATTACAATGCGCGTGTGCACTGGCTTACGTATTGTGCAGCTATGACGCGCGTGTGTAATGGCTTACGTATTGTGCAGCTATGACGCGCGCGTGCACTGGCTTACGTATTGTGCAGCTATGACGCGCGTGTGCACTGGCTTACGTATCGTGCAGCTATGACGCGTGCGTGCACTGGCATACGTATGGTGCAGTTATGGTGTGCATGTGCACTGGCTTACGTATCGTGCAGTTATGGTGTACACGTGCACTGGCTTATGTATTGTGCAGTTACGGTACGCGCATGCAGTGGCTTATGTATCGTGCAGTTAGTTTGCACGTGCACTGGCTAACGTATTGTGCAGTTAGTATGCATGTGCACTGGCTTACATATCATGCAGCTACGACGCACACGTGCTCTGGCTTACGTATTGTGCAGTTATGGTGTGCACGTGCACTGGCTTACATATTGTACAGTTACGACGCACAGGTGCACTGGCTTACGTAGTGTGCAGTTACGACGCACACGTGCACTGGCTTACATATTGTGCAGTTACGACGCACACATGCACTGGCTTACGTATTGTGCACTTATGGTGTGCACGTGCACTGGTTTACGTATCGTACAGTTAGTGTGCGTGTGCACTTGCTTACGTATCGTGGTTACGGTGCACCGTGTATTGACTTATGTAAGTTGTGATTGTTTTTAATTGGATTTAAAAATATATAGTGGTAGTGGCTACAAGGAATCTTTCTGCCTTTTAAACGTAATTACATTAATTATTCATTTGTAGTAACTCACACATAAATGACAGAATTTTCTTTCCACCAGGTTTTTGACTTGAAGGGTTCACTTAGGAACAGAAATGTAAAAACTGACACCGGGAAAGAGAGCTGTGACGTGGTCCTGCTGGACGAGAATCTGCTGAAGATGGTCCGGGACAGCCCTCTGTACATCCGCTCGCACTCCAAGGCGGTGCTGCGGGCCTCCATCCGCAGCGATGCCCACTTCCTGTCCAGCCACCTCATCATCGACTATTCTTTGCTGGTGGGGCGAGATGATACCAGCAATGAGCTTGTCGTTGGGATTATAGGTAAGTCAACAAGCATGCCTTACTTGTAGTTCACGATTGAAGCCAGAGCAAAATTGTGGATGACAGCAAGTCTGCTCTAGTAATAACTTATTGACTGTTTTCACCAACTTTCATTTGAAAATTCAAAACTAATAGTTTTTAAATTCTTGTATCTTCTTTTGTTCCCTCATTTCCATTTTCATCATCTTTACCAAAAATACCTGTATTCAGAAGTCACTTATAAGTGAAGCCCTGTGAGGTGGTTGTGAGGATTAAATGAATTAATATGGGGAAAACGCTTAGGAAGCACCTGGCGTATTGTCAGCACTCAATAAATGTACCTATTGTAGAAGTAATAGTAATAGTGATTGCTGGTGTCATTTGCTTGCATTTAGTAACATAGCTTTACTGCTAATATTGCCCCTGCAACAGATTATATTCGAACGTTTACATGGGACAAAAAGCTTGAGATGGTTGTGAAATCAACAGGAATTTTAGGAGGACAAGGTGAGCAGAATTTTGTTTTGTTTACTCTTCAAACTCTTCTCATGTCTTCCTTATCAGTTAACATTTAAAAAATGGATACCTTTTTTTTTTTTAAAGATTTTATTTTTTTTCCTTTTTCTCCCCAAAGCCCCCTGGTACATAGTTGTACATTCTTAGTTGTGGCTCCTTCTAGTTGTGGCACGTGGGATGCCGCCTCAGCGTGGCCTGATGAGCAGTGCCATGTCTGTGCCCAGGATTCGAACCGACAAAACACTGGGCTGCCTGCAGCGGAGCGCACGGACTTAACCACTCAGCCACGGGGCCGGCCCCTGGATACTTTTTTAAATTCTGAAAAAATAAGTGATGTTATCTTTGATTTTCTTGTCATTTCCACAATGATCAAATAATAAAGGGAATTGTTTAGGTGGAGAAATTTTGGGTTAAAATTTGCATTAAAATGCTAAAAGTTTTCAAAATGAAGAGTTGGAAAAAAATGCCAGAGGTAGTCTTTAATCAGCACTTGAAATCCTCTGGTTCTCTGACCACTGTTGGCCCTACTTGTCCTTCTGTACGTCTCTCATGTCTCGGCAAGAGCTAGTGTTTTGAAGTGGAAGCTCATACCAGGAAGGACCTGTCCTATGACGTGTGGCGCACGGAACACCCGCCCTCCTTTCTGCTCAGACTGCTGTGGTGTATGCGTCTTTACACCAGTATGTGGGAAGAACATATTCTTGAAGTCAGTTGCCTGAGCAGTTACGTAACAGCTTTCTACTTCCTTTTCTCTTTCACAATTTTAGGTAAAATGCCAACTGTGGTCTCTCCAGAGTTGTACAGGACCCGATTTTGTGAAGCGATGGACAAGTATTTCCTCATGGTACCAGACCACTGGACAGGCTTGGGTCTCAACTGCTGAAATGAAGCACATGTTTTGAAATGGACTGTGAAGGGAAGGGGCTGGAACAAAGGGCCAGAAACAAGCCACTGTTTTATTTCTTCATCCCATTCCCGCTGTCTACCCAGGTCTTTCAGTTCTCAGCACGTGGGCTGTCTGTCACCAAAGGGTTAAAACTCCACAGGTTTGCACTTTGGATTTTGATACCTACAGATTAGCTCTCCATAGGCTGGGAAGTTGCATGGACACTTTCACTTAAGCTGAAATAGGTTTCAAAGGGCTAAGGGCAAATGTATGGTTAGAGATGAGGAAATAGAGTGAAAAATGCAATATCTATTTGCTAACAATCCTGTTAAGGAAACTGTCTCATAGATTGTGACTCTCCTGGCATCACGTTTGACACTGTCTTTGCGTAGAAAGCATTTGTAGAGCTGCTGGATTCGTTTTGTGTTTCTTATGTGACAATTTGATATTGCCTCTTATCAGAATTTCTGAAACCTTTAAAAGATCCTGAGTTACTCTGCTAATGGCCAGTTAAACAGATTAATACAATCTGCTCTTGTTTTATTGAGGAATTTGACTTAAATTGGGGATCCTTTCACATTCTGTGTCCTGCCCTGTTTTCGAATATGTTTGATGTTTCTTGGGCTCTGTCCTTACTTGTCTGTGGGTGACAGGAGGCTACAGCTATTAACTTGAAGCCTTTTTCAGGAGCTGTTTTTTAAGCTTGTGTACAACTTTTGTGCAGTTCATATGTTGAACTGTACTTAGCCGCATAAACTCGTATTCTGGGTTTCCCCCACTTTCAGGGGAACTTTAGTAAATGAATCAACAATGACTAAATCCCCAAAGGGAGAATTATGAATGACAGATTTCTTATTTTAATGTAAAAAATAAATTAGATCCAAGAAACTGATCCAAGAAATTGAGTGAGAGGGAAGGATTTGCTTGTTTTTTGTGGAGTTAAAGTATCTTTTAAAAATATAACCAGCAATTTAAGTGGCATCTATACAATTAAGAAGTTTTTAACATGGACATCCCTGTTTCCTAATGTTCTGCACCAGTTTCTAGGCCCGTTCTGACTATCAAGAAATGTTGAGATAAAATATTCTTAGTAAGGAACTTCTTTAATTGAGTTTTCCTTTGTATAAAAAGGGATCAGAAGTACTAAACCGTCTTCGAGGCGATTCTCTAAGCCTGGATGTCTGCTCTTGGCTTCCTTCCATAACAGGGATAATTCAGTATTTATCAAGTTTGAGGGGTTCCACTCCTTTTAGGATTCCTATGATAGCACATTTCTATTGTAACTTTCACATAATAAGAAAAAGAAGTCTGGGTACATTCCATTTACAGAGACTGTAAGTACATGGAGTAGGAACCTTTTGTAAAGTTTACCTTAGAGAATGAAAGCATTAGTTTGGTGCTTATTAGAAACATGGTTTGTTTTGAACTAGAAACAAGTTGACCAAGGACTTAGGACTGATCTGATGATAAGCACTTTATAAAAACAAAACGCCGTGTGCCTTCTGAAAACACACGAAACACTGATGATTTTAGTTTTGATATCAAAGACTAGTAAAGGAGTTGTGCAGGAGTGACAGAGATGCGGAACGTCGTCAGCTTCTTACGTTCCAGGAACAGGGGACCTTGCGTCTCGTTTTGAAGCAAACGCTGTCCTGTCTCTGCGGGAGTCTTAGGTAGAGCATCCTGCCCACGTCCTGCCCTCTGTGTGCTCTTGTGGGAGTGTCCCCTGCGGGAGCCACTGGTCTCTGTGGCTTAGTCTCAGTACGGCATGTAGCTCGAATGCTCCGCTGGGACAGCTCTGGCAATGGTGTGTCATGTTGGTTTTGTTTTCCTTGCCCAGAAGAACTATTTTATAAAGTACTGCTGCCTCTTAGGTAATTTCGTGGCTAAGAAAAAATTCCAGCATAATATAGTCTGAAGCGGGAGTTGCTGCCTTGCGAGGGTCTGTCCTTTTAGAACTTCTTAGGAAGGGGAAATGCGAACTTCATTGTGTTGTCAGTGGTGGAGCTGTACCCAGCCCTGCTGCGTGGGGGCACCCTCCACGTGTTTGTGGGGTGTTCTGAGAGGTGGAGCTGGAACAGCCTGCTGCAAGGGGTCGCCCTCCACGTGTGTCGGGGGTGTTTCAAACGCCATGCTGCTTGGGGGCCCCGAAGGGCTGTTCTCTGCCCTCAATTCCTTCCGAGGCCTGGAGAGCATTTGTGCTGAAAGTTAAGAGTGAGGAAGAAATCCTAGTACTTTCTTCCTTAGAATAAATGATGAATCCTGAGAATAATTGCCAGTAGCACCAGAAAGCTATGTGAACATGTTGCATTGATAAAAATCTTATTTATAATGTGAAGCTTTTTGATACCATCAAAACTTTATTAAAAAATAAAAAGGATTGACTGTTTTCTTACCCAAGCCTAAGAAAAATAAGGGGAGTAAGCTGTTACAAACCCCTTTGTAGTCTATTGAACATTTAAGATTTATAGATAGTCAAAATTTCCTACAAAATGTCCTACTCTAATTTTTCCTTGATCAGCAGTGGGTGGTTTTCTGGCTTTGGCCTTTCCTGGGTCTTGTAAATAGTAGGTTGTGTTGGTTTCTGTGGCCTCGGCTTCTCCTTGGTTTTTGATCCGCTAGCACTGGGCAGGTATGACAAGGAAGGTCCTCTCCCTGTGGGAGGGTTGCTTGCCAGCGGGTGCAGACCATTGTGAATGAGCCTGATGGTGAGCGGTCAGGCCTTGCTCTCTCCGCCGAGTGTTAACATGCTGACTTAGGCAGTATTCAAACCCTCTAGTGCAATGCCTCTGGTTTGTTTTTGTAACATGGGTGCAGTGTGTTATAGAAAAATAAAAATTACAGTCATGAGCATTTTATTAATGCTGCTGTGCTGGTTTTGTAAAAAATGTATATTGTCTTTCAACTAGAGAAATACTGTAAATCATAATAGCGTCTTAATTTAATATGAAAAATTCAATTAACAGTATTGAAAATACTTAATGTGTTATATTGTGTATATTTCTCTCCTTTGGTTCCAGCTGTTTTATATGGTTGACCTGTTATTTAAGAGAGAAAACTGCCCTGACCTTTTGGAGACTTATGCTGTAAATAAAGACTTACAATAAACCGAGGATCCACTTCACTTGGTTTTGAATTGGCTTGAGGAGTGGACGACAAGGGGAGATGGCGTGTGGGGCGCAGGCCTAGCCCTGCCCTTGCCCCCAGTGTTGCCCTCTGTGTTCTCTCTCCCAGAAGCCCAGGAAGCTGTGCCCAGCCTGGTGGAGCTGTGACCCCAGCCTCAGGCGCCCCTTACAGCTCCTGGACTTACCTGGCCAAAGTGAGGCCTGGCCTGGGGGCGCAAATCGGGGGAAGAGTTCTTTGTCCTCCTCACCTACAAGTCTCGTGGCTCAGAAATTAATTTCTCATAAAATTCCTGGGTTAAGTCCTGGCAAAACTACATTTTTTTAACCTAAAATGTGGTGAAAATTTGTCATCTTAACTATTTTTAAGCGTACGGTTCAGTGGTGGTAACTATATTCCCATCGCACAGTCCATCTCCAGCACTTTTCATCTTGCAGAGCTGAAACCATGCCCGTTAAACGACAACTCTCTTCCCCCTCCTCCCAGCCCCTGTGGCCACCACCCTACTTTCTGTTTCCATGAATTTGACTATAGGTTCTTCATTATAAGTGGAATCATACCATATTTATCTTTTTGTGACTGGCTTATGCCACTTAGTGTGATGTCTTCAAGGTTCATCAGTGTTGTAGCATTTCCTTTTTTAAGGTTGAACTACATTCCATTGTATGTATGTACCACATTTTCTTTTTTAAAAATTTTTTTATTGAGGTTGTGATAGTGTACAACCTTATGAAATTTCAGTTGTACATTATTATTTGTCAGTCATATTATAGGTGTGCCACTTCACCCTTTATGCCCACTCCCCACTCCCCTTCCCCCTGGTAACCACTAATCTGTTCTCTTTGTCCATGTGTTGGTTTATCTTCCACATATGAGTGAAATCATAGGGTGTTTGTCTTTCTCTGTTTGGCTTATTTCACTTAACATAATACCCTCCAGGTCCATCTATGTTGTTGTGAATGGGACCATTTTATCCTTTTTTATGGCTGAGTAGTATTCCGTTGTGTATATATACCATATCTTCTTTATCCAGTCATCAGTTGATGGGCACTCGGGTTGCTTCCACGTCTTGGCTATTGTGAATAATGCTGCAATGAATATAGGGGTGCATGGGTCTCTTTGGATTGCTGATTTCAAGTTCTTTGGATAAATACTCAGTGGTGGGATAGTTGGGTCATATGGTATTTCTATTTTTAATTTTTTGAGGAATCTCCATACTGTTTTCCATAGTGGCTGCACCAGTTTGCATTCCCACCAGCAGTGCCTGAGGGTTCCCTTTTCTCCACAACCTCTCCAACGTTTGTTCTTTTTTGTTTTGGTTATTTTAGCCATTCTAACGGGTGTAAGGTGATATCTTAGTGTAGTTTTGATTTGCATTTCCCTGACGATCAGTGATGATGAGCATCTTTTCACCTGCCTGTTTGCCATCCATATATCTTCTTTGGAGAAATGTCTATTCATATCCCCTGCACATTTTTTGATTGGGTTGTTTGATTGTTTGTTGTTGAGTTGTGTGAGTTCTTTATATATTATGGAGATTAACCCTTTGTTGGATATATGATTTGCAAATATTTTTTCTCAGTCGGTAGGTTGTGTTTTTGTTTCAATCCTGTTTTCCTTTGTCTTGTAGAAGCTTTTTAGTCTGATGAAGTCCCATTTGTTTATTCTTTCTATGATTTCCCTTGTCTGAGAAGACATGGTGTCCGAAAAGATCCTTTTAAGACTGATGTCAAAGAGTCGTACCACATTTTTTATCTACTCTTCATCAATGGACATTTGTATTGCTTCCACCTCTTGACTATTATGAATAATGCTGCTGTGAACATGGGAATGCAAATGTATCTTCAAGATCCTTTTAAAAGTTCTTTTGGATAAATACAGAGAAGTAGGATTGTTAGATCATATGGTGGTTCTGTTTTCTAACGTTTTGAGGAAACTATACTGCTTTCTCTTTTTTTTCACTTTTATTTATTTTTCAATTGCAGTAACACTCAGTTATAGCATATAGCTTTCGGATGTACATCATAATATATTTCAAATTCTGTGTAGATTACATCATGTTCACCACCCAAAAACTAATTATCGTCTATCGCCTCACATGTGTGTCTAATCACCCCTTTTGCCCTCTACCCCCTTCCCCCATGGTAACCACCAATCCAGTCTCTGTTGCTATGTGTTTGTTGTCATTGTTTTATCTTCTACTTATGAGTGAGATCATACGGTGTTTGACTTTCTCCCTCTGACTTATTTCACTCAGCATAATACCCTCAAGGACCATCCATGTTGTCACAAATGGCCGGATTTCATTATTTCTTATGGCTGAGTAGTATTCTGTGGTGTATATATACCACATCTTCTTTATCCATTCGTCCCTTGATGGGCAGCTAGGTCGCTTCCAAGTCTTGGCTATTGTATATAATGCTGCAGTGAACCTAGGGGTGCAAGTATCTTTATGCTTTTGTGTTTTCAAGTTCTTTGGATAAATACCCAGCAGTGGGATAGCTGGATCATATGATAGATCTATTCTTAATTTTCTGAGGATACTCCATATGGCTTTCCATAGTGACTGCACCAATTTGCACTCCCACCAGCAGTGTACGAGGGTTCCTATCTCTCCACATCCTCTCCAACATTTGTTGTTTCCTGTCTTGTTAATTATAGCCATTCTGACCGGAGTGAGGTGACACCTTGTAGGCTTTTTTTTTTTTTTTTTTTTTGAGGAAGATTAGCCCTGAGCTAACTACTGCCAGTCCTCCTCTTTTTTGCTGAGGAAGCCTGGCCCTGAGCTAACATCCGTGCCCATCTTCCTCTACTTTATATGTGGGATGCCTACCACAGTATGGTGTGCCAAGCGGTGCCATGTCCACACCCGGGATCTGAACTGGCGAACCCTGGGCCGCTGAGAAGCGGAACGTGTGCACTTAACCACTGCACCACTGGGCTGGCCCCTCATTGTAGTTTTGATTTGCATTTCCCTGATAGCTAATGATGTTGAGCATCTTTTCATATGCCTGATGGCCATCTGTATATCTTCTTTGGAGAAATCTCTGTTCAGATCTTTTGACCATATTTTATCTGGGTTGTTGGTTTTTTTGTTGTTGAGCTGTATGAGTTCTTTGTATATTTTGGATATTAACCCCTTATCTGATATATGGTTTGCAAATATCTTCTCCCAATTCTTAGGTTGTCTTTTCATTTTGTTGATGGTTTCCTTTGCTGTGCAGAAGCTTTTTAGTTTGATGTAGTCCCATTTGTTCATTTTTTCTTTTGTTTCCCTTGCTCGGTCAGGCATGGTACTTGAAAATATGCTGCTAAGACCAATGTCAAAGAGCATACTGCCTATGTTTTCTTCTAGAATTTTCATGTTTTCGGGTCTTACATCCAAGTCTTTAATCCGTTTTGAGTTAATTTTTGTGCATGGTGTAAGGGAATGGTCTACTTTCATTCTTTTGCATGTGGCCGTCCAGTTTTCCCAACACCATTTATTGAAGAGACTCTCCTTTCTCCATCGTATACTCTTGGCTCCCTTGTCGAATATTAGCTGTCCATAAATGTGTGGGTTTATTTCTGGGCTCTCGATTTTGTTCCATTGATCTGTGTGTCTGTTTTTGTGCCAGTACCATGCTGTTTTGGTTACTATGGCTTTGTAGTATATGTTGAAATCAGGGAGTGTGATACCTCCAGCTTTGTTCTTTTTTCTCAGGAATCCTTTGGCTATTCGGGGTCTTTTGTTATTCCATATAAATTTCAGGATTCTTTCTTCTATTTCTGTGAAAAATGTTGTTGGAAATTTGATAGGGTTGCGTTGAATCTATAGATTGCTTTAGGAAGTATGGACATTTTATGTCAATTCTTCCAATCTAAGAGCATGGAATATCTTTCCATTTCTTTGTGTCTTCTTCAATTTCTTTCAACAATGTTTTATAGTTTTCGGTGTACAGATCTTTCACCTCTTTGGTTAAGTTTATTCCTAGGTATTTTATTCTTTTGGTTGCAATTGTAAATAGGATTGAATTCTTAATCTCTCTTTTTGCTACTTCATTGTTAGTGTATAGAAAAACAACTGATTTTTGTAGGTTGATTTTGTATCCCATGACTTGACTGTTTTCCTTTATTGTTTCTAAAAGTTTTTTAGTGGATTCTTTAGGGTTTTCTAGATGTAAAATCATGTTGTCTGCAAAGAGTGACACTTTCACTTCTTCTTTTCCAATGTGGATCCCTTTTATTTCTTTTTCTTGCCTGATTACTCTGGCTAGGACTTCCAATACTGTGTTAATTAGGAGTGGTGACAGTGGGCATCCTTGTCTGTTCCTGTTCTTAAAGGGATAGGTTTCAGTTTTTCTCCATTGAGAATGATATTTGCTGTGGGTTTGTCATATATGGGCTTTATTATGTTGAGGTATTTTCCTTCCATACCCATTTTATTTAGAGTTTTTATCATAAATGGATGCTGTATCTTGTCAAATGCTTTCTCTGCATCTATTGAGATGATCATGTGACTTTTATTCTTCATTTTGTTAATGTGGTGTATCACATTGATAGATTTGCAGATGTTGAACCATCCCTGCATCCCTGGAATGAAACCCACTTGATCATGATGTATGATCTTTTTAATGTATTGTTGTATTCGATTTGTTAGTATTTTCTTGAGGATTTTTGCATCAATGTTCATCAGTGATATTGGCCTGTAATTTTCTTTTTTTGTGTTGTCCTTGTCTGGTTTTGGTGTCAGGATAATGTTGGCTTCATGTGAGTTAGGAAGCCTCCCCTCCTCTTCAGTTTTTTGGAAGAGTTTAAGAAGGACAGGTATTAAGTCTTCTTTGAATGTTTGGTAGAACTCACCAGGTGCTGCCGAGACCAGCTAGGCAGCCAGCTGAAGGGACGGACGGAATTAATAGACAGAACACCATCTATATAATAGACACAACACACTCTATATTATTTAATGGGACAGGGGACCATCAGCCTCAAGGACTGAGGTGACATCCCTCTGATCGCCAC